CCCCCCCCCCCCGATATTACCGAAGGACCAGAACATGTTCTCTATTGTCACTGAGGGTTCTCGCCCACGGCATTTCCTGTGCCTGTATATTCGTCCCATCTTATCTCTTGGTGGTGACTGCTCTCTTGATATTTATCTTTTGTTGTTTACTTGTATTTTACAGCATGCATGGTCAAGGCGTTTGCTTTTTGTTGGATAAAGTCTAACAATGCTTGATTGTTAGTAATTACAATTTCTTTCTCTGGGTAAAAGGGGGGAAGAGACACATAGAACTGTGATTTATTCGGTACAATAATACATATTGTTGACTTTCATAACTAAATGCGAATTACAAACAATACACTCTACTTTTAACAGAACCCATTCCCTGTCCGGCCTCCCAAGTCATATACCTTGAGAGTAATACAATCAATAATTCACAGCATTAACCTCCTGATCTTTAGGCAAAATATCCGGCACAGGCCCCAACGGCGTAATCGCAAACGGATTAATCTGTCCATGCGACTTGGTATAATGTTTCTTGATATGCTCAAATTGTGTTGTATCCCCAAACGCAGGGATATCCCAGTACAAATGCCTCAGCCACTTGTGAATAGCCGGATAGCCCGAACGAATATCTCGCAGATTCGTCTTGAAATGCTGTACATAGACAGCATCAAACCGGGCAATAGTGGTATAGAGACGAATGTCAGCCTCTGTGACGCTATCGCCATAGAAATATATTTTGTTCTCCTCCTTCTGGCGGCGGGAAAGATGCGCTTCAATTTTGTCGAGTGCTGCGAATAGTGTCGTGACCGCTTTTTCGTAGGCTTCTTGAGTGGTGGCAAAGCCCGATTTGTATACGCCGTTGTTCACGTCGTTGTAGATCCATTCGTTGGATGATTCGATTTCTTGCCGGAGGGATTGCGGGAAGAGGTCGATGTTCTTGTATTGTTCCGGTAGGAGGTCGTCGAATTCATAGTAGAACATGCGGATGATTTCCGAGCTCTGCAAGAGTATTAGCATGGGTCAAAAAAAAAAGAAAAGAAAAAAAAAAGGAGGGGGAAGGTGGGAAGGAAAGAGAGGAAAGGCGAACCTCGTTCGAGACAATGCACTTGGTCTTGGTGTCATATAGCGTCGGCACGGTAAAGCGTCCCTTGTACTCCGGGTCTACATCGAAATATATGTCGCGCAAATGCGTGAATTGAGGGTGAATAGGGTCTGGATGGACATCAGCTCCGGGAAGCTTCTCATCTGGAGTGACAAATCGCCATCCTATGACACAAACAAACGTGAATTGTTAGACCCTATCATGCCCATTCAAAAGTGTGCTTTAGATATTGGCTAACCTTTCTCTCCCATATGCCAATGCACGGACGTAACAGGGATGATATCCTCTAATCCCTTGAGCTTGCGAGTAATCAAAGTTCGATGAGCTTTTTGCCAGCGTCAGCTCAACTTGATACGGGATATCAAGTTTCGAGAGGAGAGAGAAAGAGAGAAACACACCCCACGGACAAGCATACGAAACATAGAGATGATAGCGGTTCTTCTCCGGTGGAAACTGTGCGCCGGGCTGCTTCGAGATGAAATTGCGGAATTGCGATACCCCGCGCTTGAATTCTCCAGACTTGTCGTTGCGAGATACCCAGTCGGTAATTGGTTGATCGTTACCTGTCTGTTTGCCATTTATTTAGTATACAGAGAATTCAAGCAATAGCATGAGAGCATAGGTAGCCATAGTAGGAGGCTGACAGGGATTCAGGTAACTAAGTTAGTAAGTAAGTACATACCGCCATGGTTCTTATGCTGTGGAACGTGGCTTTTCCTGTAATTGTTACGCGTGGCAGATTTCTGGAGATTGAGAATGAGAAGAATGATTTCAATTGCAGTGGTGGCAAAGACATTGGTTAAATATAAGCTGTTGTTCTCTGAATGCGAAGTAGACGGAGAGGGGTCTAAGCACACGGATGAATGACGTTACTACATACAACTTAACTTACATCCGCGACGATTAGCAAGCAATCTCCCTATCGGCCAGTAACTGTTAGTTTGTCACTGTAGTTGATTATGTCTCATGGACGTAATTAACTAATCAATAAAAGATGCTATTATCAACCGCGATTACTGAAGCATGACTAACTTCTAAGTAATACCTACGGTATTTCCGGGTCTTGTCGTATACCCGAGCCCGTGCTTAAGCTTACTCCGTACATCCGCGGTGGAAAGAAGTCTATGAGTATATTCATGTCCTTCTCAACTAATGATCAATTTTCTCACTCTTACAATTTCACCATCACATAAGGTATCTCGACGTCTTCCTCCGTCTGGTCCTCTGCAGTCACCTCAAAGATGACGTTCTTTTGGTGTTCCGGCACAGGATTCTTGCTAATGTGCTCTACTAGCTTGGACATTCTAAATTGCAATATTGTTAGCACTGCATCGCTGTATTCGTTCTCCGGGCGGGTTACTTACTTCAAGGGCAAGCGGTCCTTTAATTTCGATGGCGGGTAGAAACTAGCATAGAGCAAGCTGACTCCAGAGCTGACCATGGTAACTTCCAAACCAAGGTCCGAGAAGTGCTTCAAAAAGTCTTGTAATGGAATGTCGTCCACCTCAAATCGGTCCCACAGCCTGTCAATCGTCACTTCGCCTTTCTTGCCTTGATATTTGCCCTTGGGGCTAGCAATGGGTTCGCTGAACCCAAAGAACGGCAATGCCAAGTTTATAAACCCGTTCTTGTATTTCTCGATGTCATCTTTACCATCGATGATCTTGTACAATTCCAGAATCACCAGGCCAGTGACAAGAGCTGTCGTAGTTGCAATGGCTGGAATAATCTTGCCGGCAATGAATTTGGTCTTGTGTCGATCTGCTTGCGGTATATCGTAATTCTCCGCACGCAAGTTGCTTGCCGCAGTGATGAAGTCAATATGGTAATTAGTGTCGTCATCCTTTTCGAACTCAACAGGAACCAGACGGAAACCGGCCAGAGACTTGGGCGACGGCAAGGAGCTTACAAGTTTCTCAATCTCCTCGTTGTCGTCAAGTGCGGATCCAGAAGGTTGAGCATTCGGGTCAGGCTCATTGTCATCAGCCTGGATCTTGACACTCGAGCTGGGCGTGAATTCTGGGATAATCATATCATCAACGACTTTCTTGAAATGTGCCTTGTCTGTCGTGGGAGCTTTGATTCCATAGTTGAAGGCATGCAGGTTGGCTGCGGCAATAATGAACCCGAGGTGGGTAGGATTTGAAGCGTCGAACTTCAAGGGTGTAGGAGCGCGCTTAGGTCCAGACCAGAAAAACTGTCCAGAAGATGTTGTAGAGTCGCGAGGGAAGTTATATAGTAACTGCTGGATAGCATTGTTGTATTGAGCCTCGAACTGGTTGCGAGCCCAAACGATACAGTCGTCAAAGCTCAAGGGTTTGTCTGTCACCAAGAAGTCTCGGAGGTGCTCAAGAGTCTGCTTCTCATTACCGGCCTGTTTGAGGGTCTTCTCAATGTAATTTGGCTCAGATAGGTAAAGGTTGACTGCCTCCGGGGGACCAACGAAGTACGTCTGGAAAAGGTCACGTGCCCACGCTATGGTATGCTCAATGCGATTGGGGAAGCTCTTCAAAGTGCACATGGGGAATGACTTTTCAGGAGGGTCTTGAGAACTAGAGTAAGACTCTGTAATGTGAGGCAAAACGACTTGAGTATTTCCCTTGGTGCCTAGCGTTCCGCTTTCAAGAAGTGGCTTGCGGAAGAAGACGCAACGGCGGTCGACGTAAGTTCTGGCGTCAACATTGTCCAGCGCATTAGTGACAAGGTCCAGTTCGCCCCAAAATTGTTCATTAAAAACATGTTCCGTGTCATTACCGACACGGTCTCGGAGTGTGATGATTTTCTCATTCAATTCAGGGTTCATAGCTTGAACTGCGGCGGACGCACAATCGCTCTTTAACTTGCCGACGTCCTTGGAACGGAAGAGGAACTGACGATTAAGATTACTTTTTTCGATCTGATCCATATCGGTGACGCGAATCTTGCCCTTCTCACCAACACCAAGACCAATCATGGCCCAGTTCTTGAGCATTTCACAACCGATAGCGCCAGCTCCGACAAGGAATGTATTAAGGTTGGCAATTTTCTCTTGGAATTCCTTTCCAAAGACGGCAATCTGGCCATCATAACGAGTGCCAAGCGGCTTGCAAGTTTCTTCAGAACGAGTCACGGATTCTGGCAAGGATTCCAAAGAATCAAAATAGAGCCATTGAACAACAGGATGGAACTTTCCTGACACTCCCTTCAAGACCTCCTGAGCGGCTAAGCCACCGAAGAAAGCAGCTAGAGGGTTCAAGTCACCGCGTGCTTGGTAGCTGAGTTCTTTAATAAGCTTGTCGTCCAGCTCAACCTTTTCCTCAGTTTGACTTGCTAGATCCTTGGCGATCTTCAGGACCTCTTCGGCATCAGCTTCATGGTGAGGACGAGGGAATTCACCTTTGTGAGCGTCGGCAAAATGATGGAGAGCTTGAACACCAATGTGCAATTGCTGAGGGCGATCAAACTTTGCAAAGTCGGAAATGAGAACTTCCGGCTTTTTCAATTGCTCTCTTAGGGGCTGGAAGTCTAGAAACTTGGGCATCTTGACTTGCGTAAAAAGACCCCCGCCCTGGTATTTGCCGAGACCAGAAACGTCTCCAATGGAGAAGGTGTAGGGACCTTTAACAGTAACCTTACGCGGGTCACCATTGTTAAGACCTTCCATGCCTTTAATTTCCGTGAATGTCACGTAATCACCATCCTCCAAGCCGTGTCGGCTCTCGTCCAGAGCAAAAACCAAGCCACTATCGTCGATATCTGCGACGATACCACCAACGGGATCCTCACCAGTGGCGTCGCCAACTGTGAAGTTCTTTCCAAAATCGTTGAAGATATATCCAAAAAGTCCAAATGTGTCTGCAACAACAACGTAGATACCATTTTCGTGACAGAAGTCTGCAATCACTAATTGGTCTTTGAGGGGAGTGTCAGTCAGTACGACGACCTGGAAGCGTTTCAACTGCGACAGTTCGGCCGTAAGATTGTCCGATTCAAAAATAGTAACGGGGACATATGAGTTGAGTTCAGCAACGCGCGGTGCTGTAACATCCGCACGACGCTTGCCAACATCTTGCGGCTGCAAGAAAAACTGGGAGGAGAGATCCGAAATGGCGACGGGGGCGGGATCAAAGAGTGTGAGTGACTTCACGCCGGCCAGAGCGATGTTCTTGGCTGGATTCCGGTTAGAGTTTTGATTTCCTAATTTTCTAGAGTGCTGAGTGAAAGACTTACCGATTTCGACACCAAGGCCTTTCAAACCGGCAATAAGAATGTTGGATGAACCCATACGTTTCATAGCCTCGTGGCCTAGCACATAACTGCCCAAGAGGATGCGTTAGAAAAGTAGCAGCCACGAGTGGAAGGATTATATGACTTACAGTTGCCGGCTATAGAGAGATTCATCAATTTCGCCATGCTTGATCAACTCCACAGTCTCCTGTGGCTTGTCGAGTTGCATTTTGCCGTCCTGAATATGCTCCGATTAGTTCCTGTAAGAATGCTTTTGACTTCTACATATGTATGAAATATTTGAGCAGGAAAAAAAGTCTCAGATGCAAGGAGTCCATCTATAACTTCTGCAAAGGCGTGGCGTGTCGTGTCAGAAGTGTATTAGAAATCAACGTACCGTCATGGTCTTCTTGTCCGGCCGAGCGGCGTCCTGGTCTTCGGAGGCTTTTCGCTTTTTGGGCGTTGCAATATCAGGTATATCGGCGTGAGAATGAATGGTGATTGTCTCTTTAGACGAAAGCCTTGCCCGCTGACAAGGCTTTCCGGGGTTTCGAATGTGTTTGTAATCCGCTGAGGCCCTCGTGCTTATCGGGGCCAGGAGAGAACTGAGCTGCTTAGTAAACAAAAAACGAACGAACTCAGCTGGCGGACTTCCAGAAGGAACACGATCAGTTGAGAAGAGTAGAAGCAGCTGCGTTGTTGTAGGGACGAGGAACAGTTGGTATGGCGAGGAAGAATGGAGGAGAGGAAGGAGCAGGTGTTGTCGACGTAAGAGAGGGACAGCAAGAGCTGCTGCGGCGGTGTGATTGGCCAGAGCCCCGGCCTGCCCCGCTTGTGGCCTCAGGCAACGAGCTGAGGCAGATCCCCCGCCAGAAGTCTTTGGGCACAGCGAAGCCACGTAATTAAGAGGATATTATGGTACGAGATAGAGATTCTTTGGAAAAGCAATGGCGGAAAGTGAGTATCCCTGGCAGAACAAAGGTGCCTTTGTGGTGCTTGTGCGTGTGTTTTTGTAGCTAACTCAACAAGGGGCGCTTCGTGCTGATGTTTAAGAAGATCGCGCCGCACTCGCGTCAACAACCTCAACAACCTGAATAAGCCACCAAACCCTCGAGCAATCGTGGTCACCACATCACCAGACAATCCAATTCCTGTGTGCATACTTTTTGATGAATATCGATAATTGACGGTGGAAACTAAACCAGACGGAGACGTTCGGCACCATCTCCTGACCTATGGCGGCCGAGACATCAATCTACGAAAATGCTCCATGAGATTCTCCTTTCCCTCTCAGGTCAGCCTTCTCCTCTTCTTGACCCGGAACTCGAAACCAATGGCACATCTTCCGGGCCGTTTCCCCTCCTATCGCCACCGGAGAAAGCGTTGCTCGCGACACTCGCTCGCTTAAGCCGACTGCATGCACAGCTTCGCGCCCATACCGCCCAAATATCTTCTTCGCACCGCTCGACAATTTGCCGCGCCGTGTCTAGTGCTATATCGATTGAACATTTAGGCAGCTTTCAGAAGCAGATACTCGATGTCGAAAGAGCAGTATTGGGCAATGATAGCAACTATGTAGGAGGCTATGGCATCGTGCCGCTTTCTACGTTAGTGTCAGAATTTGCTCCTTGGACGCGGAGGTTAGAGTGGCTCTGGGGGGTAGCTTGCTTCATATTACCTGAGTCGGGTACGAAGGATGCAGCTGCCAAAGAGACATGCAGCGGTGCCAGTCTCATTGACTACCTTCGTGCGGAATCCCGAACAGGCTATTTAGATCTGCAGCGGATTGCTCTACAGCTCACCAAAGCAGCAGAAACAGCATGGATGCGGCAACTATCAATGTGGCTTCTATACGGAGAGCTGCCTACATTTGGAAAGGACGACTTTTTTGTGCAGACAACTGAGGTCGAGCCTGAGGATGACGAATTCAGTCCGAGCAAGGGAACTGTAGACTACATGATGCAGGTCGACTTGTTACCCAAATTTGTGTCCATACCAACGGCATCTTCGATCTTGTTTATCGGGAAGTCTTTAAATCACATCAGGAGCAGGAGAAACCGGTCAACTGTCGACAACGCGACCGGGTCTATCACAGGCATTATTCTTGACCCAGACCATCTCCGTCATTTATCATCACTCAAATCGCCCATTTCTACATCACTCCTTGCAAATGCTGTGATAGCTATCAGGCTTTCGGTATCGCAGACTTCGTTGTCCAAGCTGTTACCGTTGCCCAAAATCGTTGAAATTCTCTCTCTAATCCACGATTTCTTGCTCCTTGGACGAGGGGAATTTGTGACATCGCTTGTTTCACATGCTGATTCGAGGCTTCAAGCACGAATAGCAAGACCAGGAGCTACTACTTCAGGAGGGCTGGGTGAAGTGATTATAAAGGAGGGAGAGGTCTCGGCAGCTCTTGCGCAGACATGGACAGAACTATATACTTTACAGGGCGAGGAGGCTCCGGCGGACGAACAGTTAGACCTTGCTCGGGAGCTATTGAGTTTGAACCTACAGCCTTCCTCCAAGAAAGGCGAGCACGTAATAACGCCCCAAGATAGTGCAGCCACAAACATGACGACCAAGATTTCATTGGTTTCATTCGCAGACCTTTTGTTTCCAACTGAAACAGTTTTGTCGCTCAAAATTCAGCCGCCTATCGATCTATTCTTGTCACCCTCGGATATGTCAGTGTACTCTATCATGCACTCGTATCTCCTGGGCATTCGCCGCGCCCAGATACGGCTGAGCAGTCTATGGAAACACACAACGATGCGCCGCATACATCCGAGCCCCTTGGGCCCTCCTCGAAGCAATACTCGAGGTGGTCAGCACCATTTGCAGACGCAGCGGCAACGGCAAAATATTCGAACAGTTCAAATGCGGCAGATATGGGCCACCGCAAGCGCATCATTATTTGTGCTCTCGGAAATCGGGGGTTATCTGCAAGGCGAGGTTATCCAAGAGTCCTGGCAGCATTTCCAAGCTTGGCTTGAAAGAGGCCCTACCAGCCCAGCAGCGGCCTCTTCACGACCTGGATCCCAACATGAAACGGCAATGGCAGCATTGAGGGGACATTCTCAAAGAAAGCAAAAACTATCAGCACCACCAGAGCAACAACAACACGACCCCGAAACTATCACAGTGGCACACCGCCGGTACCTCTCTTCCCTGACACAATCGCTTTTTCTGACCGAGGTTCCATTCACCAGCTCCCTTCGGTCTTTCCTGACCAGTCTGGATCACATTGTCGCTCTAGTTTCCCGACTAGAAACGGTTCAGCGCAATTTAGATCTCGAAGCAGACGAAGGCGTTGTAGACGCTCTCGCAGACTACGCCAAAGAAGAAGACACATTGTGGGATGAGCTGCGAGATGCGCACGAAGCGGTCCAAACTAGTATCAAAGATATCATCTCACGCCTGCGTGACATAGATGACAGCCGCTCCGTCGATGACAGCCACAGGAGGATGTTTGAAGCCATGGAATCCGGATCTGGACCTAGCCGAGGACCAATGGAGGATCGAAATATGTACATCCCTCGCAAAGCGGCGGGAGTGGATCAATTGTTGATGAAGCTTGACTTTGCAGGTCTTGGTGATAACCCTGTTTTTGTCGATGACGGTGGAGAGAGAGATTTGGTGAATGATTATTAAGTTTGTTTGAGTTCTTGAGCTGTTTACTTGTATATAGATACCCCATGCGCAATTATTACCAAGGTCAGATTCCATGCTTGTTCGTATATTAGCTAGCTACTGACTAATGTTATACAAATCAGTACGAAAAGAGAGATCAAATTGCTAGAATCGGTGGAAACTTTTAATTCGTAATGAAACGCTGAAAACTCATTGCAAATCAGGTGCGCCTCGCTAATTTATGTACTTCTCATCGCCATGAAACATAACGAGAAAAAAAAAAAAAATAACAGTACAAAGGTAAAAATCATAGCTTTTCATACACCACGCATTCTTTGACACAAAGCCATAATGGATGTGCCACCCTGGAGGAGGGTCTTACCAAGCAGTATGTCCACCATCAATGACAAGATTACTGCCCGTCATGAAAGTGCTCGCATCACTGAGCGCAAACAGCGCCGCGCCCCTGAACTCTTCTGGCTGCGCAAGCCTGCCCAGCATATTCTCCGACTCCCATATAGCGCGAGCAGCAGGATTCTTCTCAAACACCATCTCAACCATGGGCGTCATAATATGGCCGGGACAAAGACTATTAACACGAATTCTGTGGCGGCCCCATTCCATAGCCAGACATTTCCCCAACTGAATCACAGCAGCCTTGGAGGAATTATAAACAGGCGACGACATGCCCTTATTCGCGATCATACCGCTCATACTAGCCACGAGAAGAATAGAACCCGCACATTTGTGCTGCAACATCTGCTTTGCCGCCGCCGTGGCCGAGTTGAAGACCCCATTGTAGTTGATCGACATGACCTCCTTGAGTGCTTCCTGCGAATGGCCGATGGCCGGGTGCACGTGGTTAATGCCGGCGTTACAGATGATGCCATCCAGACGCTTCTTCTCGGACGCGATGTCTGCCAGTATGCTGTTGATGTGCGTTTCGTCGCGCACGTCAATCCGGGCGTAGGTCAGCCGGCCTCCGTAATCGCTTTTTGCGCGTTCTCGCGCAGCTTCGAATTCTGCGTCGGGCTTTTCAAGACGGTCGAGACACCATACTATTTCATTAAAAATCGTCATTAAGGGCAGGTAAGTGGAGGTGAAACTACCTACCGTTGGCTCCAGCTTCCATCAGAGCCTCTGCCATAGCCAGCCCTAGCCCTCGGCCACCCCCCGTCACGGCAATGACGCGATCTTCGAGGTTGAATTCACGGAATCGATTGGCATTCTTGGCTCCGTCTGCTGGCAATTTGGTCTGAATATGGTCTGTTGTTTGAGGCGGTGAAGTGGTGACATAGTGGGATACAGCACGGTAGGGAAGGGAGGAGGAGGGCACTGATATTGGATTGTGCAGTACCTTAGACGCATATTTCGCAGTTCTTTGGAAGGGGGACGTCATCTTTCCCCGTACTGCGAAGGCCATGGTTCTTTTCCCCTTCTTTACTTTTTTTTTGGGCCAGGAGTGTACGAGGGAAATTTTTCAAATTCTGAAAAACCTTGCAACCTTGGAAAAGTAACGGGGAATGTTGTCCTTCTATATGTAGCTCTATGTACCAAGGTGACATTTCTCTCGAGTAACCTGGTAAACTGACGATGAGGCAAAGCAGAGGTAAAATAGGATCTGTTGTCGTCATTCTTAGACGACCAATGAAATACTCAACCCTTTCTTTGTCTCTACACAAGTTCCAGAAAACACAATCAAAGTATCGTGGAATTCCTGGGAGGCTGAGCCGACGAATCACATCCAACTTGCCGCAACAGGATAATCTTGATTTTCTCCGTTGTAACCTGGTCTAGGTTCCAGAAGAACAAAGGGGGAAAAAGAAAAAACAAAGCTCTAAATCGAAGCGGTCAATCCTTTCTGATATCTGAAACATTCCGCCAAAATTGCCCAAGAATTAATATGACAGATCCATTGCGTCAGTGTCTTTGGGGGGGAAGTCAAAGCGGGAAAAACCTGTTCATTGGACCAGCAATCTTCAAAAAGAAAAGAGAAGAAAAAAAAAAGAAAAAGATCTGATAGACAGACCATACGCTAAGTATGTGTAAACACAGAGCTTCCGGACGAAGTGAAGATCCCCGGATGCAGTAAGAATAGCCCAAATCGGCAAATCCGTGCCTTTTCGCTCGCCGGAAGCGTCCCGCCAATCAGAGGCCGGGTTATCTACGATCATCGTCGATCAGCTGCGACTTAATCGGGTTCTGATGTAAGTAAATAAAATAAACTCCCTGATGAGCAAGAAGTCGCTGTTAGCTATTTATCATGTCATACTGATGGAAAAGGAATTGGCTCTTGACGCGCTCAGGTAAAGACACTAGGAGTTATGAGATGGATGAGTATACTAGATACGATACTATACTATATGATATGTGTGAACATCTCAGTCTGCGGCGACACATTTTGCTGCCCATGGTCTATCAAACCCTCGCCTTCAGCTAGCTCAATCCCCATCTGATTTCTCTTCTCAACAATGCGCCGATTCTTCCTTATCAGAATTATGCGCAACGACAACGCCAGCATTGCAACCACGCCCATAAAAACGGCGCATGTCAGCATGCCGCGCACAAACCATGGGCCGTCGCTATCTGGATAGAGTCTGGTGCCTATGAGGGGGCCGCATTGCCCGATAATGTTGAGTATGGCAATGCTGCTGCCTTTGCCCTCGTGCGCAACGCGATTGTCCATACTCCAGGTAATAATAATCGTGATTGCGGAGAAGAAGCCGGCAGTGGCGGGGTATATGCATAGATATCTGATGATTGTATGAAGAGATGCGGGAATATCCGAGTGGAAATATCCAACCAGTCCAATGACAAGATAAGCGATCGCAGATAAAAGGGCGTGGAATATCAAGTACGGACTTCGGCTGCGACTGCGATCAGAAAGCGAAGCGGTAACCAGTACCACTACAAAGGCAATCAAGAAGGGAGGCGCTGAGAGTGCCTGTGAAGCAATGGATGAATAACCCATGCTAGGGAGAGGAAATTAGCATTACCTGCCCATATTCAAGTACGGGGCATGGCTTACTTGTTAATGATTGTTGGTAAGAAGACAGGCATCGAGCTGAACGCCACGTTACAACCAAGAAACATCAACTACCGTGTTCATTAGATCCCGCATGAAAGCAGCTAGAAGGGGGGCGGCGGAGAGGAAGAAGGTACTCACAGCTACAAGATACGACATTGGATCACACAACGTCTCAATCACGGCCTTCCAATTAAACCTCTCGGACGACGAAGGCGCAGAAGTATGATGTTCAATTTTATTTTTCGATTGCAATCGCAATTTAGCCACCTTCCTCTGTCGCGGGTTCAAAAATCTCGCTTTGCCCGGCGAATCAGGAATCAATATCCAGGCAAAAACCGCCGCTATCAGACTCGGAAACCCCTCGATAAGAAATAGTGAACGCCACGGAGCGACAGGAATACTGCTGCTCAAGGTCACAATCACCCATGCCAGGCTACTGGCGAAGGAAGTAGCCAAGGGCGCCGCCGAGATGAAAAGTGCCGTTCGGTAGGCGAGTTCCTCGCGTTTGTAGAAGAAAGATAGGTAAAAAGGGGCACCAGGACCGAAGGCTGCTTCTGATATGCCCAACAATGCTCGAAGGACGAGCATGTCCCCAAAGTTCCTTGTCAAGGCTTGACAGGATGCCAGCACACCCCATGCATAGACGCATAATGAGATATAGATATGAGCGGGCACTAGCTTATACATCAAAGTCATCCATTCAAAAGTGATATATGTGATGTAAAACGCAGTGAGAAGCCATTCATACTGCGAAGATGATAGCCTGAGATCGTCGGAAAGACCTGCGATTTTGGCGTTTCCGATATCTGAGGTTAGCTGTCAGCATTCTGGTTTTTGACGGCCAATATTGAAAGGCAAAATGACTTACTTGACCTATCCAGGAAAGAAAGGAGGTATAAAAGAGATAAGAATAGAACCAATCTTCTGTCCAATTTTCTAATAACTTCTTTCTCCTCTTCCGCCGTGTATTCAGCACTCGCGCCCGCGCCCGCGCTACCACGTCTTTTCCTTCGGTGACGATGTTTAAAATCTTGTTCAGAGTCATATCCCTCGTTATAGCTATAATCGTCATTACCACTGCCATCAGCTCCGAGTAAACGCCTATCCGCCCCTCCACTTTCGGTAATCTCAATGTCGTCATCATTGACATCAAGCTTCGTGTGTAATAGAGGCAATTCCGTCGATCCAGGCTGGGGACGTGACCCGATATTCACCACCCTACCCCCAGAGCTGTCTTCATTGCTGCCACTTGTACTGATATCTGGTGTGTAACGTAGATTCAATGAATTATCCGATGCCGAACTCGAGGAATGCATCACTTCGACGAAGGAGGAGCTGTCCGATTGGGGAGTAGGGGTAGCATGAGGGTCGAGATGGGAGGTGGAGGCAGCCATGGTTTTTGCTTCTGGTTTTTGTTTCTGAGAAATCACCTCCGGGACGATGGAAGGCTCATTGCTGCATGACCGAGTGGATGTGATGGTCGTGGTCCATTAATTCGATCGATGCGTGGTGTAAATTATGTATGTCTGCACAATATACGATCAAGAAATGGGCCATAAAGTGATTATTTTCGTTGCAGCAAGGAGTTAGAGAGTTGAGTGAATCGACGAGAAAGCGGCACATGTATCACGTGCGTGCCCCTTAAGCTCCCGTTGGATTCGCGGGCCGGCGCGACGATAAGCTTGGCTTATCGCTGCTTATCGGTCTATCTGATTCTCTCTTCACACTGACCAATGATAAATGCAGCAGTTATGCTAAAAAAGGAAGAAACATATCAAAGCAGGATCGTTCATCATATCCTCTCGATATCCAATTAACTTAACCTACGAAAAGGGCTTGGAGGTAGCGAGGCTTTTCCCGCGAGCTAGCTTCATGAAATGCTTCTGCTTGCGATTGATGTTTGACCTCGAGGTTTGATCAAACACCGTTAGGAAGAATAACCGAGGTTGCAAGTCTTAGCCTAAATCAGGGAGATTGGGTTTACGGATACAAAATCCTCCTGGACACTTCCCGCGATACAGCTGTCAACTACCAAGGTTTCAAACGGGCATGGAATAATCATAGTGGATAAATCTATTCGGTGACCGAATATCTACGTCCTTTTAGCCCGTTGAATCTCAGGTGAATTATCGTGGGTTGATAACAACAACCCTGTTTGTTCTCGTCTCATACTGTAAACCTCGGAATTTCAAAAGCACAATTCGTTTATGCCACCTGAGACTGCGCAATAGATCCAGGCAAACAATTCACATTTTGACCACTTACAGCTGCTATACCCATGGATACTAGACCAACATCGCCGAGAGTCCCAAGGTTCTCATAAACACAGGGTCAAAGCTCAATAAGAATACATAGGAAAGCCGAGGCAACCATGGGTTTCCCTTGTGCCGGGATTTGGGTGCAGCGCTTGGACTTGGATCTGCCTTTTGTGGCGAGCACACGGCAAAGCGCTTACCCTTGTTTTCAACCAGCCCCGGCTAAGCAAAGCGCCGATGCTGCTGGCCATCGCCACAAACCCCAGCATTTCCCGGATTCACACGTATACAGAGAACAGAGCACTGTCAGCGTCAGGACTATATCCGTGCAATAAACAGTGGATCCTGAATAGACTATGCAAGAGATAGTTACAAGAACGCGCGCTGACACCGGCTTAGATAAGCAGGACCGTGAGATTCCGGGGTAACGTCGTGCCAGCTGATTGGCATATTTACCCCACAGTCCTTCTCCACACGGCCTGGAGATTCTCCGCAATGTCAAACGCTCTTCCGCGGGCTCTGGAGAAGATGAGCCCTGGGGGCTCTGCCCGGCTCTCTATATAGGCTTCTCCTCCCTCTCTGCTTCTTTCCTGAATCCCGGCATTCTATTTCTTTTTCCCTGTATACAATTAAAAAAAGTCACGACTTCTCACACCATGTCGATCCTAAAGTTGGTCGAAGACCGACCAACCCCCAAATCAGTCTACAACTGGCGAATCTACCTCCTCGCCGCCATAGCCTCTCTAACATCGTGCATGATTGGCTACGACAGCGCCTTCATCGGCACAACCATAACGCTGCCTTCCTTCAAGAGCGAATTCCATTTTGACTCCATGAGCTCGGACGAGCAGAGCCTAGTCTCAGCTAATATTGTCTCGTGCTACCAGGCCGGCGCCTTCTTTGGCGCTCTATTTGCGTATGGGATCTCGACGTTCTGGGGCCGGAAAATCGGCCTGCTGGTTGCGTCTCTGGTCTTTACGCTCGGCGCTGGTCTGATGCTCGGCGCTAATGGTGAGCGTGGGCTGGGTCTTATCTATGCAGGCCGAGTGTTGGCAGGTCTTGGGGTCGGCGCTGGTTCGAACTTTACGCCTATTTATATTGCCGAGCTTTCTCCGCCGGCTATTCGAGGGCGTCTTATCGGGGTGTATGAACTTGGCTGGCAAATTGGAGGCTTGGTAGGGTTTTGGATCAACGTGAGTTTAGCCTTACCTGTAAGGGTGTGGTTGCATTTCTTTTTTCTACTTGATAGCTAAATGTTGCATGTATAGTATGGAGTCCAAACCACCATGCCGGCAAGCCAAAAACAATGGCTGATCCCCTTTGCAATCCAGCTGATCCCATCTGGCTTGCTCCTGATTGGAACGCTGTTTATTCGAGAATCCCCGCGCTGGCTGATGATCCAAGGTCGTCGCGAAGAGGGCCAGCGAAACCTGGCTTGGATCCGCCAGCTACCCCTAGATCACATCTACATGATCGAGGAAATCAACGCAATCGACCAGGCCATCGAGGAGCAACGAATATCAGTGGGCATCGGGTTCACGAAACCCATCAAAGCAGCATTCACGAGCAAAAAGTGGTCATACCGCTTGTTTCTGGGCAGCATGCTTTTCGTCTGGCAGAATGGCTCCGGTATCAACGCTATCAACTACTACAGTCCTACAGTCTTCAAGAGTCTTGGTCTCCAGGGCACCAATGCATCCTTGCTTACAACTGGATTGTTTGGCTGTGTCAAAACGGCCGTTACCTTTATCTGGTTGTTGTATCTGATTGACCATGTGGGACGGCGAAATCTGCTTTTGTACGGTGCTGCTGGCGGATCGATCTGTATGTGGATTATCGGTGCGTATATCAAGGTGGCTGAACCCACGAAGAATCCTAGCGATCATCTCACAGGAGGAGGTGTTGCGGCTATTTTCTTCTTCTATCTGTGGACCGCCTTTTACACGCCGTCGTGGAATGGAACACCATGGGTTCTGAACTCGGTAAGATTGTACCCTTGATCCTGTCTAGATTATTAGTAGGCTGACAAAAAGGGGGGTGGAAATAAAGGAAATGTTTGACCAAAACATGCGGTCTTTCGCACAAGCCTGCGCTGCTGCCTCGAACTGGCTCTGGAATTTCCTCATCTCGCGATTCACGCCACAAATGTTTGCCTCCATGGGCTACGGAGTATATTTCTTCTTTGCGTCGCTCATGGTATTGTCTATTTTCTTTGTCTTCTTCTTAATTCCCGAGACTAAGGGTATCCCCCTGGAAAGCATGGACATGCTCTTCGAAACGAAGCCAACATGGCGCGCACATGGAATTGTGTTGCAAAGGATTAAGGAGAACGAAATAGAGTTCCGCGAGACTGTCAAGGGCACTGCTATTGAGGAGAAAGCCTCCGCGCCGGTACATATGGAGTACTCGACCGAAGGCGCGCAAGAGAGAGCACCGGAAAATACTGTATAAATAAATAGTGATAAAGCCCCTTGCAGAAGCAAGGTGGATAACGCATAACAAATTTCACTGACTTCGCCCTCAGAATCACTTATTCGGCGGCGGCGGCACCATAAGAGTATATGTTGAGTCCACTTTCCTGGCAAGACTGAAGAACGGATTGATCAAAGTCGGCTTTGTGAGCGTTGGTCTTACAAATATACAATGGACAGCTATAATAAGCTTCGCCACGGCCGTCAGAGCCAATCGCCCCAGGTATGCAGCCACAACTGCGCACAGGCGTCGTAGTCCAGGAACTGCCCACCAAAGCTTTTGACAGTGCCCAAAGAAGGTCTCATACGAGACTTCGAGGAACTTTTCCAGCACGATAGTCGTAGTATTCATATTTAACAAGTAGGATCTGGTGTCCTCTCAAAATAAGGACACCGGTTCTTTTGTATGTATGTATATACGAGCAGTATATACAAGAGCGCTAGCAAGTAGCCAGGTACTAACTCAATGATAGCAAGGCCAACATAAGTAAAGGAGCTACGCGTCGAGAATACTTGAGTGTATTTTACTTCTCGACAGCAGGTCAAGTGCCTTATCTCTCTTTTCTCTTCTTTTTTTCCCCTCCAATTGGTTCCATGGCTTCATAAAACTTTTAGTTACGTTGCGCAATGCAATCGTTGTATCCTATGCTCTATATGCGAAGGGTCACTGACTGCGTACGGGACACAGGAGACTGAGGAATGATATTCTTGTCAAAGCTCGAAATACCGGACAAAAGAAAAGTTTCCGTGTTTAGCATGTATGTTAACTGGCTCTCAGCTGAATGAATACAATGTAGTAAGGCGACACCATACAAGATGATCCAGTAAAGCCACTCCACCGTCCTTGCAACGCCACAGATCCATACCCACCTAATGCAAGTATGTAACCAATTCCCCCCGCTAAACAACCCCCCCCGGGCAAAAAACTCCTTCAAGCCTAACCTTGGCGAAGATCTAACTTAGAATGACTTTCTGTCCGCAGCACTGCGCCTCGACCGCGATCCCTCATGCCTAGCATACGGATGCCACAGGTGCTGGTGATGCGAGCCCGAACCAGAGTACCGATCAGCCACACGACGATGTATTCTAGGCTGGGGACTGTCCTGAACCCTGTCATCAGATCTGAAACTGCCTCTTCTCGCTTCTCGTGCTGGTGATAGCGACGAGGGCTTGTTGCTATTGTAGTAGTACCTGTTCCTACCCTCGATCTCAAACCGCCGCTTTCTGCCCCCTAGACACTCAATTGCCCTGCTCTTTGCGTACTTGAATACAGCCTGCAGCTCTGCCATCAACTCATCGCAGTGCGAGGTAATGAGATCCTGCGCCTGGAGGTAGTCAAGTGCATTTTCGGCGCTGTCTCGCAGGAATTTGGCTGCGTTGGCGATCCTTTGATAATCATCTGATGATGATGGTGGTGATTGTGATGATTCGATTCTGTAGAAGTCGCTCTTTGCCTCAAAGTAGATATGCAGCATGCGTTTGATGTTGGTATTGACAGCGGAGTTTCTGGCGAAATTGGTCCCGTACGTATCTGAGCTTGTCGTGCTGAATGGTGGGCCGTGGTCCTCAAGTGGAGGAGCTGCGATATTGACTTTCTCGTCCTCTGCGCTGACTGAGCGAGGACAGGCGGGCGTCAGGGGACGAGAAGCTGGGCGAGCCAGGTGTCAGTAATCGAAACACAACACTTAAAGCGTAAAAGCAGATAAGTAGTACGGACATCTCACAAACACTCCCCTAGCCAAAATCTCTCTATCCAGCATCTCCTCAACGTCACGCTCCACAAGCGAATCGGGATCAATCCCCAAAAACTCTCGAATGTAGAGCTCCTGGCCGGCTTGTCTGTGCACCTCGCGACCATTGCCACATAGGTCTAGCAGACACTTGTCATAGACGGTGATGTGACCATCTTCTATTTCCTGGGAGCGGCTCAGGATTATGCCAATGTGGTGTTCGATGAGCTCGCAGAACAGGACGTAGAGCTTGGAAGTGCCGATGATGTAGCGCAGGGCGTGGCTGGGTTTGATAGATTCGTATTTCGAGATCATGTCTTGCACCTGTTCATGGAGGTCAGAACGACGCCATGACTCGTCAGTGGAAGCGGGCATGTTGTGTCTGTCTGCTGTCGTTGGACCCCTTCTTTAATGCTGCATTTTTAAATATGCAGGTCCAGTGTAGGATCTTTTAGAGATTGCAAACAACGGAGAGATGGGAAGAGATAAACAAGTGAAGATGGTAGCAGTCGGGATGTAAGATAAGAACAAACAGGGAACTACCGTCAACAATCTGAGTCGTTTGTCTGTACGTGACAAGGAAATTGGACGGGACAATCTAACACGCTTTCTGCTGTGCGCGTAAAAATACAGCACTGCCCTAGGGAGTTAAAAAGCAGGCTGTGTGAAGATATAACTCCTAACCATCAACTCTCTCAGTCTGGGCTATACAAAAACAAGCGGGGTATCAGATGGGTAATTATACTATATGAGGCTCTCAAGGTTCTAATTCCTCTCCGTCCATAATCTTTCTACCTCCCCCACGAAAGTCGAGATATCGCTGCCATGAGCGCAATCCTTCCACTTGCCATCATCTCGAATACACCAAACAGTCTCATCCAGCCTCACAGTACAGCTCTTTGTAACTCCGACTTCTTGACTGTGGCGTACACTCTCCCGTAACAAGGCAATGCCACTTGGGTCCTCAGGATCATCAAAGTCATCGTCCTGGTGGCTAGCACACGTATTCAACGAGTCAAAGCCAATCCCATGTTCCAAAGCACAGCTTTCTACTAGAGTACGTGAGGGAATATCTTTGAAATCGCTAATGAGGCAGTTTGCAAATCCGAGAGAACGAATGACGGGCGTTCGCGGAGTGAGTGATACGGAGGTAGTCTCGTTCTGCATCGAAGGGAATGGAAGGTTGGCCGCACAAAGACAAAGCACGTTACCTATGCATTCGGTTGGGCCATGTTTGCATTGGACATCGGACGTGCTGTCAGATACACTTGGAAGAGGGCCCTCTTATTAGTTGAAAGATTGCGAAGCGTGGAGAACATATGTCCAACTTACCTTCCAATAAACGAAAGGCGAAAATCGACCTTATCGCTGATTTTCTCCATTGCTGGAATGATCAATTGCTGCAGGCAGTCCCTGGCATCAGGACACTTGCTCATGACGTGCACATCTAGGGGCACGGTCTTTCCGGCGTTGTTCTGCTCCAGAGTAGTCGCAACAGCATCCGTCGCTTGTTCGGTAGTATCAAAATATTTAGGCTTCCAAGACATGGCGTAGAGACTATGCAGGTATACGAAATAGAGAACCCAGCAGGTTCCGATGATGAGAAAACCGCGGCGCAGGTTTCGGCTCATGGCGCGTTCCCGCCATGTTGCGTAGGACCTCTGGGTCTTGCCCTCTTGAGCAGAAAACTGCTCTTCCCGGTCCAGTTCCTGGAAGACGTCGTAGGCATTGGGAGGCATGATGACTGTTACATTTGATGGTGATGCTGGAGGGGACAGCGCAAGTCGGACGTGAGGTTGCAGTTGATGCCGCTAGCTGGATTGGGCATGGTGGGCTATTGCGAATATCCATGCACGTGCCACGTGGGCACAAAGCAATGTGGGGTGCCTAAGGCATTCGCGCGGGATCCCATTGGATGCAGGGATGTATATAAATTCAAACTTGTATCTGACATAATATATATATATATATATATATATCCAGATCTAACATGCTTTGGCAAGTATATAAAGAAGTGGCTATTGCTTACATTACTATCACTTATCTAGGTGCACTGAGGAGTTAATGGAAACATCTTCTTGCGCTATAGACTTACTCTGACTGATTGCTATGCTAATTTTATTGCCAATTTCGTATGGCAATGTGCCCTGAGGGTTTTATGCTAAATATGAACAATGTGTTATTGGCATCGCATGGTATGATGCACCGTCAATATCATTGGATGCCTGGCAAGCGAGACTCTCAACTACTGTATGTATACTCATGGAACCTTTCTATCCTAAAGTCCAGTGCATACTGACACTGCAATAGAGAGTTTGAATTAGGTTCAGCAGCGGTCAAGATAGGGCTAATCGTCCGCGCTAAACCCATTCGGCTAGTGGTTACGAGAGAGAACACTCTGAGATAGATAGATACAAGTTGATTCATCCTCGGTTCCTCTGCAGCTATAAATATGGCTTCTTGCACTGTCCTAGAGGCTTTTATTGTCGAGTCTGTGCCAAACAAGTATACATATAAAACATGGCGTCGCGTGCTGCTGCGTTCTTAGCCCTTCTCCCTTTTACCTTTGCCTGCGGGCCGTCATATATCCCGCCTGCGCCCAAAGGACTTACAACGACTCCATCTTCAAAAATCCAAGGGGCGTCAATATCATTCAAGCAGGTGTGTCTGGTTACAATTGACCCTTTCTGGCATTTTTTGCTCACTCCCGAGTCCAGACAACAATATGCGCAGAGAGCGGTGCAGAGTCCTATAGTGGCTATGTTCATCTCCCCCCAAGGGCAGATGATGCAGTTCCTCACCCAAACAACCTCTACTTCTACTACGCCAAATCGACTAAACAGACCCCTGCACCCTTGACACTATACATTGGTGGCGGCCCTGGCGCAAGCTCTATATCCAGCATGGTGATTGGCGTAGGCGCGTGCTCCGTTAACCCAGATTCAAACAGCACGTCCCCAAACCCATGGTCATGGACGCGCGAATCCAATATGCTTTTCGTCGACCAGCCAACATTTACGGGCTACTCCTATGATGTGCTCACAAATGCCACTGTCGATTATTCAACCTCCACAATTACCCCGTCAGATTTTAGCAACGGGTTACCCGAGGTAAACAACACATTTGCCGTTGGTGTGTTTGGGTCACAGAATCTGAATGGAACGGTGAACTCAACGACCACTGGCGCCGAGGAACTCTGGGACTTTATGCAGGTTTGGCTGAATGAGTAGGTTCACCGTCAGAAATGTAAAAGGAGAAGGTAATGGTTGGTTTCTGAAACAGCTTTATAGGTTTCCAGAGTATGACTCGGACGAGGATAAACACAAAATCAACGTGTGGACAGAATCGGTGAGTTTTCATCCAATCATTACCTAGGAACCTGAATGAAACTAGACAGGCAATATATATTACATACTAAAATTTTCCAGTTTGGAGGGAGATATGGTCCGACATACACCGCTTACTTTGAAGCCCAAAACGACAAAATCAAAGCCGACCAGGCAATGGGCAGAGTCTTATCTCCATCTCCAATTCGTGTTGATTCCCTGAATATACACAACGGCTGTAGCGATTTGTATACACAGGCTTCTTTCTACCCCGAAATTGCCTACAATAACACCTACAGCCTGCAAGTCATCGACCAACAGCAGTATGAGTCCGCCAAAACCAATTTGACAAAACCAGACGGTTGCTTTGACTTGGCTGCGCAATGTCGGCGTTTAGCACAGGAGTTGGATCCATATAATCTCGGGAACAATGTGGAAGTCAACACCGCATGTTCTGCGGCTGACACATACTGCTACGCGTATGTATTGGGGGTTTATACATTGTCCGAGGTAAATATTCAACATCGAGGGGGTTTTTTTTGAAAAAAGTGCTAAAAAGACTCTGTAGCGTAGTCTCTACGATATGGCTCAGATACCAACTTCGACAGTGCCACCAACCTATTCAGATGGCTTTTTCAATACGGCGTGGGTGCAGGAGGCCTTGGGTGTTCCAGTCAACTTCACTTCAAATTCAAACGCCGTGTATTCAGGTAAGTCGAGCAGCCTACCAGTCTCTTGCTTCTACTGGACACAAAAGTGTTAACAACAACAGCCTTCGAGAGCACTGGTAATGGATTGATTAGTCGTAGTACTTCCATGGAGGATTTTGCTTTCATCATGGAAAGGGGTGTCAAAGTGAACTTAATTCACGGTGACAGGGACTACCTGTGCAACTGTAGGTTTCTCCTTCACCATCTATGCCTCTTGTCTAACCCTTCGGAAAAAAAAAATCCAGGGATGGGCGGCGAGAATGTAAGCTTGTCAATCAACCACGAGAATTCGGCAGCTTTTAGTTCCAGCGGCTACGAAGGTGTTGTCACGAACAATACTTACATCGGAGGCGTCGTTCGGCAACAAGGTCATCTCTCATTTACACGTGTGTTCGAAGCAGGCCACGAGGGTAGGTCTTATTAGCTCTGCGGAATATTGCATTTATATTGACGTATATACCCGTTGATAGTCCCTGCCTACCAGCCCGAAACCATGTTCAAAATCTTCTCACGGATCATGAACTCAAAGGATATCGCAACAGGAAAAGTTCCTTTGGATGAGGTGCGCGACTACAGCACGAGTGGACCGTCTTCCACCCTTGAAATCAAGGATCTCCTCCCAGTACCGCCAAGTATTGTCTGTTACACAATTGATATGAGCAGCACTTGCACCGAAGAGCAGACGGCGGCGTTGCTCAATGGTACTGCTATCGTGGAAGATTATGTCGTGGTCTGGCCGTCGTCATGATCCAATCATTCTCTGACTTCGGTCTATTAGAAGATTGGGAGGCTTTGTCCATTTTTGTGAAATATGTGCAACATAGACCAAGTATATTAGAAAGCCGGAGGACATTTTTGTCTAGAACTGCATGTATTAATCCAAAGCAGTAATATACATATCAAGTAGGTATCAACCCTGGAAAAATTGAAACTTCTCCCCGCTTTCATCATCGAACGATACTGTCAGACTCCGAATTCTCGGTCTATGGCTTCTCTTCTCTACTTTTTTAGGATGAAATGATGGCTCCTCGATGTCGATAATGTATTTTGCGACTTTGGCAACAATTACTGAGTCCCAGATCAGTTCAGTTCTGTTACACTCAATTAATTGCTGAAGCGCTCGTCGACGAATATGAGTATTCCGGCATCTAGTGCTAGCGAGAAATAATGGAGGGATCACTCCAAGAGATAGCGTGAAAGTGCGTTTTCTCGTGTGCTTGTTTCTAAAGCAGAAACAGTTAGCAGCTATCAGGAGAGCAGCTATTCTTTTTTTTTCCCTTCTTTCTTTGAGGGGAAATTGGCAAACCTTGACTGACTGAGATATGATTCCGAAAGTGCTACTATCGTATCAAAGTCTCCGGTGAATTGGTCCCATGCCTCTTCGGCATCCACAGCTGGCTGGATGGCTATGTAAATCTTGCTAAGCAGATACCATATATGAAGTAAGATTGGATCATCCTGGCCATGTCCCTCAGAGTCTTCGGATAGTTGTTGTTGCCGCTGTTTCTTTTGCTGAGATGTGGATATGAGAAAGCCATGGTGCCATTCCTCGATGGTTGAGGATATCTGACTGAACCGTCCTGGGGACGCCCACGGAGTCTGATGTTCTTCGAACACGGATAAATTGTGCTTTGCATGTAATATGTGATTTATTATTCCGTCAAGCGAACTGTGAAAGTTATTAACGTCGTCAAAATAAAGACCTGCTAAAGGTGGGGACTGGTCATTTCGTATATCCAAGCCCAGCATTTCGATAAGCTGATTTTCCCATCTAATCAAAAGCAGGCCCATCGTCTTTTCCGATACAATATTCCATGCTGCATAAGCCCCGGACCGGCGAAATAGATCCAGTCCGGACTTCATATGTATAATCGCAGCTTGTCGACATCCTCGTAGGCATTCAAAACAAGCAAACACAATCGAACAAATCATAAGCGTATCCACTGATGGAGGCTCGTTGTGACTCTGTAGTGCTCGCAACGCTTTTCCATACTGCTGCGCAGCGAGTAGCCCGAGGCTGATATTAAGACGAGGACCATCACCATGCTCAAAGTGTTGCTGAAGAGCGCCAAGTGAGATGACGCTATGAGCCAAAGCCCGGTTTTCATGAGCCGCTTGCAGCAACGGATTCGAAAATCCTATGGGAAATAGATTCCTCGTTTGGTCGAGGAAGAATGCGAACGATCGTCTCTCTAGTTCTGTCGTGACCAACGATATTGAAGGGGCCCGATAGATAACCATGGACAACGTCTTCGGGTCCTGCGCGTACCCACTGCATGTTCGACGTGCCGATGTGCATTTGCGACAAAAGGGTTTTGTTTCGTCGCATTTTATCCGTCGTGATCTTGTATATTGATTTTGTTAGATGGCGGCTCTCGTCTCAACTCGCCAGTCGCAACTTACTTGCAGGTTAAACAGCCAGTTCTCACTTTTGTTCCGCATATTCGGATACCCTTTTCGCCTGCCATGTTGAGCTAAGCTCCACAAACAAATACTATTCAATGGTTCATAACTGTGGTTGAGGTCCATAAACGATAGGATATGGAGACCGAGTGAAGGAAACTAGTGAAGGCTATTATTGAAGTTGCCGCCGTTAGTGAGGCTAGCTCCACCTATTTGATGTTAAACTGGTGAAGATATTCCAGAATCCAGCTACCTAACCCGGTCTAAAACCGGAGCTATATTCCTAGATCCAGTCAAGCTTTGACGTTATAAACGTGGAAGCTGGGGGGCCGCATACTTGGTACTGCTATGGAAGCTGCCTGGGAGAAAGAATATGTTTTGTTGGGAAGCCCAACAGAACAGCAGCCAGGGACGCAAACTAGCAATCTATCTCAGCTCCTGCATACAGGGTAGTGGTGACTAGAATTGACACCGATCATCACTTGGAAGGTTGGAGGCGGCAACAAATCGGGCAGATCATGTGACCGTAGTGCACTTACATAATCATCACGTGCAGTGCCTCTTGCAACGTGACAGAGCACCCTAAGACAGTCGAACTCGCCGCTCTAGCCTCGTGTACTCTCTCTCACTCCATATATGCAACACACTAACGAACTGCTGCTTCCATGCCTGATTGTAGGAACGAATCGGAAGGGCGACGGTATTCCTTCCTGTTTCGGTCACCCCGGACCAAAGGCCGCCCAGACTTCTACTTGTCCCTTCCCAAGCCATGGCATGGCATGCCATGCAAGATATCGCCGTTTTCTCGGTCCTCTCCAGCAAGAATAAAGGGGACGTGTGCTAGGGCTGCCTTGGCCCCAACCACGTGGAGACGACCGTCCGGTCTCGGCTCGGATCTGTTCTACATAATAATATAGCAAGCATGACTCCGACTCTGACTCTGAGTCACACGAAGAGAGAAGCCGACGATGGGTTGTTGTTCTGCTGTCCGTGCTATACTGTACATCCCGTTTGAAGTTTCGAGAAGGTCGAGCATTGGATGCAGATCCACGATCCTAGCAGCAAAGCCGTCGTTTCAGACAAGAAGAGCAGCACGGTCACGCGCCCTCCGCAGCAGTTCGAGGGCCTAAGATGACATCAACGACCTGACTAGCATTCAGTTAACTAACTAGTTAGTAGTTGACTAACTGTCGAACACCATGACTATGGATATTAGGCTGTCCCGTTCTGCTCCGAAAGCGGATCGAAGCAACAGGCCGATTGACTCACCATCGTGTTGAGTCCCCACGGAGTTGTTCTTATCCTCCGCACTGACAATGCCAACGCAGGGTCGTAAGCTTGGTAGATGCCCGATGAAGAGAATTTTGTGGTATTATTTCAACACAATTACGGCCAGCATAGTATCTAAATAAGTGGGAGCAGACGTCTGTAGCAACACTGCGGCGGGGGTACTGCGCTGCCTAGTTCGTGCTAGTTGGGCTGCTCCGTAGTCTTGAGTTAAATCATCGATTTATGACTGGAAAACATCACTCACACCTCTTTCTTACCACAGCGTCACATCGGGTCCAAGCCTTAACGCCCGTGTGGTCGCATTGCTATATCAGTATCTCCTCGCCCTCGCCCTTCCCGCCGCTATCTTCACGATTCCGTCGTTGTCGTCCCTCTAGTACTCCGTCGGCACGTGCACATACTACAACAAGCGCAGAGTCGATCCTCTTGCTTCCAGAGGCTTCCGAAGTGTCCCTCCTTGTACGTGCCTGCCTGGTACACTCGCCGTCACTGCACGCACGCGTTCACGCGATAGTGATACCGCATAATTGGCCCAGGGAGGAGGACTCGTACGCTGCGCCGTTGCCCATACCTCCGCCACCACCGTCTCACTGCGCTGTAACAGCCAACTAACTCGCTATCGCTTCTCATAGGAGGGCCATATTTCTATTGCGCGCGCACTCTACGTACATGCGAACCGAGAGATACACCTATATATATATACTACCAGGCATCGTACATACATCATGGCCGAGCTCGCAGTGACGACCGAGACCTTCGTCCGCGATGTGGATCAACAAACGGCCATTGACGATGCGGACGATGAGGACATTGCGTACGAGCCGGAACAACAGACACACATCGAGGAGCCAAGGCTAGACATAGACCCTCTGGAAGAATTCCTCAAGCCTTTGGTGCCCGAAGAATCGCGGCTATACAATCTGGCCCGCCGCTTCTCCGAGGTTTATCGACATCTTGCCTTAACATCAGACCAACAATTCCTCCCTACCCCCGTGACTCGACTACCCAGTGGCGAAGAGGTGGGCCGCTATCTGGCAATCGATGTGGGAGGCAGTAATCTACGAGTAGCCTTTATTGAGTTGCTGGGGGAAGATGCCGATTCCGACAAGAGTCCCAGCGATAAATCGCGCGAGACAATCCGCAAGGCCCAGCGCCAACGCGTGAGACGGACACTGGAGAAAGCATGGCCGATTCAAGAGCATCTGAAAATGGACAAAGCGGAAGACTTGTTTGAATGGATTGGAGACTGCATTGCCGAAGTCATAGCCGACAGTCTTGCCTCGGACGCTACCAAGGGGGAGATTCCGGAGGAACTGGAGATGGGTATTACCTTCAGCTTCCCTATAATGTATGCTATCATCCCTTGTGCATGGACATGCCGTCGAGAAGGCCCACTGACAAGTATAATAGGCAGGAATCGCTGGGCGAGGCTACACTAATGCCAATGGGCAAAGGGTTTGCGATTACATCTGATCTCAATCTACGCAATATACTCCTTACCGGCTATGAAAAGCATACAAGGCGATCTGAAGACGACGAACCGTCAACCAAGCGACGGAAGCTCTATGCGCTTCCCAAGCTGAAAATTGCTGCCATCACTAACGATGCCGTTGCTACTCTAGTCTCGTCAGCGTATTGTGTCAAGTCGTTGCCAAATAGTCGCGTTACAATGGCCATCATTGTTGGCACGGGCTGCAATGCCACGATACCCATGTCTTTGACGGATTTACACGAATCCAAGGCCAAGTTGGTTAGCTCACGAGACCCCAAAGCCACGCAAACAATAGTTAACACGGAAATCACTATTTCTGGTGCTGCGGCGCCATTGAAGGAGCTGAACATCACCACTAAATGGGATGTTGAGCTCGACCGAGCATGTTCTCGGCCCGGTTTCCAACCCCTTGAATACATGACGGGTGGTCGTTATATTGGCGAACTTGTGCGAATTGTGTTTTTCGACTATCTCACCAATGTGCTTGGAGTCACCAAAAAAGAGTTGCCAGCAAATTTGGTGCATGAATACGCTCTTTCCACATACTATCTCTCGAATAAGGTTGCACGCAGTCGGTCTGCCCAAGAATTGGTGATGGAGCTCTCACGATCTTTACCGCCACCAGAGTCCAGTGATTGGTCTTGGAGCAGAGAGACTGCAATTGCATTCCAAAAAGTCACCAGGGCGGTTCAGACTCGCTCAGCAGGACTCATCGCCTCAGCAGTTATAGGCCTTCTTGCATGCACACGCGAAATTCAGCTGAGAGACGATAGTGCGCGAAACTCGCCTCAACCTCCGCTGGCAGGCATCCAAAGTGGAGACTCCAATGACGATCAACAAGAAACAGCTGCTGCTCTTGCCGCTACCAATAAGACGCTCACGTCTGAGAGTAATAACCAGCGAGGTCTCATAGTGCCTGTATTGGCGCCAGCGCCGGCAGACTGGCATTCCGGACCTGAGGAGTTGGTTGTCGCCTACACGGGAGGAATCATTCAGAATTATCCCAACTTCAAGGAAACGTGTCAGTCCTATATAGATCGAATGATTATGCGGACGGGTCCTCAGATGGGTGGCAAGTCTGTCTTTCTACGCGAGGCTTCTGATGGAGGCGTGATTGGGGCTGGAGTGCTTGCTGGCATGGTTGCTGGTCAGACTTGACCCGAGGTTTATTACTTTCCATTCTTTTCTTTCAGTTGACCCTCATATGAGCACTCGGCTCGATACGATTTGAATGGGTCTTTCCATTCATCTTGCGGCGTAATATTCGACTGGCTTGAATAGTTTACGTCTTGCATGAGAGAAAGATCAAGCAAGGGCAAGAATCTTCTTCTAAAGATAAAATATAGGAGTATTGGTTCGGGTGGTTATATAACTTATGACAAGGCTTCTGGCGTTTATTTTCCATAAAGCGGAACAAGGGTAAACAGTCATCATTTTAATTCTATAATCAGGTCGTCCTTATTTCGGACTTGGGAGTAGAAATACGCTCATTATCTTAATCCAGCCAAAGAAAGACGGAATTGATGCCTGGTCAGTCAGGTGTCCAGCTTACCTAACCGCATACTGCACGTGACCACATCGATTTCCCCCAGCTTTCCTCCTCCCAGACTATTTAAACTCCGCATCACCTCCTCACAACTTCGCCACTCTCTCCAAACGCCGCAAACATGAGCTCTCAGGCGTACTACGAGCTGTATCGCGGTAGCAGGTATAAAACAACCATGCCGCAATTTTCTGTTTGATGTAGTTTTTTTTTGGTTACAAAAAAAAGAGAAAATACCAAGAATGAGCAAACAATATACCTCGTTTTATAAAGGCTAACATTGACTTTTTTTTTTCCCTTTCGGCAAGTCTCGGGCTTTCGCTCACAGATACGCTCGATGATCTGATTAACGAGGGGCGAATCGAGCCACAGCTGGCTATGAAGATTCTGTCCAACTACGATCGTTTTGTCACGGAGATTCTTGCGGTGCAAGTGCGCGCTAGATTGACTTTCAAGGTATATCCCAACTTTTCCTTCGCGGCGCGCACTAGGCAACCATCACACAAGGGAGGATTGCTAATGCCATATGTTGGGGCAAAAAAATAGGGTCATCTCGATACCTACCGTTTCTGCGACGAAGTGTGGACGTTCCTGATCAAAGACGTTACTTTCAAGCTGGATAATCAGCAAACCGTCCATGCCGACAAGGTCAAAATCGTCAGCTGCAACAGCAAACGTCCCGGAGAGGCCTGAACGATTGAATATCGAATTGCGCTCCCCCTTTTTTTTTCCGTTTCTTATCACGATTGCTCTAGAGGGATGGATGGTTTTCATATCATGGTCGTCTTTTCACATTTTCGTTATGTATTTTACGATGGGCATGGTGTTTTGGGAGTTGGGAATCACATCGTACAGAGGATGGCCATTTAGTTGTCATTAAATACTAAGAAGAGATTCTTTGACACAACCTCGACTTCTGAAACATAAATGAAGTAGTTAGTGTTCGGCAGGCAAAGATGCCGATAAGCGGGACGTCATCGCAATTCTTTAGCGCCAGCATTCATACAAGTTCCGACCATGCTCCTAAGACGAACATCTGATCTGATCTACTACTCGCCACATACAAAATATAGATATGCCACGCCTTCTCCCGTGGCTAGCGGACGACAGACGGCGCAACAATGCTGAGCGCAGTCCAGCCCCTACGCGCCGTCGCGTAACTGCAAATTCAAGCCGCCGTCGCACGCCGTCACCGCCAGCGAACCAAGGCGGCGCAGAACGTGCATCGGCTCTGCAGTTGACTCCCAGACATATCGATGTTCTGAGATCTTGTAAGCAAAAAATAATATACTCGCTGGTGATAGGGTTGGGTATGCTGACGATGTCTCAAAGCGCGGAGTCCTCCAACTTCGCCGGTAGAAGCTCCTCCCATCGAAGAGTGAGTTCGGTGTCATATTTGCTATTAAGTCCTATGAAGGAATGCTTACTTGGCGAATTAAGATATATTAAAGAAGGGTTTGATAATGACGACATGTATATCATGGTTGAAGACGAGTTCTACGCGATCGCGCAACAGTTCACGAGACATCTACACCATGCCGAGTACGTGAAGCGGCGAAAACAGGCCAAAAATATGAATGCGTCGGTTCTGAGGGACATTAATCGACCGACAGACCAGAACACCATAATGAGAGCAGAGACCTTGAAGCGCAAGGAGGCCGAACGTCTGCGCGAGCGACAGAAGCGAGGGCTGGCGCCTACATCGAGACGGCCGCGGACGGAGGAAGAAAAAGATGAAGAAGAAGGATTGAGTGAGCTAGATGAGGAGGAGCGTGAAGATGATCCGTGGTTTGGCACTTCATTGCATACTTTGATGGCAAGTCCAAGGAAGAATAGGTCGCTTGTCGGCCTGCAGAGTATCAGATCGAGTACGAGAGCAGCAGCTGGGTTTCGCTCTTCTGAAGTTGCGAGGTCTCTGAGTGGCCATAGCAATGTTAGGCGGTCGGTTTCTTCTCTGCCGAGAAATGAGCAGCAGCGACGATCGGTGATTGAGTCGCCGGCAATCTCGCCTCCAGCTAATGCCGATGATGACGAAGACGATGAAGACGATGATTTGGAAATCATCGAATCTAGGTCAAGCAGGCCAAATCCATTACCACAGTCAGATGTGCGCGTGCGTACGCGTCTGATTAAGAGAGAGTCTCCAGAAAGAGATATCAATCCAGCACTTCAACGTACGACACCAAACGGGATTCAAAGTGGACGTCGGATAGTAAAATCGGAAGACCAACAAACAAAGAATAACGCCAATTTCGAATCGAGTACCCCTTTACGCCGAAGTGATTTGGAACATGAGCGAAAACTAATACCTACTGAGCTTGCCCGTTCTGAACCCAGACCCAGGAAGAGAATACTTCTTGATGAAATGGACGATGTTGTCACAGTCGATATTAAAGAGGAAGAAGAGTCAAAAAATAATATAATACAGGGCCAGCCTCGAAGGTCATTATCAACAAATCGTACACCTGAGCAACAACAACAAAGGACATCCAAAAGATCTCGCCTGAACGATATTCCGACATTTCTAGTGTGAAACACATAATCCACCATTTCTTATCTCGATCGGCGGTAGCAGTTGTTGGGCCAGGCCGAAATCATGGTCGATATGACGAGCATTAGCTCGTCAGTTTGGCACCGATCCTGAGAACCTTGCTCCTGAGCTGGTCTCTTGTGGAAGCCTTTCGAACAACAGCGGCATTTTGAGCGACCTCCTTCTCAGCCATGACACCGTGGCTGTCATGTCGATGTAGCGTACTTTGACTGGGGCAGTCAGACGGGAATATCATGCATGCTTCAATGGATAGTCGTAGCAACCTACTCATCGTCTTGTGATGGCATTGAGAACTCTTCTTTTCGGAAGTTCGTTGGAGGGCCCTAGCAAATGCAACAAATCATATCAGCGAAACTGTTTTCAATCTTTTTTTTTTTCTCCCTTGGGTCACCGGTCAAACTAACAATTTCGATAATTCTGCCTGGTTCCTCTTTTCGTCTGAAGCAGGATTTGAGCCATTGCGATATTGACGAAAAACACCCGCAAGTCGACATGGCTTATAGATCGAGACAAACTTTTCGAAATGGAAAGCAAAAGGCACAAAAGAACTTTTAGGAAAATAAATCTGCTAATATACGAGCAATGCACAATGCGAGGGCATCTATGTATATGGCTCCAAAGCAGCAGGAATAAATCGATGCAGGAGCCAGTGTAAGTGGCAAAAATACACGCTGAAGCAAAGGAAGAAAGAATGAGGGAGGATTCGTTTATTCCTTTTCCTTATGCCATTTGCAAGAAAAACTTGTGTGGGTTCATATACACTGAAAGAGAAGAGAAAGGGAAAAAAAAAAGATATGAACTGTTAATCCGATCGAACCTCAACAGTTTATATATGTATCTAAATACCCCAGGGTTTAAGGTATATACGTACGACATCTGTTAACCAAGCGATTCAAAATGCCAGGCCAGAAGACCATAAGAATAGACCCTCGGAGATCCCTTTGATTATCTCCGTCGCAATGTGATTGATCGCCCAGTTTCCATTTGAACCCGAAGAATTCAGCTACACGCCAGGGCTACGCTGCTACCGAAGCTACCAATGTAGGAGTTTGGGCTTTCGTCGGAGACTGAAATGTGAGACAGCCAGCCAGCCCTTCTTCAGTTGTGGGACATGGGAGGAATTTGTGCATGCCATGCATATTTTTAGACGAGTATGTACAAGAAACTGCTCCACGGATATTACAGTGTAGTTACTCGGTTTATACCCGAGTATTGTCATGATTATTGTTCTATTATAGAAATCACTCAAATGAAGGTGCCTTTTTTTTTTTTTTTTTCCATTTCTAGATGTTCCGACAAGGCAACACCGAGGCGTGATTTATTTGCCTCAAAAAGAAAGCCATCTACAGACCTGACACGAATACCTCAGATGATTAGCAAGCTGTTTCAAAACCTTATGCCTCAAAACTGTACTACCTAGTTACTAGGCTGCTGCCCTTCTACCAAAACAGTTATTCCGTATAATCATGCAAATCCTATGCGAGGCAGCAACTATCCAGTTGCCAATACACTCGTTGAAGGGAGCTGGAATTCTTTTTTTCTCTTTAATAACCACGTTACATAGGTAACAACGGAGCGGCGAATCCTTTAATAACCCCCCACTGGTCACATTCCTGAGGCCCCCTTTCGCCCAACCCCCTGGCCGCGTGTAACGCAGCAATTGAACCGACTCTTGAGTGAAAATTGACAGCTGTCTGATCTGTCACCTAGGACGAGTTGAAATAAACGAATTACGTCTCAGTCCAATCATTTGTTAGACATGATAGACGTGTAGTGCAGCAAATATTCAAGAATTCCGTGCTGTCGAAACAAGATTCGGGGTCATACATACATAAACGTACACATGATCATCGTAGCCCTAATTCCCGTAGGTATCTCCAAACAAAAGCATGCCACTTCCCGTGTTTTAAAGCTTATGCTCGTGCATATGAGCCTAAATAAGAATAATCGCTGAATTTTTCGATCTTCGGGCTGCGAGGGCTTCCATTCTTCGGCATTTGTGCACATTTTCTTTGCATGTCTTACTTAGGTAAGTGAATGGGGATAGTTTAACTAGTCAACTGGGCTCGGCCAGATATTCTATGTATCTAGACTTTGGATTGAGTTAGCCTTTTACTGTCGAAGGGGTGGAAGTTATGATTCTTCACTTCAATGTGTATACGCATTAATTTTATCAATGGTTAGCACAGCATATGCCTAACACCGCTAAGATTAATGCTGACTTACCTACCTAGCGGATATATGGGGGGTGCCTACTTCATGCGGCGGCCATTATTAAGTGCCACAGTCTATAAGCGAGTAATCTGACCGGTACGTGGAAAAGAAATAAGAAAGATGTGCGCGGTGTATTACTCTATACTTTTCCTATCTAATCAAAAGGAAAATGTGATTTACCCTATGTGTACAAAGTACTTACGTGCAAATTAACTGGCCATTATCATAGCCAAAACAGCTAAATTCCAAGAATAATGGAAGATACGAAGAGCGTACAGATGAGTCTATAAATGGTATAATGTAGGAGGTTATCGGAGCTTTAGAGCATGTCCTTCTAAGGAGTGGTCGCAGCGAAAGCGAGTATACACGGTTGTATATATGTCTCCGATCGAAATGTAACTCTTATCTTTCTACGCCACTGAAAGCTCCTGCACAGGATCCAGAAACTTCGATTGGAGAGCGGCGCTGAGCGCAATGATCTGAAAAAAGTAGACAATCTGCACCTACTACATAGCACATACGTATTAGTTGGTTAAGTTACTAGTTAGTTAGTTAACGTTAACCAAGATGCATGCTTACATAACGGTCAGCCTGATCAAGAAGCTGAACCTCTTAGTCAATGTAGTTATCTATGTAGCTTCTTACTAGCATCGCCCCCGCGTCATTGCTCTTGAACACCCACCGACTGCTCGTCCCATACTATAACACCATGTCTGGCGCCGAAGCGCTTACAATTTTTGGGCTTGTGTGCAACGTCATGCAGGTGATTGGTTTTGTGCAAGATGGAGCCCATATGGCCAAAGCTATCTACAATTACGGATCTCTGGACCCTCACCTCGCACAGACAAGCAATTACATAAAAGGAGGCTTGGAGAGATTGAGGGAGTCGTTGGAGAAGGGAAGACCTCTCGTTCAAGACGAGGAGGAGCTGCTAGACATCGTGAACGGCAGTCTAGAGACCGCAGAGGAGCTAAAGGCCGAGCTAGACAACATCGCAGGCACAGCAGCCAAGGGAAAGCATTCCGCCGCCTTACGTGGATGGTACAAAGCCACCGTGGGTAGGAAAAGGAGGAAGATCGAGAGAATAGAGAAGGTGATGCATGATCGTCAACAGGTCCTAGAGAGTCGCCTCATAGCTCGCATCTGGTAGTTACACGCTCATTTCCGACATTGCCGTGATGAAGTCTTTACTGACACAGTCTACAGCAGCCAGAGCGATGCAATCCTTCTCGAACGACAAGTAAATTTTAACAGTCTCGACCAGGCTTTACAAGGCCTCATTAAATGCTGTGCCTGCGAACAGAAGACTCGGGACCAGCTCATTCAGAGAGGGTTTCTAAATATGGCGACACATATCGATAGTAAGCTAGGAGCTCTCGAGCAGTCGGTTGAAACCCACCTTTCCATCGGTAGAAGCCAGCTCCAGGACAACATATTGTCTCGTTTACAAGAGCTTACACATGAAAAAGAGCATGAGAGGCTGTTGGGAAGCTTGCATTACGAAAAAATGAATGCTCGGCGGAACCATATTTCAGTTAATCATGACGATACCTTTTCCTGGATCTTCCCTCCACAACATAGCAATAGCAATGCTAATATGCAGGTATAGGAAGAGCGGCTTCATACTTATGTGATTATCATGCTGACTTTCTTACGTAGGATAGATTTGTGGAATGGCTGAAAGACCCTAACCAACGTATATTCTGGATCAATGGCAAAGCAGGCTCGGGGAAAAGCGTCCTAATGAAGTTTTTGGTCGACAATCCGCGCACCCAGTTCATCCTTGATGGTGATGCAAACAGGACCACCATCATCTTGTCCCACTTCCTCTGGACGGCAGGGCAGCCACTTGAACGAAATATGCAAGGGCTCCTTTGCTCTTTGATTCACCAGCTCTTAGACACAAAGACAGAGCTCTGCCGGGTCGTCTTGGAGAATGTTCCAACCTCAAGACGGAAGAGATTTCCCGGTGATTGGTCCACCAACGAACTCCGTGCTTCTTTTGTTGCTGCGATTTTGGCCTGTTGACAGCATGTTTGCATCTTCCTGGACGGTGTTGATGAAATGGACGACCACATGGCTCTGTTCAGCCTTCTGGAACAATTGCTTTCTCTACCGCGGCTGCAGGTCTGCGTCTCGAGCCGACCAGAGCCTGCGTTGCAACGACACTTGCAAAGCTATCCCCAGTTTCGGGTGCAAGATTTGACCCGACCTGACATCGAAAAGTACGCCCGCGATACTCTGCAAAGGTTATATGTCGACGACGCAGAGACCATTAGTCGCCTGGTGTCCACCATCTGCTCCAAGGCGGACGGGGTATTCCTATGGGTCGCTTTGGCCCTGCGGAGCATTCAAACAGGGCATGAAAACCGTGACAGCCCGGCCGAGCTGGAAAATCAGCGTCTGACTTCGCTTCCCAACGATATCAACGCGCTCTACCAAGAGATGTGGCGGCGGCTCAACGACAGCGAGACTGTATATCTGGAAACAGCCGCTCGGTATTTCAACCTTATGTTGGAATGTTTAGGCGACCTTAATCTCACCCGAGCAGCGAGTCCGTTATTACTGGCTCTAGCACTGCAACCGCGGCTGGCAGCCGCGGTCGTGACCGGGGATATCGAATCCTGGGAGGAGGCACTAGACAGGGAATGCGAGATAATCTCGGAGTGGTTGCCGATCCGGTGTGCGGGCTTACTTGAAGTGACCACAGATGGGACTGTGACGCTCATACATCGGTCTGCCCAGGAATTTCTCATGAACACGCCAGAGGGTCAACGCATACGCCGCGCAGACCCATCACCACGCGAAGCCCGCCGTCTGAATCTCATGCGGGGATTACTTGGCTGCTGCAGGCTGGAGATAGAGGCCAAGGCGAAGGCACTCCCTCCCCGTATCCTCAACCTCTGCCAACCCCTCTGTCGCAAGTTCACAGATGCGGGTATATTCTTTGATTCGTGCGCCCAAATTTTATCTCCAGAAAGTGCCCACGAACTGTTCAGCCTAGCACAAGCGCTCTATTCAACGGGGGAATGGGCCTTTGATAATTCCTACTACCTGCACCCGGATTTCATCGGCGCCGTCGCGCGCGCGGGTTTCTTTACCCAGGCACGAGCCGGATTTGCCCAGCTCGCTGGCGATGCTCCCCTCGGCAAGAGGATTTCGAGGCCTTATCAGACATATATCCTGGAATCTGTTTTCGACGCAGTAAAGTGGGGTCAAGTCACGTCCGCCCAGGATCTGGCTTTCCTTCGCGCACTTGGCAACACGTCCTCTATCCGATACGCCGGACATAGTACTATCAACTATCGTCAATCACTTGTTGAATCGGAGGGAGACCTAGTCCCTCCATTCTATCTCACCGGCGATCCGTTGGAGATTCTCCTGGAAGCGTCGCTTGATGACGACTTGCCGGGAAGATACAACTCTCTGGAACTTATGATCAGTCTTCTCGAAGGGGGCTATAATCCCTCCAACCGGAGACTCATCTTACTCGATGCCTCCGCCCCCAAGTTGTCAGACATATTCAGATATCGAGACTTCAGCTATCCAGAATTCTTGCGAGGAGGGACGCTGCTCATTGTAGTGAATACCTCCTTTCTTTTAACCCTGTTTGTACGGCTGCTAGCTAGCCGGCAGTCACTCTTCCCGTATGTCGATTTCCCCGCGTTATCTGAAAGACTGATGACCGTGGTGGAAGGCTTGAATACATCGGCGTTTTCACAACTGCTTGCCTTTGTTCCACAGTATACCAGAGCTGGTGATATACACCCTGAGAACAAACCTGCCCAGGAGGATTCCCAGGATGCTCATGTCGGATACGGAGACCCCGAGGATGAGCAGTCCGACAAGGAAGATCTTGAGATCGAGGAGAATTCCGACAGTGAGTACTACGAGAGGAACGAGAGGAACGAGTCGGAGCGGAGAGCTTGGGCCAGTTCCACAGTAGCACTCGTCCCTCGTACCGTCGACGATGGCAATGCTGTTCTTACCGCCCTTTCCGGCGAAATCTTCTCCTCCATTGCACTTGGAATGGACGGCCTCCTGCTTGGGCAGCTGGAGATCCCCGACCTTGAGTCCAGGCTTCGGCAGATCTTGCCAAATGCCAGACGTTATACGGTGCAGGAGCTCGAAGAAGCCTTGGCCATGAATGGGTTTCTGGTGCCATGGAACCTCGGGCCGGACTTCTGGCCGCCCAAGGAGGTTTATTCTGAACAGGATTTATTCACGTGATCCTATATACGATGAGGTTAAGGCTTGAGATAGATTTCTCACAAGCATCTTATGCTGCATATCTATAAGACCCTCGCGCAGATATAATACCTCGATCCACTCAGTAAATGCGGCCCATATAATGCCGTCGCGCTTACACCATTAAGGAGCTAGAACTAGACTGTAGTAGTAGTAACTAGGGAAAGAAAAGAAGATAACAAACACACTTCACAGTTCCATGGCACTCTTATACATCCTTGCTTCTCACAAGCCCTGATCCTACTTCTAGCTTCAAGAACATTCATTCCAGCTTCATATAACAGCTTTGCTCCATAGAAATGGACATATTCTTCACATTATCACTCAAAAGATTTCCCTATTAATATTTTCTTCTTTCTCCAGTTCTATGTTTCCTAGACCTGCGCAAGATGATATGAGATTCAGGTGCGGACAGCATGCAGTGATTGAGGCATAAAGCGGCAGGCCACACGTGCTACTTTCAGAAACCAACAAGCCACGATCTGCCTACTCCTGTCTAGGTAGGTAGGTATACTTTGTTTATTTATTTTCCTTCCTGGGTACCGATGTGAATACGTGTTGATTGCGTCTGATGTATGTTCTTTGTGTATCCATATGCCTAGCTACATACACATACATACATAGTGTGGATTTGTTCATTAGGGGCGGATGCATCACTCATTATTTGATTTGCTTCACTGAGATTATTGACATGGAAACTCAGTAAAGGGCCACTGGTGATGATAAACTGTGGCTTTCTTTTGTTACTCACAGGTTGGATTTGTCGGCTACTGCCATAATACTTCAAGTGTGCTGTGCCATTTCTCGTAGATGACTATTTACATGCACTGCTAGGAGAATATTAGGTTTGTTTAGAATCTTAAGGCTTATATATAGCCATACTTTAAAACATGCACGGAAAAGAATCTTCTTTGATTAATTTCCTTCATTAATTCCCATAACTTGATCTGTAGTAGCTCATCATGAGAACACCTCACCAATTTGCAAAGGTATATTCCAGTAATAGCCGGCAAGAACCATTGCGCCTACGCTCATTATAGCAGCCATCAACACATTCACAGCATTGTTGTCGAGAATATCAAACCCAGTTTCAACTTTTCGACTATTATGGCCCCCCTCAGCAGCGCTCACAACCCTAGAGGGTTGTTGAGATTTAGCCGACGCAAGACCGGCGCTTGTAGCTGTCCTACTGACTGCGTTGGCAGTAGATTCCGTTGCATGGATATCGCTGTCGTACTTGGCCACATCACTATCGGTTGTTGCCGACGGTTTGGTGGATGATGGCCGGACCAGCACCTTGCGGCCGCCGTCACCCTCGACAACCTTTCCAGTCCTCTTATCGACGACACTAGCTTGGAGAAACCCGCCCAAGAAACTATCAAGGAGACTTCCAAGTGTCCCCCATACGGTAACCGCAATTACAAATCCGAGGCGGTCGAAAAGCGACCACGATTCCGCGCAGAAGGGTACAAATAGAACCGACGTTAATGCCACAGTAAAGGCCCCAAAGACGCCTGCAAGAAGCCCAGCTAGTGTAACTCCGCCATTGGTGCCGGGTGGAACGACTTTTAGAGTTGGAGACGTGATGAGTCGAGGTGGTGTCTTAGACAAGATGCCGAGTTCGGACGAGAACGTATCTGCTGCGACGGCTGCATAATTTCTAGAAGCGAATCAAAGACGTCAGAACTAGCATATCCTTGCTTACGGCGCCTGTCGTAATAAATAGTAGCACAAACTCACGCAATGAAGCCAATTACAAATACATCACCAATATCCGCGCCTTGAGCGAAACAAGTTGCCGCGTATCGTTCCTCCTTCCACATAAAATAGATATGTAATGCGACGATAACAGTGGCAACAATCGAGTTTGCAAGTACTTGAAGATGGTTGCGAGCGCCCTCGCCGCCACGAGCACCGGAGGCCGATAATGTCAATTGGGCTTTGATATCATGCTTGACCTAGAAAGAACATTTCAAAAAAGTCAGGAAGCTCTCTGTTTCCGGGGGGAGAAAGCGGTTCAAAAAATATAACGCACCTTTGTCGCTTGGCTTCCACCAAGGTAGAAGACGGTCAAAAGTAGAAACGGCAATATCCACGGATGAAGGACGTGGATAACAGCGGTGGTGGCCGCGGCAAAGATCCCGGCCGGGGTCAATGTTTTGCGGGACCAGGCGCGAAAAACGAGGGCACTAACCGCCGGAACAGCGATAGCCGGATTCACCATGTTTTACTCCTCATATGAAAGGAAGAGAGAGAGACAAAGAACGGTGTTGCACAGATGCTATGGCAACAACAAGTGGCTCGTTGTCGGGAATATTCATTTGGTGGAGCCTCGCGCGATCTGCGGCCCTTGATCAGGTGCTGCAGTGGAGCCTGAGGCCCGCTCCCGCCCTAATGTTTCCTATTCGAGTAATCAGCTTTCATTCCGGCGCTCACGATGACTTTCTCGTTGGAAGCTGACTATGTCAGGATAGACCGTATTTAACAAGAAGAAGGCTTTAAAAGAGTGTCTCATTTTGGTTTTTAACGTGTTGTAAACAATGGTATTGATTGATGTTAAAACACCGTGGTTTCCGTTTGCTTTATTCACCTTTGTGCCCAGCGACTGCCCAAGTCTAGGGATCATGCTGGTCAATGACCGGTAATGGATTATTTTAACTTGTCAAACACGGCCTTTTCCGAAGACATGGTCTAGAAAGTGTACAGTTTAATCGACCCTATGAGAGTACCGAGGTAAACATGGTCCGTTATATCAAAACAGAACCAATCTGTGTAGCTGGCGCCTGGCCGAACTTGACTCATCTCATTGCTAAAATCAAAAACAAGTCAAGGATTCAAAGCTTTTGCTCTTCCTTTATTAACACGTTCCATCTCAAACCTAAGAACTGTCGGGGTTAATGTTAGCAAACATGGCTCCTTCGGAATACAGATTTGAAGACTCTCCTGGGCTAAGTGAGTCAATGATCCCATAGAAGAACACTGCATGCCTTGAACTAATATTTTTTTATCATTATAGGACACAGCTGCGCTATTTGTCGCACCCCACTGCATCACCCTCGAGCAAAAAAGACTTGTTATGGGAAGCACGCAGAACCATGCCCCCGTTTCCATCATACCATGTTCCGCATGGGGCGGACAAGTTCCTGTGATGCGTACTTAATCCTCTTCAGCTTTGTCTCAAGTGAACTCTAACGTTGTTCCCCATAGATGCAAGACTTCCAATGAGCAACATCACAAAAGACACAGTGCGATAGCCGCTTTGGTCAAGGATATCAACCAGAAGAGCAACGTAAAAGCTCCGTCCATTAGAGTCGAGAAAATAGCAAATGCTATCCACGGATACTCCGAAGCATCTATTCTGAATGATCGTCAGGCCCTTGACAGTGCGCTGGCAAAAGATCTCGATTTGGGAGAGCGGATCACCCAAATCCGGGGGAAAACACTGAATGAGAATCTTAAAGACCAAGAGATCCGCCAGATCCTCAGTCGACTTGGATTCGATAAAGATGTCTCTCTCGAACCCAATGAGCAAAGAGCAATGCTCCTGCCCCTGGTAGATGCTATTACCAGTGACATTGAAACCGTCGCTAACGAGTCAAGAGAAACGTTGAAACGGCAGCTAGGGTACTATAAGTACGCAGACAAACGCGCCTATAATGCCATAACTCGGAACCTGAGCTCCCTGAGTCTAGAAAGAGGGGGAGAGGACAGTGCTGGCGACTCGGAGACTTCTGCAGCAGCCGAGGAGGTCTCCGAAGAGGAGTCTCAGGAGGAAGAAGGCGCAAAAGAAGACCCTACGACCAACGATGCCGTTCCCGATCCGAAGCCAGAAGGCAAGGAGAACAACGACGTGAAGGTGGTCAATACGTCGGCTCAACGCAACGACGGAATGAAGTTGATCTTCGTATCAAATAGACCTAAGAGAACTGCTTTTCCAGAACCGAGGCCCCTGAGAGAAAAGAACGTTTAGCATGAGCTGCCACGGGAGTGTGTGTTCATGGATATACGTTGATAGTAGACTGTATTTGTGAGGCTTTTTTTTCGGGTCAGTTGAATAAATTTGTGTTTCCTACCTTTCGTCCACGAGAAAGGCATTGTAGCGAGCCTTCGACGAGTCGCCTGTTAAGTAATTCGGCGATGCATTTGGTCAGATGGAAAATGCAATGGTTTGATGTTTAGATAACGGTCCCGCCACTTAAACAGGGCGCTCTCCACCCAGGCTGGCGGGGTCGATAAGCTTCTTTCCTTGCCAGAAATCCTTCGGTCCCTATTTTCCTCTTTCATATTTCGCGTTGAAGAAATCAGAAATCTTCAATATATTCGCTCGACAATTTGGAATCCGATAGACCACCAACTACCGCGAGCGCTCACCTACAGCAAAAACATTGCATGATATCATCATCATGGCTCTAGAAACCCTGCAGACTATTTCTCCCATCACCAACCAGACCATCGTGACTCGCACTGGCATATCTTCAGAGGAACTCGCCTTGCTCCCGGAGACTGCACAGAAGGCTTTCCGCTCATTTTCGCAAAATACGACCTTAGCCCAACGTCAAGAAATTGTCGCACGAGCCCTGGGGATTCTCGCTAAGAAGAAGGATGCCTTGGGACAGGAGATAACCGAGCAGATGGGCCGGCCCATCGCATACACGGGCGGCGAAGTTGCCACAGCGATCAAAAGAGGAGAATTCTTGAATCGCGCCAGCAATTCGATACTTGGGGAAGAAGGCACCGTGGACGGTGAGCCGGAGAAGGGTTTCAAACGTTATATCAAAAGAAAGCCCGTCGGAGTCGTATTGATTATTTTTGCATGGAATGTGGGTTGCATATCTCTGTCTCTGGGAATTTTAGGACTTGAAACTGATCTCACGTCTTCTTTTGAGCAGTACCCTTACCTCATCCTCGTTAACAGCTTGATCCCTGCTATCCTCGCTGGAAACGCAGTCATTCTAAAACCCTCTCCACAAACTCCCACAGTAGTTGAGCAGGTCGCGTCTGCTTTTCAAGAAGCTGGACTCCCACAGGACGTGATACAATACTTCCATTGCGGGTCTTTGGCTCAGTTGCAAGTCCTTATTCGATCGCCGCTCGTCAATCATATCTGTTTCACTGGTTCCGTTGCCGGAGGATTGGCGGTCCAGAAGGCTGCATCAGATCGGATTATCAATGTTGGTCTTGAGCTTGGAGGCAAAGACCCCGCCTATATCCGCGGTGATGTGGACATCCCTTGGGCTGCGGAAGAAATCGTCGATGGGGCTATTTTCAACAGCGGACAAAGTTGCTGCGCCATCGAGCGGGTCTATGTACACGAGAGTATTCACGACCAGTTTGTTGAGGAAGTTAAGAAAGTCCTCAGCAAGTACCGGGTTGGTGATCCTTTCGATAAGAATACACAGATTGGACCCGTCATCTCGCGACGATCCCAGGAGACATTCAATGCACATGTTGCAGAAGCTTTGGCCCACGGTGCAAAGGATGAAACTCCAGAAAATGAAACATTCAAGAACATGCCCCCCGATGGTAACTTTGTGAAGCCCACGCTTCTCACTGGCGTCACGCATGATATGCTTGTTATGAAAGAAGAGACCTTTGGACCCGTTATCCCAGTCATGCGAGTGAAGAGTGATGAAGAAGCCGTGAGGCTGATGAATGACAGCGAATTCGGTCTTACAGCTAGTGTATGGACAAAAGACGTTGCGGCAGCGGAGTCGATTATCGACAAGATTGAAGCCGGCACGGTGTTCATCAACCGGGCCGATTTCCCAAGTCCGGTATGTTCCCCCCCCCCTTTTTTTTTCAACCTCGTCCTCTCTCTGAGACTAACAAATTGAGTAGGATCTGGCTTGGACCGGATGGAAGAACTCCGGACGAGGCGTGACACTAAGCAAGTTTGGGTTTGACCAATTTGTGAAACTGAAGAGCTACCACGTCAAAGATTATCCGAAATAAGCTATCCCTCTTCGTTGCCTCTGTTGGAAATAGTTACATGTACAAATCTTTCCTTTATATGGAGTAAACATCTGTGGATATGAAATTAGACCCGGGCTAGACTGGATTCAGGAGTTGCGCCGACCTCCGTGTCTAATTGTAGAATGCCTCTAAATTGCTGCATCTAAGTTCCTAGTGCATGCATAGACTCGCCAGGTAAACAAGCATGGAGCAACTAATCTATCTCAACGTACAGGATTTTATGCTGGCAAGACATCCTTGAATGCCCACCCGCATGAATCAAGGAGCCAGGAACTAGGCAACAATCGATAGATAAGAAGACAAGGGATGTTTTTGTGATTACTCTATCTACTACGTAGTTATCTACATACGACGATATCGACTAGCCGCCTTAGATCGAAAAGCTTATCTAATCTTGACCCAGAAATAGAAGGCGCTAGGCTCCACCGGGCAAACACAGAAAACAGGGCAAACAAAGCAAACAAAGCAAACAGCCAGGCGCTGCGTCCCGATTGGCCGGTGGTCCTATGACTTGCCTTACTTCCATATTGATCATGGAATCTTGCTTATGCCGCTGATGATAGCTTTCTTGTCTTGTTGCATCGGACATGGACCCGTCTTCATTCTTCATCGAGGCAGTGCGGATCGCCGCCGTCATGCCCCTCGTGTCTGGCCCATAGGAGCGTGTTTGCCTACTCCATGACGCTCCTGGGCCCCGCAGCAGCCAAACAAGGCACCAACCAGCCTGATTCAAAATCATATGTTGTGTAGCAGTTGTTTGCAGGCATGGAGACCAGCGGTCCTGTCGAATCCAGACGGCTGTTGGCCCATGGGTTTGTGGGGTAGCTGTCCGTGTTACTGTTAGTTGCATATCTAGAGCAAGGGCCCTGCTCTTCTGAGTTATTAATTAGGTACCTAATGCGCTTGTCATTACGTATCTTGTCTCTGACATAGTTACATAAAATAGGTTTCTCCTGTGGACGGGGCCATAGCCTACTTATTCTTCATAAGAATCATCGACAGCCGGGAAACTGCCCCCTTTTACTACACTAAGCAACTGCCGCCATGTCTCCAGCTCTTCTTGCGAACAGCTCGGTCGATATCGTTGACATCCGTGAAAACGATACCACCTTTTCGGCTGCCGCGGCTATTCAAGATGGCTTGAGTCCTCCCCAGGGCAAGGACCGCTCCTTTCCCACCCTGTTGCTATACGATGCTGCAGGGCTGCGTCTGTTCGAGGAGATTACGTATTTAGACGAATACTACCTGACTAATACAGAGATTGAAGTATTGGAAAAGCATGCGAGGACTATTGCCGAGAGACTTCCAGATCAATCACAGTTGGTGGAGCTGGGTAGCGGGTGTGTTTATTTTCCCGGACATGCCGAATATCACAAGCCATGCAGAGCTGTCGATGGCACCTTTTTAACCTCCTTCTTACCGCTGGAATTTTAACAAAAACAATTCTAGGAACCTCCGTAAGATCGAGATCCTGCTAAGGGAGTTTGAAAGCCTGCAGAAGCGAGTAGATTACTACGCTCTGGATTTGTCATTAGAGGAACTCCAACGTACTTTTGCGCAGGCTTCTCCTCATTCCTACCAATACGTTCGCTTCCGCGGCCTCCACGGTACCTATGACGATGCCTTGGAGTGGATGAAGAACCCTCAGAACAGACGGCATCCCACATGTGTTCTCTCGATGGGATCATCTATAGGAAATTTCAACCGAGAGGAAGCTGCAGATTTCTTGCGTCAATATGCCGAACTTCTAGGCCCAACTGATTCCATTATCATTGGCCTTGATGGCTGTAAAGACAAAGATAGAGTCTACCGCGCTTATAATGATTCGAAGGGCACCACTCTTCGCTTCTATAGAAATGCGCTAGTCCATGCCAACGCCGTCTTAGGCTATGAGGCGTTCAAACTGGACCAATGGGATATCGAATGCTCGTATGACGAAGTTGATGGCTGCCATCGGGCGTTTTATGTGCCTACGAAAGATGTATCCATCAATGGTGTATCAGTCAGCAAGGGAGAAAGAGTCAAGTTTGAAGAAGCATACAAATACGACTCCCGCGAAAGAGACGAACTGTGGCGTAACGCGGGGCTCATCAACGTGGCAGCGTTGGGAAATAGTCTGGACAATTATCGTACGTCAAGATTTCCCCGCATTTGTCTCTTTTGTACATGCATCCCTGCATAGTATATACTATCCAGCATAGCTCGATCAGTTTCACTACCATTTGATTCACTACCTGGACTGGATAGTCAAGACGCGCATCAATCTGTACGCACAGGCTAGTGGACTTGCGCTAACTCATCTTTCTAGATCTCAATATGCTATCACCGTCAAGCGTCAGTTACCCAACTCTTCCAGCTGAGTATGCGCCTAATCCGGTGCCCTCCTGGGAAGAATGGAGGTCACTCTGGACAGCTTGGGATATTGTCTCGAAGACGATGGTCCCTCGGGATGGGTTGATCTCTAAGCCGATCAAGCTGAGAAATGCTTTAATCTTTTACCTAGGACACATCCCCACGTTCCTTGGTAAGTAGCTACTACCTAGCATGTGCAGAAAAGTGTAACGACACTATACTGACTTTCGGGTAGACATTCACTTGACCCGTGCAACGCGTGGCAAGCTTACGGATCCGAAATATTATCCGCAGATTTTTGAACGCGGTATTGACCCGGATGTGGATAATCCCGAGCAGTGCCACGACCACAGTGAAATACCTGATGAATGGCCTGCCCTAGGAGAAATTTTGCAGTACCAGGAAAATGTTCGCAGTCGGGTGCAGTCTCTCCTGAGAATGGAAGGCTTATCAAGGAACCGATTGCTCGGCGAAGCTCTTTGGATTGGGTTTGAGCATGAGGTCATGCACCTGGAAACATTCTTATACATGCTTCTACAGAGTGATAAAATCTTGGCTCCCTTAGGAGTTAAAAAACCAGATTTTGAGAAAATGGCGCTCATTGCAGAGCAAAACGCGAAGCCAAACCAGTGGTTCAGAATTCCTGAACTGGCATTTACGGTTGGGCTGGATGATTCGGATCTCAGTAGCATGCCAAAGGAATCTTTTGGCTGGGACAATGAGAAACCAAAAAGAAATGTCGCCGTACATTCTTTCGAGGCTCAGGGGCGCGCCATCACTAACAGGGAATATGCACATTACATGAAGGAAGCAGGAATACATCGTATACCGGCCTCATGGGTGATCCAAGCTGCGAATAGCTGGAACAACACTTTCAACGGACTCCATACGAATGGAGTTTCAAATGGACACGGCAATACCATGGACGAGTACGCCGTGCGAACGGTCTTTGGATTATTACCATTCGCTTGGGCAGCAGACTGGCCGGTCATGGCGTCATATGACGAATTGGCCGGATATGCTGCATGGAAGGGTTGTCGACTTCCCACTTTTGAGGAAGCGAGGTCCATTTATAAGCATGCTGCGGCGCTTAAGCGGGGACATGCCCCTGACAGCGTCGACCGTGTAAGGTGAGCAAGCTATACATCTGATCCAGAAGGAGTTCTACTTTAATTAACATATATATGTTAGCAATGGACACTCGAAAACCCTCAGAAGTGGAAGTCGAACCAAAATTGCATCCTCAGAGCCCGTTTTCATCGATCTGTCTGACGCCAACGTCGGATTTAAGAATTGGCACCCCGTCCCTATTACCCCCAATGGCGATAAACTCGCTGGACAAGGTGAATTGGGCGGTGTATGGGAATGGACCAGCACCCCGTTGAATCGACATGAGGGATTCCAGGAGATGGAGGTCTATCCTGGATACACTGGTAATTACATCTTCTGTTAAGTGGATACGATAGGAGACTAACCGCCCTTGTTGATAGCCGATTTCTTCGATGGAAAACATAACATTGTACTAGGTGGATCGTGGGCTACGCATCCTCGCATCGCAGGACGAACCAGTTTGTAAGTTCTGTCTTCAGCGGGTCTTCATCTTCTTTACTAATTTCGTAACAGTGTAAACTGGTATCAGCATAATTATCTATATGCCTGGACTGGAGCAAGGCTTGTACGCGATATTTAATTGTATGATACAGGTTACTAGTTTACTCGATTTCATTACTTGTTTGAGAATGTATCACATATGAATATTTGGCAGATTGGCAGGAATTCACACATTAAACACAACTTTCATTCCCGTATCGAGTGGTTTTAGGTTTATTCATATCTTACATGCAGGTTCAGGTATTTTCGTATGAAGCATATTTTTAGGCGATGTGTACATTATAGATGAAATCCAGGCTGATCCGAAACCTCACAAAATCTCCACAAGCCAGCGTCTCGAGCTGCCTGCTTTACCGAGCCCAACTCGTCATCAGTCACGGCTCTATTGATATCTGCATATCTGACAGTTTCGTCTTCATCATCTTTCCCCGAGGCCACCTTCCTTCGCTTCTTCCCTACATGCGCATCCGGATGATACTGCTCCATAACATGCACATACAAATCTGTCGAAACATTCTGTGCCAACCACCTCATAATCTCTCTCCCTTCACCCTCCTTCCCCGGCATAACAAGATGTCTCAACAACACACCTCTCTGCGCAACGCCATCAGACGTAAAACTCAAATCTCCCACCTGCCTATACATTTCTTTGATCGAATCCCTCGCCACTTCGGCATAATTATCCGCTTTCAACAGGCGTCTCGACGTCGACGAGTCCCACACCTTGAAATCCGGCAGATATATATCCACCAGCCCATCCATAAGCTTCAACGACTCGATGGAATCGAAAGAAGAGGTATTATACACAATAGGCACCTTCAACCCCATCTCCCTCGCGGCCAAAATCGCCAACGCAACTTGCGGAACAACATGTTCGGGAGTCACGAAATTGATATTGTGCACGTTCCCGACTTCTTGGAGCTTGAGCATCCATTCCGCGAGCTCGTCCGGTGTGAGATCGAACCCATTCCGCTGATGCGCGATGTCGTGGTTCTGACAGAACACGCAGCGCAGGTTGCAGCCGGAGAAGAATACGGATCCGGATCCGTGGTGGCCCTGGATACAAGGTTCTTCGCCTCGGTGGGGTGCGATTACGTTGACTTTGACCGTTTCTGCACCAATGAGGCATACGCCTGTCCTTTCGTAGCGGTTTACGCCGCATAGCCGCGGGCAGAGGTTGCAGTTGCGGAGGTGCGAGTAGGCGAGAGATCGCTTTTTGGCGCTGTCGATTGAGGTCAGGAGTTGGTAGCGTGGGATGTAGTCGTCGAGGAGGTACTGCGGAGGGATTCCGAGGTGGCGTTTTGTTATTTTGGGTTGATAGTTGATGATATTTGAGTGGGTGTATGGGCACACTCGTGCTGAAGATAGTGTTCCTCCTGTTGTTGTTGTCGCCTTTTGCGAAACGAGGAGGCTGCCAGCAGTCCCTCTTATAGAGATTGTCGTTCTGCCTGGCATGAGCATTGTTATTGGTTCATGTCAGTTGGGAGCTCAGTTTTCTTCACCCCCCCTTTGTTACCCAGTCTTTTGCTCGTTGTCGAGCAAGCGACGAGAAGAAAAGAAGTAGATCGGTTAGAAGAACATGCCGGATAAGATAAGCTTATCGGTGGACAAAGGACGTCATAGCGCGAAGTCTCGCAAACCAATCATAGCGGAATAATTACATTTCACATATATATACAATACATATTGTAACTAATGACAGGGGAAAAAAAAATACAACGTATATTGCTATGGGAAAATCGCATACTGCAGGGTTGTACATATACAATACAGGGGTATTCGGCAACTAAATAATCAATCCGCCAGACACGCATCGAAATGGCTAAGCACAACTCTTCGATTTGGTTTTCATTTCCATCCTACCAGTGCTGACCCCCAAGTCCATGCCATATAGTCATTGTTGAAGTACAAACAGACTTGCTATAGTCCCCCTACAGAGCCAGTCCGCTGCCATCGCCTGCCCATCGGTAAAGGGAAAGCACCTCGCGCCGTCTTTGCTGTTGCTCGCCAAAATCGTCGGGCATTCGGCCACGCACTTGTGCCAGAGCTGAGCGCATGACTTTGCGGAAATTTCGCTGAAGGTTATCCGTCAGTGAACAAGCTAGCAAAAAGTAGAGAAGAAAAAGGCATACCTGGTACTCTGTGTTCAACGTCACAACGCAAGCCTCATGCGCGCGAACGATCGTCTCGCATGCTCTGACAACGCTGGGATCGACGTCGGCTTGCAATTTATCGGCTGTTAGCAACAACAAAAAACTCCCTTGCAAAAGATAGATGCCAAAGAAGAACGGCATAAAGCTCAGATCAGGGTCGTATTCCAAAATATCAGAAGCCGCCTCTGCGGCCTTGACGGCATGTCCCATAGCCGTGATGAAAGCCTCTGACGAGATCCACAAGTCGTTGTCATCCAGTAGAGAGATAGGATCCCATTTTCCAACTAGGAGTATGTGTAGCACGTGCATAATATGATTACCGTAGGCGACAACCATCCTCGTCTGCATTAAGGATTCGTTCATTCGAGACCCAGCGGTGCTCGACGACCTGGCTGATGGGCTGACATGGTCGATTCCTGTGGGCTGCGGGTTGATGCCAGATTCATTTTCGTTGCCAAAATTACCCAGAGACGCGGCATGCCGGGCTTCAAATTCCCGCAGGCTCTGCTCGTAGACATCAAGCTGTCGGGTGATCTCAACAATCTGGCTATCCCACTCCCTGCTGCTTCGAAAATGAGCACCAAATCGAGGATGGTTCCGGGCGTGATTGAGATCAACAATCTCGCCGAGAATAGTCATCAAAGGCAAGAAATACCCAAACATGCCATGGCCATTACACTCGAAACTTGGGCCTGCTCGTCGATAGCCGGCATTTGAAAAATCGCCAGCATGCCAGACATCGTCATTCATCGGCTGTAAGAGGCCTTCGCACTCTTTATCTAGGAGCGTCAAGGGCCGGTTATAGCATAAGGCTAGATGGCGATCCATTACATAAAGAAGCCACCATATGCGCCTGCGCTCTTCACGCTCTTCCTCGGTGACATGACCGTTTGAATTAGAGGCGCCATTTTCCCGCGACTGCTTGAGCTCCATCTCGACGTTGCCATCTCTTGTAGGCCCTCGTGGCTGCGAAGGTGTTGGCGGAAGCTCACGTCCAAGTTTCAACTCTCGCGCCAATGACCATGCTGCTGCCCACCACCGGATGCTCGCCGCCTTGTACTCGCTTGCTGATATAACAGTTGCCAGATGAATGTAGGTGGCTACATCATCGACTGCCCCTGTAGCGCTGCTCTGGGCACCTAGTTGATCCATCGATACGCCAAACCCACCCAATGCGACACCATTAATTACCGCATTAGCAGCGTAGTTTGGAGAAGCTTCTCCTGGCGTGGGACCATGTATCAAAGGTCGAAGTAGCCCAACTGCAAGCTCCAACAATTTCTGGCAAATTCTTCCACGTGCGGATGGTGGAGATGTCAAAAATGCCGCGTCACTGGTCTGTGCTGCTACCCATAGCATACTCGCTAATAAGGCTGGACTGCATGTGCGAGGTTGGCTCGGATGTAAGATGGAGTTCTTTCTGAATACATGCCCAACCACATATGGTGACTGCGGGAAAATATGCGAAGCGGATGAGCTGGCAAAGTAAAGGTCAAGAAGGTCACATGCCAGTGACTGCGGAATAATAGACACTATGTGAGGTATCACGGGCTCCAGAACAGGATATTTGAGAGTGCTGGCGAGGCCCGTGGACATACTCAATGGCGGGAACCCCACGGATGGGCCTGGAAGGGGCAGCCATCCAGGAGACTGTGCTGGAGGATCAAGGCCAACGAACTGGTTTGCAGATGTATCTTCTCCAGAATTTGCAAACTGATAGGGGTTTATATTTGTTGCACCGTGGTCAACCAGGTTATATGTGTCATGGAACCCATTAAGCCCAGCGGGAACAAGTGAGGATGGGGAGCGTGACTGCAAGTCTCGCAGATTAGGCACCTGAATAAATGACCGATCTGCGTCGTGTACCTGACCATAGCCATTCATCGCAATGGAATTCATGTTCGCAGCAAAATACTGCCTTGATCGTGTTTGCGGTGGTGGCACCGACTGCGGCTGCTGGGATATTTCATGCAAGGTATTACCCCCCGGCTGATCAGTCTGCGTCTCTTGGAATTGCTGTTCTGTATCATCGATTTGAATCATATGCAATTTCGGATGCTTCCCTGATGTTGGAGATGGGTCTGAAGCCGTATCAAAGCCCGCAGGATCTGATATAACAACCCGCGACCCATTTGCAGCAGCCGCCTTGGCCGCTGCTTCTGCCAGATCTTTCTTCGAGGCTTTGCCGCGCTTTTTTCTTTCTCGGACATATTCACAGCTTAGACCGGATTCTATAGCATTTCACAACCGGGAAGAAAAGAAGGAAAAGACAGATTTAGTTTAGTTTTCCCAATGTGTTAGGTGAGATGGATATCTAACTCACCAGTGCAGTGTGCACACGGACTTTGTCCGTCGCATTTAGTCCGCAGCTGGTTGCATTGGTCGCAGGCACGACTGATCCGGCGGCGTACTGCCGACGTGTCGGAATGCTTGCGTATAGCTGATCTTGCATCGGAGAGAGAGTTACGAATGGCGGGTACTTTGAAATTGGGGTAATCAGCTGACGGGCTGGCCGACTTTTGGTGCCGTAGATGATGGTTATGATCTGTCTTGGTAGAAGATGCGTCGTCCAGTTCGGCCTCACGCGCGAGGCGCAATTGCTCGAGGGCGTACTCGGAGCTTTCGGCGAGGGTATCCAGCCCGGGAGTTTGCGACTGCGTAGGAGATTCCGAAGGATGATGTATTGTCGCAGACATAGTTTTGCAGCAGTCTATAAGACAGCAACTCAAGCTGCGCAATGGATGACCACTCTGGATACAAAGTGTTACCGGAGTAGTAAAGGCATGGCGCGAAGTTGTCTCAACCCGCCACCAGGTCGGCTGACGAGAGAGAAAGGTCTTCTCTTTTCCCGAGTGAAACCCCTAGGCCTACAATTGACCTTCGACGAAGAAGTGATGAAGAGCGGCAGAGGCGAGAAAGATGCGAGACGGACTAAGGAAGAGTGCGGGGCTCCACACATTTTTAGATTTGCTCCGGACGGGACGGCGCTAACCTATACTGGATTGAGGAAGTACAACTCCAATTTCAAGGCATAAGAATTCCAAATATAATATAGATAGATGATTATATATTTATATACACATGTGTTGATGCATGGCTGACGTGTGGCGTGCATTGTATAATAATAAAACTCCAACCAAATGCTGACAAAAAACCAACGCCGTGCGTAAATAAATAATACATGGTTCCCTGTACACGTCCTGTTGCAACAAAATCTAATTTACAATATAACATTAATAAGGAGCATTTCTTCGTGTGATAGATCAGCTGAAGAAATACTGGCTGTCCTTCAATCGCTTGACGTCGAATTCTCCCTTCTTGGGAATATCACGGAACTCAAGTGGCAGCCACGCCCATATCATCTTCGGCTTGGCTTGCCGACGAGGCTTCTCGTTTTCACCGTCTTCCTCTACTTCTTGAGCCTCCGGCTCAGCAAGCATCCTTTCTTCCTCGGTCGTCTGCTCACCGTCGGCTTCAGGGTTCACGTGCGGGTCAAGATCGGTGAACAAGCTGACCACAGCGGGGTCCTTCTGGTCAATAATTGAAGGGCTAAAGGAAGTGTGCTGTCGCTGGTCGATGCTGATATTACCCACTCCAGTTTCACCTAGGGTAGAGGCTACCGCCAAATCATTGTGAGTGCCATTCATGTTTTCGAAAATGCTCGCTGCTGTTTTCATGGCACGGCCTTTCTCTTGCAACACTGGATCATCCGATCGGAGGAGAGTCTGTCGTTGATGCTCCAACAACAGCTCTGCCGTCTGTGAATTCTTGGTGTGGTTTGCCTTGCGATAGGAAGATATTTCTTTAGCAATGCGGGAGCTCTCTGGGATCTTAGCCAAGAAGATATAGCCATCATAGCGCGCACGGAACTCGGCCGCCAGTCTTCCGATAATATCATCCGTATGCATCCGAATGAAACAGTCACGCAAAGCAATGTTCATCGTGTCGATATCGCATGCATGTGTCCAGAAAGAATCATGGACAGCAGAGAATACGAGTCCCTTGCGGTGGCAATCAATAGCAGAAAGCATCATATGGGTGGCGTCCAGTGAGTGAATGAAGTTCGGAGGAAAAGCCTGCAGTTGCTTGCGCTTAGAGACATTTTCCGATGTTGTATCCCTAAGAAGTTGCAAACTCTGCAGCGTGGTGTAAACACGACGACATTTCGACGCTCGGTAAGGCTGAACCACAGGGAGACCCAACGGTGTAGTCCAGATAATAGTGGATCTAAACATTTTGAGAGGATCCATATCGCTATCCTTTTTGCTCTTACCACGTGAAGAATTGTCTTTTAATGCCTTCTTAGTGAGAACGTCGAGTTGATCCGGGGATACGGCTTGACTAATTCTAGTGACACAGTCACCCAGCCAGTATTGAATCGAATGGGCGCCACTGAAGATGGTGCTTAGTGCTTCGAAAATAGCTGCTGCAACGTACTTGCTGATACCCGAAACTGATTCAAGCCCTGGGTAGTGTGCAGCAAGCTGTCGCCGAACCTGACGGATCGCACCAACGAAGGTGACACCGTACACGTTAGTCATAACAGTCTGCTTGACGATCTTTCGCTTGATTTTGCCCTGAAGAAGTTTGGCGATTTCATTTCCGGCTGCAGCATCCCGATCGACCTTCTCAGTGACAAAGTCGGCGACACCGGTGTAAATATCCTTGGGCCGGTCACCAGGTTCTAGATTGACATGTTGAGCACCTTCCATATCTCCTCCCAACGCCGCATAGTGCTGAAGACCGTTACACGAGCCATCCTGGTGAATGGGCAATCGGGACATGTAATCTTCAGGGTTTTCCAATTGAAGCGCATTTCGTAATTCGCAGCAAGCTGCAAGACACTGCCATGGATCCTCCGCTTCCAAGAACCATCTCCGACCATGCAGGCCCTTATTAGCCGAATCAAGAATGTCGTCCAGATGCTCCATGGCGAATTCTTCTCTTTCCTTCAAACTTGCCTTGTCATATCCATAGACGTTGGAAAGATGGATCTTCAGCCATCTTAAACCAGTTGCGCCTAGCCTCTTAGCCTTTTTGAATAGAAGCAAAGAACGGGCATTATCTGCGGACATCTGATTCAGATACGCCGGAAGTGGGTAAGCGCGACCACGGAAATCCATATTGTGAGGGAGGTAAAATGTCTCATTCTTGTATGCGCGAGCAATCTCCATTTGAAAGTTGATGAAACATCTCTGCGAATGGAGACCGGATCGAAGGTTTTCCACTTCACGGAGCTTGTGGTTGTACAATTTGAGGCCCTCTGCGTCGCCTTCTTCGGGTTTGACTGGCATTGGGATCTCTGGGTCGAGTGGAGGGATTTTGGCATAACCCTTGCCAGAGTTCCACGCTTCTAGCATGACATCAAACACGTCGTTGTTGATGGTCCATGCTGTTTTCCCCAGAATGTCCAAGCCAGCGCGAACTTCTGGGAGGCCGCCATCTTCAAGGGCTTTCTTCATGTAAGTCTTCTGAAGGGTGTCGCCAGGTGTGCAGCGCATCATATGGCTGCGGTAGCCCAGGAAACCACCTTCATCGAACTGAGACCACTGCTTGGGTTCGGATAACATCGGCATGTGACGAGCTTGAATGGCACTAGGTGCCTCGCGAATAAGTCTCCGGCTGACTTGAGGATGAGCATGTATGACACCGAACTTTCTTCCTCGGGAAATTTCGTATGAATGTTGAAAGGCGGGCTCCATGATGATGACGCGTTCCTTGGTATTTGGATCTTCTTGGGGCACAGGTGCTTTCGCACAGTCAAACAAGAGAGACAGCAACACACCCCCTACCCTAGCATGAATCTCGACTGGCCAAGCGCAATTGGGATCCAGATGTTCGTTCTGTTTCACAAGGTTCTTGAACTGCATACGACCTTCTTTTTTGTTGCGGGTTTCCATCACCTTCTTAATCAACTTTTGGCGACGGAGATCGTCTTCGACTCGAGCAAGCATTGCCTGGGCGACCACTTCGTTTTGAACTTCCTGCCCGAGAGATGTCACCACCGCTGGGACCCTAATACCTTTCTCAACACCAGCCCGAGCAAACAGATGAATCATGTGCATCACCGTGACAGCGGCCAGCGTATCAGGCGGCAAAGCACGCAAGAAGATCCCATAGTCAGCTCTTTCTGAATTCTCAAGGCCGCCGCGGGTACGACTCTTTGCAGATGGCACAAGGGCTATCTCTTCTTTGATTTTGACAACTAAATCGTTAAACCACTGTTCCAGAAGATCACTCATCGTTTTGCCACCACCAGAAGTGTCGACGCCGGCAGCTCTCATGGCGGCCATTTCTCTTTGCCAACGCTCCTTGGCAGTATCCACAGCTTTCTTCTCCAATTCCAGCTGCCGTGTGCGTCGCCGCTCTTTAGATTCTTCTGAGTCCAAATCGTCCGAATCAATGATTTTATCAGTTTTAGGAAATAACGACAATGTTTTCTTTAGTGACGAAAGACCAAGTCCCTTTTGCTGGGTCTCAAGTACCTGAACATCATCGACGGGGGCGGGAGTCTCTTCGGTCTCCTCGGGTTTTGTCTCGAAATTTGGTATCCCCGTGGGACAGATCTAGATTAACGGGAATCTTGTAAGCTTCTCATCATTCCGATAACAGAAAAAGAACTAAAGCCTTACCTGTGAGATTTCACCTAGATCCCGTTCCGTGAGAAGATCATTCATATACATGATTTCATCCTCAAAAGAATTCTGCTGGACCATATTCCAATATCTTCTCACAAGGCGTTCGCGCTTTGAACCATGAAAGATTCGAAGGGCCATTCGCAACATAACGGCCATGGTCCTGGCATTAGGCTTTAGATTTCCCTGAGGCAGTTTGACCTCAAACCACACCTGCACACTCGCTGCTTTCTGCAGGGCTTCTTCCCTACTCTGATTCGCAATCATGTCGGTCACTACCAGCTCGAGATATCGGTTGTGTAGATCCAAGAACACGGGATCTTTTGGATCATAAAACTGCGCCATGCGGTCGAGCACGCGCGCCGCATTTTCAACGTCTCGAGTCTTGAGAGCAACTGTAAACCTAGCCAGCATATTGCTAACGGTACCTCCAACACCGCGTGACCTTTTCAACGAAGGTTCCGTGGTCAACTGGCTTTCCTGTATCACGATGGCAGGTTCGTTATAGAGAGGCGGTAGTGTCCATGTTTCACCATAACCCTGAGAAGTCGCACTCGGATATCCCATACTCTCAAAGGAAATATGAGTTGTGTCATGATTTAAATTTAAAAGTGACGATTCTTCAGCGGTCGTTGCGAGATGTCGGACAGGTTGAGAGAAGGACCGGCGGCGGCGCAACGTCGACGGTGTAGAGGATGAAGAACCAGGGGCATTTTCGGGTCGGTTTAGTTGTGTATGGAGTCGAACATTAGCCGGGCAGAGCCATGGCACAGGCAATTGCTCAGTTGACAGGCGTAGATGATGGAAGACATTCCTGCGACGGGCAGCACGAGTCAACATGGCTGGTTGCTTGTCAATGGACTTGGAAGGCGAATTTCAATATTAAATTAACAAAGCATCGAAAGTATGCCTATATCAAAAGAGCAGCCGAAAGCCAGCGCAAAAGAGGGTGAGATTGTGATAGAAGAAATATCGCAGGATAGGTAAATAAAAAAAAGAAGACAAAAAAAGAAGACCTTCCACGCTTTTGAATCGAACTAGAAGCGGAAAAGACGAGAGAAAAAAAAGAAAGGATAGAAGATACGATCCCAGCTCCTACGCTCTACTGAAAATAGGCGACAGCAGAGATAATAGAAACAGGATGAAGACAAGGAACGAAAAAAGACGAACTCGACAGGGGAGAAGAAAAAAAACGGATCGGCGTTTTTGTCGCGCGAGCAATTGTAATCGGGATGTCACGTGATGCGCTCCACTTGGGCCGCCCCTTTTATGTGATTGGCGGATGGCCTTCGACTCTGATTGCTTTCGTGAATTTTCTACGTGTCTAAGTTCTATGTATTTGCTGGTAGAGTCCGAGAAAATGTTCCGGAATCAGAAATGCTATAGGAAATGAGTCGATCGCATTATAATTAACTATCTCTGGTTCTTTGCTTCCTTCTGTTCTGTTTCATCGCCCATCCGGTCATCTCGGGACGTGCAGGATCGACTCGAGGCGCACTCATCACATCCAGATAGCCTTCACCGTCAAGGGCAGTTTGCAGTTGGGGAAGTTCTTCTGGATTCTGATGAATCATATAATTCTCATACGTAACCCACGCTTCTTCGGTCTGTTTTACGGCTCAAAGTCAGTAGTCGTCTCACGATCACTAGAGGTCACAGTTTTACCTCTGAATCTAGCCACTCATATGATTCCCATTTCTCGTCCTGTATCTTCTTTAATAACTCCATATTACCCGGCGGAGCAGCTTCGCCAGCTTCTGCCGATTTGACCTTGACATCGACGGCTCTGGCTTCGGCTTCCCTGACTGCGCCGTCCTCTTCGAGGTCCTTTTTCCCACGCGTAATTCGTGCTCTGGACACCTCTTCGGATGCATCAAGATGATGTAGCTGGGGGCGTAGTTGTACTACTGCTGTCACCGGGGAAAGAAAGAAATTGGCTAAACAATTTGGTAATTAGCCTTAGCACTTCGGACTGACAAAAGAAAGAAAAAAAAAGAAGTGCGTAAGAAAGGGGAATGAAAAATCACAACGTACATCCTCTAAAAGCTCCAAGCATATAAACGGGTTCGCCATCTTCAGGCTCCTTTATTCTGCCCGCAAGAGTCTGATTTCGTAGGATCGTTTGGGTTTTCGAACTCTTCACATCCTGCATTCCATTGTCGCCCTCCATCTTCACGCGACTAGCCGCTGCAGCAGCGCCGCTCTGCGAATTAAACCCGCCTGCGAGTCCAAAAGCGCCTCCTTCTCTCAGTACACGGCTCTGCTTCATCGCTTCTCCGTACTTCAGCCCTTTATTCACATCGTAAACATCAGATGAGGTGTTGATAGGCACTTCGACTTCGACCAGGCCCGTTTTGGGCTTGAGTCGGAGACCAGTGGGTTTGGGTCTGTTTTGATCTTCGTAAGGTTTATCATTGTTAAGCTCGCGGTCAGGGTATTGAAGAACATATCGTGCGATTTGCGAGTCTGTGAGAAACACGTCATACGACGCGACGATGGGATCTGAGGAGCTCATTCTTATTCTTGGATTATCGGGGGGGTGTTCTCGCTTTCGATTGCAGGCAGTAGGGCAAAGTTTTGAGTATGGTACTGGCAGGGCAAAGATGAGAAATCCCAAAAGCAAAGAATGCAATGAAAGAAGATCGATCTTGTTTTGTTTCGCGGAGGTTGAGTGAAGGCTTGCGGGGATTTGCTTAAATTTTGTCTCGGGTGGGTTTTTTCCGGCTTGATCTCTTATCGATAAGAGCTGCTCCCCTCTATATACCCAGGTAAACTTCACTACTTTTACTACTGCATACCACCATGAGGTTGGGTTATATTGCTGTCGGGTTCTAAAGGGCACCGATAGCTGGGTAGTCTGGTGCTGATCGAAAATCTCATCCATTCTTTCATAAGTACGGAAGACTTCCTCTATACCTTACCTACTCTCAACCTGGTTATTTCCTAACCCATCATACCTACCGGGATATGCCATATGAAAATAATTCCATCGAAGCTTTACATAGAAACTTGCCTAGATAGCTTGTTGTGTTGCTTTACTCTCTCATGATCACTGATTTGGTTGATTGCACCGGCTATTAGGTACAAGCCACAGTCTATCCTTAGATAAATTATGGATGCTAAACTTGTCAGGTATCTCTGCATGACTCTGCAACCTGAAGCTTTGGTTTGTCAAATAATTACTATATATAACTATGCGGGGTGCCTTGCTGCCTTTAACAAGCCCGTTTGCAAGGCTGGAGTGGCATATCAGCCTCGTTGGCTTCACTGCTTCTATCACAGCCCTCTTCATCCTCTCACCTTCTCAATTACCTTATCCACCACGATTTGAAGACCTCTAGTAGTGTCTTCGATAGCTTTCTGAGTCTTGTGAGATCACCAGTTTCCGTTCTCCCTGGAGAATGGCTGATACCACGACCCTGGGCGACCCCCACAAGGTGCTTGACTGGTAAGCTACCCTGCCTTCTTTACATCTATCTATGAAGATACTCACTCACATGCCTGCGTGACCCTTCACAGGTATAATAGACTTTGGTCTCGAACCGTCGATCTTGTTGGCGACTTTTTGGGGAGCGAGCTCTTCATCATCGACGGCGACTCGCTTCTCCTAGAGTGCTTCTCCAATGAGAAGCTCGACTTTTCCCCAGGATTCCAGCTACTGCACGCAACCTACCTTGTCGAAAAATTCTTGCAGAAGCTCCAACAACGCAAGTGCGTTTTTGAGATTGTATTCTTCGATCGGAATGCCCCATTCTGCGTCCCTGTAGGCAGTGCTGATGACATCCGATACCTTCTTGCTCGTGAGGCAATCATCCAACATCTCATTACGATTTCTTCTCGTGAGCAACAGGAACACAAGTTCGATGTCCATGTATTTAAAACCTTCCATTCCGAATCTTTCAAAGAACATTTACTGCAATCAGGGGCCTATTTGTTCATGTGTCACGAAGGAGACGCTATTGACAAAGAACAAGGCAACGGAGGTGATACTAATGATGATGACAAGGTTCTGTCAGATAAAGGAAGTGATAATTTTCAAGAGAACACCGACAATGATATTACTGTTGCAAACGAGTATGATACTCAGTCTCTTAAACTGAGCTCGATGTTTGGGCTCAGACTCATGATTTGTTGGTTTGTTACGCATGGATGCAACATTGCTCTGATCAACAACCTTGAATTCCGGGATACAAAGGTACGTAACCTACTTGTGAAATGGGCGTAAAATGCAAGCCACAAGTTGACCGTTAACAGGTTATGGCCATGGTGATCCAAGGTTCAGCAGAAGCGCACAGCGCCTCTCTGGTACACGAGCTCCCGAGGGCAGACACACTTGATACCTTGCAACCCCCAGAAACCAAAAAGGTGGATCAACAAGGCAAACCTACGAAGGCCGCAGAGTCCACACGTACTGGAGATCAAGAGAAGAGCCGTTCCACGCAGAAACATTCGAAATTCGCCCCACTATCTGATCTTCTCAGAATAGCAATCCATGAATATCCAGGCCTGACGCAAAGCCAATACCTTTCAGTCGTATCCCTAGCAGTCATGCTCAATGCTGTCCCCTTAGACAGCTTCCATGAGATATCTACTGGAGCAACTTCAGTGATTTTGCACCTTGTCATTCTGCAAAATGCTAAGCTTGAAGATCGAGTGATACAAGCCCCCGGGAATGTGAATACGGCATTTTTTGATGCATTTCTGAGAATTTGCAGAGAAGTGCTCAGCTCAACATGTTGGAGAAATACGATGAAAAAACACAACTTACGTTGCGATCTCTCTGATCTTGCGGATGGGAGGATGTTCTTCCAAGTTCAGGCCATGATAGAAAGTCTCGGTATCAACGGTGTCATCACATCCACGACGCTCTTGCCGTTCAATAATCTTGCTTCTTTGGTAGACCGTCTCTGCAGCACGAAGTTTCGCTGTGAGGTGATGGACAGGGCAGACGATGGCACTGGAAAGGTGACACCTGCAGAGAGATTTGGTGACAAGGAATCAAGAAAGGAGCCCACCTCAAGACTCAACGGTGAGTCTCCAAACTTCACTAAGGTCCTCCCATTCAGGAATGCCATTTTCGACGAACATCTCAAACCTGTCCATCTTGAAATTGACGAATCTTTTGATGGAGGAGAGGAAATTAATACCAAGAAGTTCCTAGAACTAACTCATTGGCATAATTCAAAGCCCCTCGACCAGAAAAGGGCAGCTTTAACACCCCGGGACTGGCGACACCAAAAGTGGGATCAGCTCTATATGGCCGAGATGCGGCGTTACGCAGAAAGTCTATTGGGATCAGTGGGCATGTCTCAAACGGAGACCATTATCGTCGAACGCTCCAGCGATCGGCACAAAAAGCCCCTTATCATGAGAGAGAAGCAGCCCTCGACACAGAAGAATAGATCTAAGGGGTCTGTAGGGCCGTCGGTGAGGGAGGTAGCGGCTGCGACAATTCAGCAAAAAGCAGCTGAGCGAGAGCAGAGGAAGAGAAAACAATGGGCAGTTAGCCTTCGAGATTTCTCGAAGGTCACGGATGCGATGGTTCGATCCACGAAAGTTGAAGAGTACTTGTCCGGATTGTCCAAGGACGATCGCTGCATTTTGGAACCGGAGATTCTCACCTACCTTCTTGATACATTGATTCAGGCAGTCTATGCTGAGAAAGGACGTGATAAAATGAAGTTAACACTCCTTGCAACACATATCTGGAGCGTCCTTGCTCGCCTGATGAAAATCGGGCAAGGCATCAGTGCTGATACCTCGAACTACGTCGAGAAAGTCTGTCGACGCCTTGGCCTGCCACTAGTTCAACTTGAGATCCAGGTCGAACGACCTCTATCCTTCAAGCTCTCGGATGCGATATCCAAAGTGCCCGGAATTGTGGGTGGAATTAGCCCAGTAGACTTCCAGCTTCTGCATGGGGGTCCCCTCATGGACCGTAGCATGGATTCCTCACCAGACTCTCGAACGCCTGACTTCAATCCTGACCGCTGGCAGCGAGAAGTACTAGATCGGATCGATGAAAAGGAGAGCATGTTTATTGTCGCCCCGACTAGTGCTGGGAAAACATTCATTTCGTGAGTTTCTCTTTCTCTCTCTCCCTCTCCCTCTAAGATATGTATACCTAACGTATTGCAGGTTCTATGCCATGAGGCAAGTGCTCAAGGAAGACAACGACGGAGTCCTTGTTTACGTTGCTCCCACCAAAGCACTCGTCAATCAGATTGCCGCTGAGGTAATGGCTCGGTTCTCCAAGTCCTACCCAGAAAATTCTATCTCCAAGTCAGTATGGGCCATTCACACGAGGGACCACCGAATCAACAATCCCCTAACTTGTCAAATTCTCATCACCGTCCCGCATATTCTTCAAATTATGCTTCTGGCGCCCTCAAATGCTAAGACATGGACGCCTCGACTGAAACGCATAATCTTCGACGAAATTCATTGTATCGGCCAAGCTGACGATGGCGTCGTTTGGGAGCAATTGCTTCTTTTGTCTCCTTGCCCCATAATCGCACTCTCAGCCACTGTTGGCAATCCCGAAGAGTTCAATAGCTGGCTTCAGCGTGCGCAGGGTACAAATGGACACAACTTGAAAATGATACAGTATCAGCATCGATACTCTGATCTGAGGAAGTATGTGTATCATCCTCCACAGGCCTTCTCATTCAAAGGATTTGCTAAAACTAGTGGTCCATCACACCTGGGACTTGATAAAGCTGATGGGATGGAGCTCATGCATCCTGTTCTCAGCCTGGTTGATCGCTCAAGAGGCATACCAGATGACTTCAGTCTTGAGCCGAGAGACTGTTTGACTCTGTGGAAGGCAATGAACGACGTGCAAACCAATGATTTCCCCGTTGATGTTTCTCTCGATCCATTTAACCGGTTTTCTGCCACTATAGTCCAGAAGAAGCATGTCGTTGAATGGCAAAAACCGCTGAAAGATTTACTCAGGAAATGGATGAAAGACAGGAAGTCGCCCTTTGAAGCCCTTCTACGTCGCCTCAGCGGATCCGATACAGGACTCACAACTGCTGCCGGTGTAGGTAAAGTGGGAAATTTATCTGCATCCTCAGAGGCCTCTGGAATCGTATCTTCGACTCTTCCATTGATCTGCTCGCTTCACGCTCAAAACGCGCTTCCGGCATTGTTCTTCAACTACGATCGAAGCAAATGTGTATATATATGCTATCATCTGCTGACCGAGTTGCAGGAGGCAGAAGAAAAATGGAAAGCAACAAGCCCAAAATGGAAATCCGACATGGACAAATGGAACGAGCGACAGAAGCTAGAAGCCAAGAAGAAGAAGACCTCGGGGGCTACCAAGGCTACCAAGAAGAAAGGTGCTTCTAATGACGAGCCAATGTCACGTATGGATCAGCTGAGAGAATCAGCATCTGTTGAAAATAGCCAGTCCGAGCTTTTTGATCCGGAGAGGCCCCAGGATATGTTCAGTCTGTCAGACTTTACGAAGCTGCAATTATCTGAGTTTGCTGTGTATGCAGAGCAGCTCAAACGGCGTGGAATTCACAAATGGCTCATTGACGCACTCGAGAGGGGGATAGGCGTGCACCATGCAGGCATGAATCGAAAGTACCGTCAGATTTGTGAAATACTGTTTCGACGGGGTTTCTTGCGCGTTGTCATTGCAACAGGCACATTGGCTTTGGGTATCAATATGCCATGCAAGACGGTTGTCTTCTCGGGAGACTCTGTATTTCTGACGGCCCTCAACTTTCGACAGGCTGCCGGCCGAGCAGGACGTCGTGGATTTGATCTCTTGGGCAACGTTGTTTTCCAGCATATTCCAACCGCTAAGATTCAACGACTCATCAGCTCGAGACTCCCAGACCTCAATGGGCATTTCCCCATCACTACGAGCTTGGTTCTTCGCTTGTTTATTCTTTTGCATGGCTCTAGTCAAGGCGCGTTGGCGATTAAGTCCATCAACTCAATTCTATCACAGCCTCGCATTTGTCTCGGTGGACCGGAGATGAAACAGACAGTACTACATTTCCTCCGATTTTCCATCGAATACCTCCGACGGAATCATCTCCTCGATAGTACAGGAGCTCCATTGAACTTTGCAGGATGTATCTCCCACCTTTACTACACCGAAAGTTCCAGCTTTGCTTTCCATGCCCTTCTTATTTCTGGCTACTTTGACGGGCTTTGCAAGGACATTGAGCAAAAGGAGAAAAGACAGAATATTCTTCGGACGCTAATGCTTGTAATGTCGCATATTTTTGGTCGTTTCCCATTGCGCCAATCTGTGTTAGAGTCGTATCACGCCGCGGAGAAACGAGCATCGTCCATCGTGGTTCTCCCGCCGTTGCCAAAAGAGGCTGATCAGGTACTTCGTGCTCATAACAGTCGGGTGCTCGACACATACACCGGCTATGTATCCACATTTATTGACCAGCATGTCAAAGGACATGACCGGTATCTCCCATTCAGCGGAGTCGAGTGCGGAGGAGACAAATCAGCTGCTGAACTTAGCTTGTCTCAGCAGCCTGCTCCGAAAATCACGTCTCCATTCTACGCCCTTTCTGGACATCGCGATAGTTGGACGACAGTCTCAGATCTTTGCGAGTCTGTCCGCAGTGGTGTATGGCTTGAGGCTTCTGTGGTTCCGTACGTACCTGTGTCGTCGGAAAGCCAGCCATTGAATGCATATCTATTCGATTTCTTCAAACATGGGAACGTCCAGCAACTGGAGGCTGCCAATCGAATCCGTCGTGGTGATGTGTGGTTCCTTCTCAACGACTTCTCCATGGTACTGGCAACCATTAACACGAGCCTGGAGAACTTTTTGAATTCCAAAGGAGGCAACAACGTTGATATAATGGATATGCTCAACGTCGGTGGTCGCGGCGACTCGAGAGAGTTCGAGACAGATGCGAAGTTCGCCGACGAGGAGGTTACCGAAATGGGTGTAGAAACGTCTCATAACCGCCAAGAAAGAGCAGCAAGGATAATCTCTCCCAAAACTTCCATTCGTGCTGGTGAGAGCAGAATAATTGCGGAAAATTGGGACGACGATGTGGTTGAAGATACGGAGAGAGTCAGCGCAAAGAAAAATTCCAAGCCTGGTCACCCCAATCAGCTCAAGCCAGAACTCGAGCCAGGAGAAAGAATAGACAACACGTCTCGAAGGGCTTTGTTCTTGGTATGTAAGGCATTCAACGAGCTCAAGACTGAATTTGATGCCAAGTTCAGGGCTATGTGGGCATGAGGCGGACTACTGGGAGGTTTGCATTTTTTTTTGTTTGCTTTCTTATCTTACGTGGCTGTAGCAAGTGTAGGAAGGATGTTTGTAAACTGCAATATTAGAACCAAATAATTATGTTGGAGTCATTGCTAAGTATGTTACCTATGTTGTAACTGTTGTGGTTGACTGTGATATGCTTTAATGCAGTTGTTGGTTAGTGCACGTAATCACAATTCACTTAAGGGATTAGATGTAGTTTCTGGATATACACGATTACAGCCACGGGCAGAATTCTTATTCTGTAATATCAGATAAACTTCTATATAGGTCTAGTGAAAAATAAAAAGAAGAAGAGTATGTCACTTATGTTTACCATAGGGGAAAAAGTTAAGCCTTGGCCATTCTTCGAAAGAAGTCCCTCGAAGACTTCCAGATACCTCTAGCGCCTGTCTTAATTGCATGCCTTCCATCATAGAGCGGGAAGATGACCACGGCGCCAAATGCACCGAATTGCCATATAATGGCTACCGTTGTCCACCCAGAGAAAAAGGGCTTGGTGAAGATATAGTCCCGGTATAGTGGGAGCGGCCAAGCGACGAAGGTGACTAGGACGATAATCACAAACATAACCCAGGCAATCTTGAGCCACCGATGCAGCTGCTTCAGGGCTTCTTCGTCAAATGGGTGCTGAACATCCTCAGGGCTGAGTTGCAGGATTGACTTTGGAGCCTTTTCGTTCGCTGTGGCAGGACGCTCCAGAACTTTACTCTGGATATTTCCTGGTTGCGAGCTCTCGACAGTACCCGAGACACTTTTGGGATTGCGAGACTGTTCTTCCTCGCTACTTTCATTCAGGGTGGTAGTGTCTGACGGTGCATGATGTTCGGCTTCATCTGCCAGTTCGATGCGCAGAAACTCCCGCCAGTCGAACTTATACGGCTTGTAGAGCGACAACACAACCGAGTAAAGGGCAGGCGAGAAGAAAGACGCGATCGCTGCATAGAGAGCCGGATACTGGTTGGACGTGGTCTCGATGTTGATAGCTCCGTACATGGACTTTGCGGTTGCTAACCAAACAGCAAGGCCCGAAAAGAAGCCGAGAATGGGCGATAGGATCGCAGCTAGACGAGTCTGGCGAGACCAAAACAGAGTCAGCGCCATAGGGATAATCCCAGGACACGAGATGATCGGTCGCAGATAGCCGATCCAGGTCATGTTGGCACCACCATAGTTCAAGGCGATTGATATACCCGTGATAAACACGCCATGTATGACCACCGTCAAGTGGCTCACTCGCACGAGCTGCTTATCAGTTACCTTGGGATTGAGGTATGTCTTGTAGAGGTCGTAGGAGAGAATGCTGCTAACCGCAATCATGGACGAAGACACGGTGCTCGTAAGTGCCATGAACAGAAGGAAAAAGAAGCCGATAATTCCCTTTTGGCCGATGAGGGCCTTGAGAACATAAGGCATGACCATGCCTGAACTGACTTCAATACTCGTCAGCTCGCCAGGATAGGTAGGAAAGATCGGGGTGTTGTGCAGCGCTCGGGCTGTCAACCCTATCACAGTCCCCAACCCCCAGGGAATACCGAACACCGCCAATGCAGCAATGTTGTAACCAGGCACCGTGGCGTAGACCTCTGTTGCAAAGGACTTTTGCCAAAAAGCGGTATCCTGATGTGCCACCGGTTAGCTTTTGCTGCATCGTTCTCTTGATGGGTATCTATCTCACCATGACCACGAGGGCTAAATTGCCAAACTTCAGTATCAACCCCCAGATAATTGCGCCTTTTGACTTGAATGTAAGGACGGATCCTTCGTAGTTTCCAGGAATATAATTCTCGCTCGCTGTAGCCATTACTTTGTCGTAGAGGCCGCCCAGTCCACCCACCGCGGAGTTCGTCAAGACCGCAAGGGTGAAGTAGATGATGAGAATCAGCGCAATGGTTGTGTGGAGGAAGTCTGTGAGGAAGGTGGCTTTCAGACCTCCCACTGCGGTGTAGAGAACGACTATTATGAAAGTATTAGACCACAGGATGTTGGCAATACATGTATGTAGAGGGCCTACCTCCCAGCGGGATGAGGATGGTTGCCGCGACGAAGTGCATCCCAGATACACCATGGATAAGCTGGGAGCCCGTCATGATCATGGATGCGCATCCGAATACATTGTTGACCAGATTCAGGGCAATGAAGACAAGATGGCCTATCTTCCCATATCGCATGCGGACAATCTCGAGAGAGGTGTGAGCGTAAGGGACTCGGATTTTCGCCATGACGCCCAACGCTGCCATCAATGCAATCTGGAAGCAGAGACCAGAGCCCCACCACTATGCTGTGCATTAGCAGGTGCTGAACTGTAGAATTGGAGCATTGCTTACCAGAGGGACTGCCAGTCCGTATCTGTAGCACATTGCTGCTGCCAGCACCGTCTCGTTGATCCACATCCACGACGAGAAGACCGCTGAAGCTGTCAGGCCTGTTCCCACGGATCGATTGGCAACCATGAACATCTCCGACTTCCCGGAATCCTCAGAGAGGTAGACTCTCTGCACTTTGACAGCAATCAGAATTACGCCGCAAAAGAGCACGCCGAGGCCGACAAGGAGGCCATAGGCCGCTCCCTGTGAGATCAGGGACAAGCTGGCGACACTCGACATAGTACTAGGCTCTTCTGGAGGTTGATTGAGGGTATCCAGACAGCCTACGTGATTTCTGCCATGTCTGGAGTGCAGTTGAAAGAACTTAATATTCAGGAAAGACGAGTTCTGTCAAAATGGCGTGCAATCACGACATTATAGCGAGAAGGAGACTTGATAAGATCCTGGAGTCTCCTCCAGGCGGTCCTATCGCACATGCAGGCCGCATACATACATCCGCATTATCGCCCAGCGGATTTTGATCCATGCCTAGCTCGCCTTTGGCTGTATGAAATTTGTTGGAGTCTTTAAGATATTATACTCTGAGAAGGAAAGCTTTAATATGTTGAATGTCGATTCTAAAACTACGTGTTCATATACAGTTCTGATCATATTTAGCAGTCGTGCCCGTAGTTATATTACATGTACAATTACAGTTATCGATCAAGAAAAGATGTTTCAAAAGAAAAACCAGCCCATTCAAGGCATATTCTCCTAAAACAAAATGAATATTCATAACATCAATGCTCGATAATGCTCATTTCACATCATCATAGATTGTCGCAAAAAGAGGGGGGGGAAGACTTTTTTATTCGGAGATATAAGACTTCATATCATCTATTCTTCGTCGTCTTCCTCTTCGGCAGTCTATAGTAGATTGAGGGTTAGCATTCTTTCTTCAGCAAAAGTCCGGATTAATAACAAAAACTCACGTTATCGTGGAAATATTTGCCTTCGGTAGTCTCATTAATAACTCCGGCGCGGATGCACCAATCGCCGAAACGCTCGGGCGTCTCGCCATCGGTATTGCGCTCAAGAGAGTAGCGTTTGAGCAGGCCTTTCATGATATCCAAGATCTCGTCCTCTTTGATCGAAGACCGATAGAGCTTGTTCAGGCGCTGCCCATGGTAGCCACCGCCGAGGTACATGTTATAAGCACCATATGCCTTGCCCACAAAAGCAACCTCGGCAAGCCATGGACGAGCACATCCGTTGGGACAACCAGTCATTCGCATGACAATGCTCTCCTTGGAAAGACCATTCTCTTCAAGAGTAGACTCCAGCTTACTGATGAGAACGGGAAGGTAACGTTCAGACTCGGCCATGGCAAGACCACAGGTAGGGAAAGCAACACACGCCGAAGACGAAAGACGGAGACCACTAAATGCTGTGTTGTCGAGTTTGTATTTGGCCAACAGAGCTTTGATCTCGGGAAGTTCGGAGTCTTCAATATTCGACAGAATCAAGTGTTGGTTACCAGTCAAACGGAATTCGCCCTTGCCCAGTTTGGCGAGCTCCCGCAGTCCAGTGCGCATCGAGAAATCGGCAGTATCTTCAATGCGTCCGTTCTCAATGAAGAACGTGAAATGGTTCAAGCCCTTCTCATCCTTTTGCCAGCCGAAAGTGTCAACGTTTGATGCAAACTTGAAAGGACGTGGCTCGGCGAAACGGAGACCGTCGGGCAGGATTTCTTCCACCTTGCTCTTGAAGACCTCGACTCCCATGTCGTCAATAGTATACTTGAGACGAGCGTGTTTACGGTTCTTTCGGTCACCGTGATCACGCTGAACAAGCATGATCTTCTCGCAAACAATGTGTGTCTGATCAACTGGGATGTAGCCAAACATAGAACCAGTACGAGGGTATGTCTTTTTGTTGTTATGTGTCACACCCATACCGCCTCCAACGATGATGTTGAAACCTTCTAGATGGCCGTCGGCACCCTTAATGGCAATAAGACCGATATCGTGTGCATAAACATCGGTATCATTGTGAGGGGGGATGGCAATCGTGATCTTGAACTTTCGAGGGAGATAGGTAGGACCATACAACGGTTCATGATCTTGAACAGCGTCTCCAGCGACAAGTATTTTCTTGTCGTTGTCGTCCTTCAGCCAGATCTCGTGGTATGCAGTGGTTGCAGGAAGAAGATGATCAGAGATCTTCTGTGAGATGGCATGCACTTCTCGGTGGTATCCAGAGAGCTCAGGAAGGGAACTGCACATGACATTGCGGTTGACATCACCACAGGCTGCGAGTGTAGTCATCAGAGCCTTGTTGATAGCCTGCATTGCTGAACGGAGTTTGCTTTTGATGACGCCATGGAATTGGAATGTTTGTCTTGTCGTAAGTTTCATGGTCTCGTTTCCGTGGGCGCTGCTGATAGCGTCCATCTGTAACCATTGAGAAGGAGTTGCAACACCACCAGGAAGTCGACAACGAATCATGAAAGAATAGGCGGGCTCAAGACCTTGCGCCTTGCGCTCGTCACGCAGATCACGATCATCCTGCATGTAGGTTCCGTGGAACTTAGTAAGCTGCGAATCGCTTGCCGAGATAGCACCGGTGCTCTCGTCCAAAAGCCCCTCAGCAATTGTTCCTCTCAGATAATTGGAGGCTATCTTGATATCCTCATTGGTCAACGGCGGGGGTTCATCAGCGATGCCCTCAACCTTATCTACCCCTAAAGCTTGCCATAGACGAGGCTCCCACTCGGAGTAGCCGGTTTGGAATGCATCCGGATCTTGGTCATCGCCCAGTCCAATATCAGTGAGCTTACGACCACCAAGGAAAGAAATTCTAGTGTCAAGGTCCTTGGCAGGTTTGTTGTAGTAAATCCTGTCTTCCTTGCGGGGCCAGTAATGGCTATCACCTAGACCGAAAACAGAGTACTTGATGGAAGAAAGATCAAGATCGCCAGAGCTTTTCACCACATCCCAGAACGCACGCCCATTCTGGGGGAATTCACCTTGACCTGCAGTACTCGTTACGAGCACAACGTTCTCCTCTGTGGCAAGATCCTCAATGGGATAATCGTCCATAGCCATGACAAGGGTCTTGAGCCCTCTAAGGCGACCACGATTGCCCAATCGTTTTGCGATGCTAGCAGCATTGCCATTATCCGAAGCAAACAGAATGGTAAGGGGAGCACCGAAAAGTCCCTCTAGCAACTTCTCGTAGGATTCCTTGGCCTTGCGTTTCTGCAGAGCGCGAACCTCAGTGCCGTAAGACTCGGAAAGGTTGTTTGCGAACTTGGGTTGGCGTCGCATAAGCTGAGTTAACTGGTTATCTCGGCGAAGGAACTCCTCAAGTTCCCGCTTAATGCGCTCCGAGTCCAGATTGAACTTGGGTTCTCCATTCTCATCATTACCCGGCTGCCATCGGTAGAGTGGCCAGTAGCCAATGTCAACGGCCTTCTTGGTCTCTTGGAGGACTGTCAAGGGAGACTCGTTCTCCTTGTGGTAAGGCAAGTAGGCAACAACAACAGAAGGACCCTCATATTGATCGGCTTCTGCCATAGCCTGGAGGACCTGAGTGTAGGAGCCATATACAGCAACAGACGCAACATAAGCATTTCCGAAGTTCATAGCATACAGACCAATGTCTTTCTTTCTGCGCGTAGGATCGGCGGCGGCATGTTCAGAGTAGGGTTGAGAATCAATAATAAGCATGTTCACGTTAGCGCCAGATGCAAGAACATGGTGAACTCCAGAGTTGCCAAGATCATATGCCCAGGCATCAGATCCAATGAGCCACTGAGATTCCTTGTAGAATAGTTTGTGGTTGTCAAGGAGCTGTCTCGCCACTTTAGAGCCATCCATCTGCAAATGTCCAATAACGTCCTCGGCGAGGGCATTGACTTTAACGGCATCCCGAGCATTCAATGCCCACTTAGATAGCCACTGCGAAGGTCTGTCTGTAGCAAACTGTGATGACTTTGCTGCCTCTTCGACTTCCGTGATGAATCGTTCGCGGTGCTCAGATCTGGCAATCAGAGAACCAAAGCCATACTCCGGGCTAGCAGCAATCGTGGCAGATATGCCAGCATTGCTGGTACCCGATTGATTGGCAACATACAGTCGTTTACCAAAGAGCTGGTCCAGAATCTTGGTGTAAGCATTCTCGGCGGCGGGTTGGGCTATATTATGTTTCACCGTCGGCACTTCGTGGCTTCCAATCTCAAGGTTTTGAATGGGTGAATCAGAAGTGAGATTCTGAATAATACCGCGCAGCGCCTGCGCAGCAGTGGACGGCTCTACATGGCCAAGACGATATCCAACAAGACGTGGGGCCTGCCCTTGACCTGAAGCTGAACTCAGGCTAGAGAGCAAATCCAAGAAAGATGGGCCCCATCTGGTAGTTTTCCGAACTTGCTCCAATACAGCAATACGCTCGATAGACTTGGGAATTTGGTTCGAAACCAAGCTACCAATCCATGGACGATAGAGACGAGCTGTAATAATCCCGACTTCCTGAGATTGTGCATCAACGAAAACGCCAGTCGATCCGAATATAAAGATAGCATTCTTTGCATCTTGCGGTCCAGTGTACTCGATTGCTTGGTAGCTTCTGCCTGTGAGCTGGGTGAGGGTCTCCCAGATCTCGGAGGTCCACCTAAAAATGTCTGCGGCGTTGACAGGTCGCACATTTGCGCCATCCACTGTTGTAGCAGTAGAACTCAGAGCATGGCTATCTGTGCTGCTGTCTCTACGGGAAGATCCAACGGACGAGGCATCCTGACTAAATGCGGCCGAGGCGTTGTTGGACGGGAATGAAGGTGCTGGTGCGGAGTCTGCCTTTGACGATGCTTCCACGGCATTTTCAGAAACTGTTGCCAAGCGTCCGGAATCAGCGTAGAGAGTCTGATTTTCGGCCGGCTGGTTGTAGGAAGGTCTGATAGCATCCACGTCCAATACTTTCCTCACGAGATCATAGTCTTCTGAGGCGACGGCATCATCGTTGGCGGAGTTTGCAGGATCAAAAAAGTGAACTACACCTTTGCCCGATTTCAGGGCCAGAGCATGAGCAGTCAAGGCAATATCCTGGGCTTCTTGGATAGTTTCAGATTGAAGGAACGTAAAACCGCATTGACGGATCGAGCTGATGGCACTAAAGTCTGACGACTCAATCGCAACGTGCAGGACGATCGGGTGGTTCACGAGACGGTAAAGGTGAGGAATTGAATTGAGGAGTACGGAAGAGGATGTTGTAACAGTAACAAGCTTGCCTAGTTGCAGGGGGTAGAAGGCTGAGAGTAGCGGATCCTCGTTAAAACGAACAGCTTTTATCTACAGGCAGTCAGTCATGATGTTTGCAGTATACCCGGAGAGACGCATGCGTACCTCTGGTGTACCTTGCAGCAGAACACTGGGGGCATTGTTCTTTGCTTGACTCTTTAATGTGCTGGAAAAGATTGAATCCGCCTGTAGTGATGGCTGGACGGAGATGACGACATCACTAGCCAGGTAGGCGACTCTAGCCACTTGATATCGAATGCAAGTCAGCTCTGAGCAATTGCACAGAAAACGAAAAGAAATAATGGCTCTCTACTTACCAGCTTGCGCCGCGGTTGTGACAGACGCCATGCTGACAAGCAACTTTCAGGCTGTTATATATTGCGGGCGACAAGCGTGGGAACGTCAGAAGTATGTATCCGATGAGGCGAATATTCACAACCACATGAGCGCAGTACTTGTCTGCAATTGAGGGTCGGCAGAAGAGAGAGAAGAGAATCTTGCTCTCTAAGAGTCTTCCAATTTCAATTTCTTCCCTCCGACTACGCTCTCATAGCAAGAACTGAGGGGAGAAAAAAAATATCCATTTGGATTGGCCGCTGATCACGACATCGATGCAAACACGCCAAACATGCGCCGAGGGGCCTCCAAGTGCGGAGGACAGGGAGATCCCGTGTCGGCGGGCTGGCCGATGCTTTGCGCCTGAGGCACCGACGCTTGGCGTATTAGTAATCATTAAAACATCATGCGAGGAAACAACATTCAATTTACACATCAGTATATATACCTATATATATTATATATACCTATCTACGCCAAACCGATTGAGCCAGAAGAAGAGGCATTCATGCATCCCACACCAAACAGCCCGTGACCGTCCATTCTGTCATAAACATTGAACCGTGTTCGCGCCATAAAAATTATCCAAAATGCTCTTTTTCTTGTCATCAAGCGTTGCCAAGATCCCAGACGGAAGTTCTTGGATGAGGAGCTTGACTATCTTGCTGGTCGATAGCCAATGGGGAGAAAAGGAGAAAGATATATGCAGTCGATACTGAAGACTAGAATCCCCGGTAAAAAAAGGACCATGTTCAGTAGAAGATATGTAGGATATGTCCATCAACAAATCATCATGAGAAAGAAAGAAAAAACAAGGGAAAAACAAAAGCTCTAATCATATCTCTCCGCTTCCTTTTTTTTCTTTTTTTCTTCTTCCAATGCCAAAAATCACCTGTTTTCGTTGAGATCTTGTAGATCCACGCCAGCGTTGTCGCCTTTCCCACCAACAGGTTGCATCAATGATGCGGCCTGAAGAACGGATTGTGATGGCTTTGGTGGTCCAGTACCGGACCGGCGACGTCGTTCTCGTTCTGACAATCCCTCAAAAGAGGCACTGTTATTACGAGAATGTAATCCGCGACCAAAACCGTTCATCCAGCTCGAATCTTCAACATCCGACGAGTCCGGGTCCAACCAGTAGCTCCTAAACACGCTGATCATAGCACGGCCGAGAGTCCCTTGCCATCCCTGGCCTTCTGGAGTATGTGGGAGAAAAGGTTCCCGATCGATATCGGGTGCACTGGCCATACTAGCAACGCTAGCCACTGTTGCCACAGAGGTTGCACGACTATGCGTAGGAAGTTGTCTGTAATGTGGCTGAGAAGCATTCAGAATCTTCTGGCGCAGTGTCTGTCTAGCGAAAGCGAACATTATCAAGACGAAGTAGATCCGAATCAGCAAAAGTACCGAGATCATGATGATGCTTTCCAAGCTCTCTGGCTGTTTGATTCCGTCACCAAGACTAGGGGTGCCGCTATAAGGATCGGCGGAGGTACCGGCTGGAGCGCCGGCAGGATCAGCCGTGATTCCAGAGTCATCGAGGACGTTGCTAGGAACATGAACCGTGGAGACATTGTACTTTGGATTCGTAAACCCGGATGTATCCTCAATGGTAGTACCCGGTCCGGAGGTGGACGCACTGTGGTTATGTTGAGAAACAACCAAAAACCACGTAACACCAAAGGCTATTGTGTAAGCCGCGTTGATGACGGTGTCGAAGAAGTAGAGCCAGCAGAGACCCAGGCAATGGAGGGGGGTTTGTTTTCTGATGTGAGGGAAGAGGAACGCGGCGAGGGCAAGAGCGATGAGCGAGTAAATGTACATAGATAGTTGCATCGGAGAAAGATGATATCCGGTCAATAGGGCGAGCAATCCATATAAACCACTGATCTTATTGAGAAGCAGCGACAGCGTGATTAGCGAGACGCCGGTCTGTAAACTCATGGCGAAAAGAAACCTCTGAATGTCACTCTGGGATTAGCTGAATGATCTTCCTCTTCCCTTAACAATTTTTTTTTCTGCGAACGTCTTACCTGCGGGCGCGGTATGCAGAAAATACGGAACGCCATCTTGAGGGCTCAAGGCGATGGTCGTTAGACCACCGTTAGCAACGAGAAACAGTGCAAGCAAGGAGAGTCGTCGAGCCGTTTCTGGGTTTCTTTCTTCGGCCAAGCAGGAACCAAGGTGAAGAATGTTGCGGCTGAAATAACTCACTAACTAGTCAAGTGTTGATGATAAGGAGATGTCGGGAGGGCTCAGCAACCTTCTGGTTCCCGGGGGAGCCGTCCGCCAAGCCTCGGTCGCCTACGAAATTTGTTAGGCGTTAGCAGCCACTGATCTACATGACGTCTAACCTGTTTCATCCGGCTATGCTTGGCGACTGTGGCCATCGACTATAGAAACTGCTATGTCTGCACTTGTTTATATAATTTCTGCTAGCTTTTCGCCTAGATGTTCGAAGATATAGATAATAGCGAAATGAATGGTCTACTTAAGGCATGACAGCCAAGGCGTCACGGCAGAAACAGCTGTCTACGCATACAATAAATTCAAGAGGATAAGAGAGAAGGTAATCATATACATGTTTCACGAATAGGCAGTAAAGGCTCTACGCCATTTATAAACAATACAAAGACACGAAGAAACTCCTCAACCAGTTACACTCAGCAGGCGCACCCGTCGTTATTGGTTGGTTGGGATGGGTTAATGTTGACATCAATCACTGGTGGTCAAGACGTTAGTACGGCGTGACAACGATATAGAAGCGGCCGAGCTTACTTTGGTTCTCGCCTCGCTGTGCCTCGCCTTCCATGCCTGGGAGTGCCTGGGCTATCCTCCTAAACAGCTGCTTCACGTTGTGTCCAACTTTTGCACTAGTCTCAATAAACATGAGCCCATTCTTCTTGGCTTCCTCCTCGCCCTGTGCTGTGGTGACCTCCCGTTTGTCGTTCAGATCGGTCTTATTTCCAACAAGCACGATGATCACATCATTGCCTCGCTCCCCTCGAACATCGTCGACCCATTTCTTTGTGTTCTGGAAAGATTTCGCATTGGAGATGTCGTAAACAACAACGGCCACGCTGGAGTCACGGATATACGAAGGAATGAGGGATCGGAATCGCTCCTGACCGGCTGTGTCCCATAGCTGCAAGCGCACTGTTCGATCTTCAAGGTACATAGTCTGGATGCAGAATATCATGGGTTAGAGAAAAGGGACCCAAGGTGAACACGTCATAGCGAGGCGCTAATTGTAGAACGAAGAAGATGCACATTCACACCTTTGAAAGGAAATCGATTCCAATTGTGGCCTGGTACGTATTATCGAATGAATCGTACATAAATCGTGTAATGAGAGAAGTTTTTCCGACTATCATGGGGTCAGGACAGGATCGTTACGCCAACTATGTCTCCTGTCTGGCAAGGACATACCACTTTGCTCTCCGAGGAATACTAATCTATAACCAAGTCAGCTCAGGTTCGATTCAACTGGACGGAAATAAAGACAGTAGACACACTTAAACTTCTTCAGTGGGTTCGAATAGGAACCCACGGGCGTCTGGGAAGCCATGATCAAGGCCTTATTCAGTCAGGCGTATCTCAGGGGGAACTCGGCCGGGGTCAATCAAGTCGCAAGGCACACAAGACGCAGGCTGCTTTTTTCAGAAGATCAATGGATTATACAAAGCAAATTCGTAACGTTCATCAGAGCAGGAATGGACGTGGAATAGTAGCGATGTCCTCTGGTGGTCACGAATAAACAAGAAGGGAGACAGTCCGCCAAGGCAGTTGCCAGATATATGCAGGCGCCAGGCAATATGGCAGCAAGCAGAGGGGGGCAGCCGCGGAACCAATGACGCGCCGCGCTTGGCCAGGTCCGCCCGGCAGATGGATGGGGTGCCAGCCAGCTTCACCGTTGCAATTCTTCCGTCCTTCTTCCCACGTTATCACGAGCTGCTGAGCTGTTTAGCTCCGATTTTTTTAAACTCATCACCCGGCTTGGGGCGGCCTGTCGCTAGTGGCATCTACCACCTTATCTCGATTGCGTTCCGAGCAAGCATCTCAAAGAGAATCAATCGGCAATGGCGCTCTATCCCGCTGCCGTCGCGACCACCGCACTCGGCGTTGTCGGTGCTTGTAAGGGCTTCTGTTCAGGCTTAAATACATCATCTGCTGACCCTGTGGCTTAGATATGCTTTTTCATGACGAAGGAGAAGCTTTTAATGTACGGTCATTCAGCAACACCTTACCAGTCTCTCTTCTGACTATTACAACTTAGGTCGGCCAATTTCTAGAGACAGTGTCCCCGTACACATGGGCGAATATCGGTATATCGCTGTGTACGGGCCTTTCAGTAGTGGGAGCAGCATGGTATGACTGAAGATAAGATCTTAGATGAAGCAAACAACCTTGTTTGGATTTCCCCGAACTAACAGAACTTCCCTCGCTTCTTAGGGGCATTTTCCTCTCCGGCTCATCTATCCTCGGTGGTGGTGTCAAAGCACCCCGGATACGAACGAAGAACTTGATTTCTATTATTTTCTGTGAGGTCGTTGCCATCTACGGACTCATCATGGCCATTGTGTTTTCATCGAAGCTCAACTATGTCGATTCGGCGAACCTATATTCCGGTAGCAATATCTACACTGGATTTGCCTTGTTCTGGGGCGGAATTATTGTTGGATTTTGCAACCTGATTTGCGGTATCTCTGTTGGTATCAACGGAAGTGGTGCTGCCCTGGCCGATGCTGCTGATCCTAGCCTGTTCGTCTTCTCTGCCTTCACGTTAAATTCTTTCCTAGAACCCTGCTAACACATGACTGTCAATATAGCTTCGTAAAGATCCTTGTTATTGAAATTTTTAGTTCCGTACTCGGTCTCTTTGGCTTGATTATTGGCCTTTTGATCTCCGGACGAGCTCTTGAGTTCCAATAGGAGCAAGATTTCAGGACATCGGTCGCGTCAGAGATTGATTGTTTTTTCACAGAACAAACCATATTTGTGGTCGGATAAACTATTTAACGAGCTTCTTATATCTCTCTACTGTTTGGCCGGCATTTCCTCAAACATGTATGTCACGGGGCGTATGGGCTTGTAGGTGCATTTATGACTTTTTCATCGCATGGATTTATCGACCTCGTCTAGACAGGCGAGTGTATAGTATTATATACCTTTGGCATATGTAAACAGCGGCGTCGTCGTTAGTTGTACTCGCGATGTTGAATTTGACGATTAAATATCAAGCATCAAGTAGGCGAGTAGGAATATATTATTGAATGCCTGAAACATCAGGCACGAACTCGGAGAAACGGCAAACTGTGAAGAGCTTCTACAGTCGATTGTAATCAAGACTGATTGATAACCTTAATGGGGCCCCCAGCGTCTTATGGACGTGACAGAGCGTGAGAATAAATAGGCCTAGGAATTCACCGATCAAGGCAGCTGCAGCCTCATCATGATCATCGTCTCCAATTTTGTCAACCCAGCTCTGATACTCAGCAGGAGAGACGTTGAACTTGTCCAGAATGAGAGAACGCTCGGACTAGTGAGTGATTCCGATCAAGGATGCGTTCGATTTGATCCTTTGCCGGGTGCTCCATGTTGGTAGAGATTGAAATTGATACATCTGGGGAAACTGTTTGACAATCCTAGGTCCTGGGCGCATTTTTATATGCTTGAGGACGGGTTAGGGATCTGAAGTTCGACAAAGCGGTAGTAGGTCGGCCGTTGGTTGGAGATTGATCATCGAAGAAATCAACAGATTTTGGCCAATCCAGTAATGAAGATAGAGATGAAGGGAGAAGATGACCAGATGATTATTCCTGATTGGAAAGCCAGATATATAGACACACACAATGATAGCTAATATTCATTGTCACCTCTGACATGACTAGATCCATCCTTCCTATGTTTCACTATTTGATCCTTTGATGTCTTTTATGCAACGATTACTAAAGAGAATACATTCATTATAAGAGACACAAACTGCATGCAGTACCCCATCTTTAACATAGACTCCAGAGCCGTTCATCTTCTCCAGTAATGGAAACAGCACAGCCAGTTTGTATCGCTGTCCATGCAAGGACTTTGCCATTCAAGCTATATGTTAAAACTGACATTGTATAGAAAAACAACTGCTTTAACTTTTAGTCATTGCTGTAGCCTATTAGCTAGTAGTCATATGAGAAAAGAATCTTTCACATTCTACAAAGATACCGTACATGTGCGATTTGCTGACAACTTCAAAGAGCTATTCTTGCCCAAATCTTCCTTTGTTCATAAACGACTCCATAAGATGGGCTGCTTTTACAGTCACTACATGTAGATTAGCCTGTTTCAATATTGTTTCTAACGGCAATTAGATAGGTAAGCATCAAGAAGAGACACCACTCGCAGCTGGAGATGACAGCACATTCAAATCCTCCTCTGAAGACGATACCAGTTCGTTGTTTAAGAAACCATATCTGAATAGGAAAACTTTTTTTTATTCTACATCGAATTGGTTGCATGGTAGAGGACATTCTATACGTTGGTTAGTCTGGCTGATATCGATCCGCTAGTCTGCATCCGGTGTAGCGTTCTTGGGTCTGGCTATAACTCGTAACTTCAGGCTTATCATCAACCCTCCAACGTTGCATTGTGCTTCGAGCCGTTGGCCTTCTCTGGGAAATACTATACAGTAACTACATAAGCATGGCCTCCTCTACCGGCCTTAAGCCGGCAATCCTGATCATCTCAGACACAGCCTCCGTCAATCCGGAGAGTGACAAGACGGGACCCGCCTTAACAGAGATATTTGCATCAGCGCAGCATTCAAACACCTGGGCCTCTCCTATTGTCAAGATTGTCTCCGATGACTGTAATCAAATCCAAAGTGCCTTGAAAGAGTGGGCCGATGATCAGAATGATTACATTAATTTGATTGTGACAAGTGGTGGTACGGGATTTGCTGTCAGGGATGGTACACCTGAGGTCAGTTACTAGAAGCAGCACTCTGCAATATAAGCCATTCTCTTACCTTATTAGAAAATTTGATTTACGAGGAGTGTTCTCATAGTTTCTTTACTGACTCTTTTTCACAGGCTGTATCGCCATTAATTCATCGCCATGCACCGGGACTCGTGTAAGCATAGAATGCTAGCTCCTATTTACTCGGGGAACCTTAGACCTAACCACCATTACAGGCATGGCATGATTGCTGCATCTTTGAAAGTGACTCCGTGTATGTCTGGATCAGATCCATGATGTCTCTCGATATCTTCTAGCTGACGACACTTAGTCGCTATGATGGCTCGTCCTGTGGCAGGAGTACGAAACAAGACACTGATTCTCACCCTCCCAGGTTCACCAAAGGGAGCCAAAGAGAACCTTGAGGCTGTTATTAGTCTTCTACCGCACGCTTGCATTCAAGCAGCTGGCGCCGACTCCCGTACCATCCATGCGAAAGGAGTCAAGAAGCTCGAGGAAGATGCCGGGTTGACGTCTACAAACAATCAAACAAATATAAAGGGAGATGATCAAAACACCGGTCATAGCCACCATCATCATCATCACCACCATCATAACCATCTTGGACATACAGTCCCAAAGGCGCACACTTCCCCGAGTGATCGACCACAGTCCAATGATCCCAATGCAGGCCCGACCAGGAGATATCGGTCTTCGCCTTATCCTATGCTTTCGGTAGAAGAAGCGCTTAGAATCATAGTGCAGGAGACACCAGAGCCTACCGTAGTGGAAGCACCCATTACAATAGACCTGGTAGGCTCGGTACTTGCTGAGGATGTATATGCAGGAGAAGCCGTTCCGGCGTATCGAGCAAGCATCGTTGACGGATACGCAGTCATTGTCCCAACTGAAGAAACCCAGGGCCCAAGAAGCAAGGGAATTTTTCCCGTCGCTTCCGTTTCTCACGCCCAAGCAACATCCATGCCTCCGCCTCTTGAGCACGGCACAATAGCACGAATAACCACAGGAGCACCTCTTCCTCCAAACGCCAATGCCGTAGTCATGGTTGAAGACACTATACTTGCTTCCACAACTCCCGACGGGAAGGAAGAAGCAACCGTCGAGATTCTCACAGACGACATTAAACCCGGTGAAAATGTACGAGAAGCAGGCAGTGACGTGAGCAGAGGGTCCAAGATCCTTTCCAAGGGAGACTTGATATCTGCTGTAGGCGGAGAAATCGGCCTTCTCGCGTCGACCGGTACTCGGAATGTCAAAGTCTTCAAAAAGCCTATAATTGGCGTAATGAGCACGGGAGACGAACTAGTCTCCCATGATGACCCTACACCTCTTCACGGCGGTCAGATTCGCGACTCCAATCGCCCATCCCTGCTTTCATGTCTGCGTTCCTGGGGGTTTGACGCCGTTGACCTCGGAATTGCCCGCGATACACCAGCTGGAGAAATCGAGCGCGGTCTCCGAGACGCATTACGTGGATTGACGCCTGCACAGCCAACAGCTGTAGACATCGTAATCACAACAGGAGGCGTGTCAATGGGAGAATTGGATCTACTCAAACCGACCATTGAACGCGCCCTCGGCGGCACCATTCATTTCGGACGAGTGTCCATGAAACCCGGCAAACCGGCCACATTTGCAACAGTTCCTTACAAATCTAGCGTGTCATCAACCACCCAGCAAGAACGCGAGAAGAGGCTTATTTTCTCTCTACCTGGGAACCCGGCTTCTGCTCTAGTCACATTAAACCTCTTTGTACTCCCCTCGCTACACAAACTAATGGGCCTAGCCAGCAACGACCGACAGCAGCAGCATCAGCATAATGCAACAACGGGTCTAGGACTCCCTCTTATCTCAGCAAGGCTGACACATTCAATCCCCCTCGACCCGAAACGAACAGAGTACCATCGCGCCGTTGTAACTGCATCACGCAGCGATGGTCTGTTATATGCAACGAGTACAGGGATAGCCGGTGTTGGGCAGAGGAGTTCCAGGGTAGGTAGTTTGGCGAATTCAAATGCTCTGCTAGTCTTGCATCCTGGTAAGGGGGTTATTAAGGAGAATCAGTCTGTTGAGGCGCTGTTGATGGGGAGTCTGGTGGCTACTGATTAAGTTGTTGATAACCTTCCTTTTCTTTTATTTGTTCTTTTGGATTAAAATGAATGAAGGAAGGGATGAGATGATTTGATCGGGAAGGGGATTAGCAACGATTATGGTATATGAATGAGATGATAAAAAAACTATAATAAAGTCTAGGTAGGATGGAACAATCAAAGTTTACGCCTTCCAGCCTTTCTTCTTCTCAGCACGTAAGGCCAACAACGTACCATCCTTATCCTGTCGCCGCGCAATTTCAACGACAAGGAATCTTACGAAATCCGGTAAAATCCAGTAACTACTATGAGCGCTCAACATGTTCAGATATTCGATATTCAGGGGACCGCCGCCGCCAGAGATGTAGTAATCAATCTGGCCATTGTCGTTCAGGAGTAACATACGTTTCTCTGCGATTTCTTCGCGAGTGAAATCGTGCGTCTCCAGTTCGACGTTCGATGGGAGCTTGGTGACGGCAGATGGTCGGGAGGGAATCATCGTGCTTGATAGACCGGAGCTAGTCAGGGGTTTGTTGGCGGAACTCCAGCTGAATATGCTGCCTAGAGAAGAAAAGAGAGAGGATGATGAACTGGGAACGAGGGCTGGCTTGAGAGACTCGGCTAAGTCGCTATCCACTGCTGCGTTCACTTTATAGGCGATGGCTAATGCAGAAATGTCAGTCAATATTTCCACACCGAGGAACAGATGATTTCATACGGTCAGTGGTGTGCATGATGTTATAAAGATTGTCAAGTGCCACACAGCCATATTTTTTGGCTTCTCCCGCAACACCTCGCTGCATATCTTCGCCCTCCCTACCTGGTTTATTTCTACCTCGTCGCGGGAGCAGGTTCGCTATTCCAATATAAGCCTTTGGTGGAATCTAAATGAATAGAAGGAAGCAGACCTTTATTTAGCAACAAAAATAAACCCACCGGGCTCCCGCAGAGAAAAACATTCTTTGAGTCAAACTCAAACATGTCATCGTGTAATTCGGCAGCTTGCATGTCAAAATTAGGAAGGTTGGTTGGCTGATTACTCAGAATATCCAGTGCCATAACGCTTCCCAGAGAATGAGCAAGTAGATGCACTCTTCCATGTTCGTGAAATCCGGGATTATTCATACACCACAGCCGGTACACTCGGTTGGCCTCCCTTGCAACAGCTCGAATCATTTTATCTTTGTGGTGGGAAAGATAGTACGGTATGTCTAACATGACATCGCTGACAAGTGTGCGAATTGCAGGAATTGTGTTAGGTGTGAGGTCTTCCAATGTATAGCGATTTGCGGTAGGATCGTTATTGTTCAAGGACTCTATTTCGGCATCTGCAAGTGCTAGTGTCGATCGCCAGTTGACAGGCAGTACCATGATACCTCCATGATCAGGTCGTATGTACGGCCAAATCTCTTCATTATTTAATTCCATGTTCACAGATCTCCGAAATGCGTTGATGGCATGGGTGAAATGGTAGCTTTCCACTCTCTCAGAGAGCTTCTGCCCGATTCCGTGAATAACGAGAACCAAGTCGGACGGATTAGGACGGCTTCCCTCAATGTCACACGCATAGCATACTTGTTCGCCTCTGAGATGTCTGGGTTGAGGCTGCATAAAATAGTGTCGCAAATCAATATTTGTCTGCTTCGATGGATGAAGTTGATCCCATAGCTTCCTGTCAAACCCACGAACTATGGGTATACCAATTTGACGTCCTTTGCGGATAGAACTAAGTGGCCGACGGTTCCTCGAAACAGAAGGAAGCAGGCTGGGACGAAGTATTTGGGCGTCTTTCCCGTCCACGTAGATTACACTAGCATTCTTGTAGGAATTCGGCTCTGTTCTTTGCGCAGAACCACTCGCTGCCAGATTCTGTGAGAATGTGATTTCCTCGGAATTGTCCGCTGTGCTTTCATTGGAGGCATCTATGGATGGTTTTCCCCCTTGTTCTGTACCAGGTCTGCTCCGAGTCATGGACTCGCTCTGCCACAACTTGTATACGACCTTCATTTCGGCATCTGCTCCGTGTTCGACACAACTGTTGAGTTCATCTTGCCATGTGTCTGTCCAAGCACGCATGTACTGATAGCCCTTCTCAAGCTCGTTGGCAAGATGAGGCTCAATCGGAAGCATTGTGTTTTTGTAGAACCACGTGGCACGGAGGACGTCTGATATGTCATGAAGCGGACTCCAGTAAATCGGTTTCATCTGGCTTCAGTTAGAGGTTCTGATAAATGTTAAGCTCAGATGTCAATATATTACCTTGAATCCTGGCAGCTCTACTAAATGCAGGCGCGAAACACCGACGGGAATCTTGTATTTTGCAGAGCTATCCTCCGCTTCTTCTTGCGACGACTCTGTATCCTTGCCAACTGTTTCGCTCAATCCAGAAGTTTTTAGATTACCATCACTTTCGCCGAAATCGATATCTTCAGCATTATGGGTATCTTGCTCTTCCGAGCTAGAAGACGACGTACTCTTCCGCTTGGCCGAATTTATATGTGACCGCAGCGGAGAACTATCCCTCTTCCTAGGCCAGGTCGACGGTCCAAAGCTACTATCACTAGTTGTTTTCATGAAAATCCCAGCACGGACACTTGGTCCTGAGCTTGGCCCCGAAGCCGAAACCGCTGGATCGCCCAGTGAGCGACTATGTCGATGAAATGAGGCAGCATTTGTCGATTTATACTTTCTGTGATCGGGTTTCGAGGGGAAAGCTTCCGAAAGCGCTCTCCATGCTTGTTCCAAAGCAATGGAGTCTCGAGCCGAGAAAGGCTGCGGCGTAGACGTCGTTCTTGCCGTTGCCGATGTCGTGGCAGCTGGAAGGGGAGTCAATGGGTCGTCGATGGGGAGAGAAGAGATGTAGAAAAACTGAGCATTGACTTCAGGAGGCGTGGGCGAGGACTGCAGCGCGACGAGGTCCTGTTTCGGCGTGGATCGATGGCATGTTGGGCCGTAGGTGTGGACGGGGCCGGGCATGGTAACTGTTTCACTGCAATAAATTACGTGGCGTTGTTCTGGATCGATGTGAAAATCGCGCTGAATTCCATATCATATCAAGTAGGCCATATCTGTGTTTCTCGAACCAGAATTCACCGATAGCTACCAAGGCAGCAACCAAAGCGAAGTTAGCAGGGGCATGTTGGTGCTGGGATTTGCAGAGCAACAACGCAAATTGATACCCTAATCAAACGCTTTCAGAAATGAAGCAGCGCAGTCAGCAAGAAATGAATGAATGAGAGATACTAATATGAAAGGGGAGAGATAGAAACAGAGAGAGAAAGAGAGTAGGATGAGAGGTGGAAAAGGAAGGAAAATGAAGCGGTGCGGCTCGCTGCCATGTGATCGACGATGACGTTGCGGCAGCCGCCGCCTTTCAACTTGACAACAATCTCTTTTTATTTTTTGCTATCTACACACTTCGGAGGGATTTTAACAGCACAATTTCTGGCCAAAGCTGAAACGAGAAAAGCGAAGACATGTAAAGCAGACTGTCACCGAGCGAGATGGACAGACAACTCGACACGAAAAGAGCCGCATGAACAAGCAACATACAAGGAATGAGCCAGGCCGATTCTGAGCATTCTCTCCAAAAAAAAACCAAGTACCCTTTCATATGGAAGGTTGACCAAAAAAGAAAAAGCTCGCCTTGTGCCCAAAGAATCTTGCAATTCATCAGTGCGAGACGAATTATAATGATTCTCGGACGCTAGAAGCGCGCTGCAGTTCCTCCATCTTCTTTTTGTATTTGGCCTGATGGATGAGTCCCACAACCAAATGCTTCATGTCAAGGAATGTGTTCAGAACTTCCTTGGAGGCCCCGAGCATCTCAAGAACGGGGTAGACGTCATGGAATAGCTTTCGAATGGCGCTATCCGGCCAGCAATATGTCCGCACATTCAACTGATTGATGACCGACCCCCAGCCGTCTAGCGTCGCTTTCAGAAGCACAGGGTCGAGCCCGAATTTCCCGGGGAAGCCAAAATTATTGACGTTGTGTTTGATAATGTCGCGCTGGGTCTTCATATCGAATTGAAATTCTGGGACCAAGGGTCGATTCTTCGAGTTCCAAAAAGCTACAAACCGCTTGACGGAATCGTTCCCCTCAAACCTATTGTTGTGCATCTGTGTAAGCAGATATGCATTGGCACTAGTACACAAGAATAACTCTAGTTTGGAGTATATCTCAGACTGCGCTTCTGGATCGACGTTGATTGAAATGCTGGGCTTCATGACGATTCCATGGAGCAATTCCATTCTGTTGTCGTCCCGATCAGGCTCTATCGATCGTTGAATGCCTCGTTTCTAATCGCCACATCAGTATCTAGAGGTGCTTTGCTGAAGTGGCATAGTTATCAAAACTTACAACGCGGTTGCTCAGCGATTCGACCTTTTCAGTCATTTTCTGCAAGTTGGACTGTTTCCAGTCCTGCTTTTGGCCAAGGTATCCATCGGGGCCATACAATACTTTCTTTTTAGGCAATCCACTGCGATGATAAGGATCGATAGGGTCGAATGGTACATGGCCAGTCACATCGGTAGCGCCAGGTAGGCTTGTCTTCTGCAGCAGCGGGGCCTTTTCATCATTAGTTTTGGCGGCTACAGGCAAGACAGGTTCATTTCGACGTCTGATTGGCACCCGGAGGGCAGCCAGTTGAGAATACATGTCGCGTCTCTCTGTTGGAGATTGGAAGCTACCTAGAGTATGCTGAGGGGATTGGCCTGTCTTCTCGTTCTGCAATTCCTCGCTATCCAAAGGGGGGAGACTAGGCAGCTTCTTATCAAAGCGAGACCGGTAGCGAGAAGAGTAGCCATGATCAGATAAAATGTGCGTCTGCTTATTACCGGTGGTGTCATCCTTTGACAGCTTCGAATTATCGGAAATTCCAGGGTAATGTTCACGGAGCTCTCTGCGGCCACTCTTGAGATTTCCAGCAGAACTGCCCTCGTAAAGCCAGGTACTTCCACTGCTTGTGGTCAAGTCAGGCCATATGTCATCTTCGTAGACGGATGATGAAGGCCGTGGCTGATGGAGTTCCCTAGATCCTCGTCAATTCTGCGTGTCTACTAATCCTGCGACTTTTCGACTTACTCGTTGTATATTGCAGCAGAGCTCTCGCTTGCAAGGTTCGCTGGCAATTGGTTCAATTTGACAGCTCGTTTCTGGGCGACATTGCGAGGTTTCAGGGGCTCTGGCAGCAAAGAGTCTACCATACCTCGTGCTCTCCGACCAAAGGAGAACCGCGACTGATGGCTCGCAGCGGGCGAAGAAGGGGCGACATCGCTTGTTGGGCTTCTCTCAAATCTTCCTTCTGCCTCGGGATTATATCGAAAGGGGAGTAGAATGGGTATCTCGCCTTCTTCGGCGCTTTGAGAGCCATCCTTTGACACGTTTTCTTCGTTAGACTTCTGAGACATGGTTGTCCCTTTCTTTCCTTTGCAGGGGCGGGGTTCTTTGTTGGTATTTGTGAACAATCAGATTTAAGAGGGCTATGCCACATGCAAAGATTTTTTTGTTGTGTATGTGAAAATGAAGAGGAAAAAGGGTGGGGAGAAAAAAGGCAGTGCCAACAGCTGCTGTTGTGAGCCTCTGCTCATCGCCGGGGGCAACAAACATGACGATGTCACGTCTGCTACCAAGCAACAAGAGACAATAGGCCATGCTGTGCTGTCACTATTGTCTTGATTGAAGTTCTCTCATGCCAGTAAGAAGCCTGGTTGTCTATAGTATATTTAGAGGAGCATGAATGATGGTTTGCATGACCCTCAGAACATCTATTATATCTATCTGCATTTTTTTCTGACAGGCTCAAAGATCCCAACAATGCAAGGATCGGTGCCTGGCTCAGGACTGCTGACAGTCAGCTGAAAGATGCCCATATAGATTGTCTGCACTACAAAAGCCTTGTCATGCTGCAAGTTGAAGCTATAGTAGGTAGAGATGTATAGATAGGTCACCGTAGGTCATGTGACTTCGCAGCACTCCCGCTCCATCATAACAAAGGCAAAAAAAAAAAAAAAAAGATAAAAATAAACAGCCACCGCTATAGCTAAACTAGCCTGTCTAGTGTCTAATATATAGAAACGGAAGAATCCATAACTATTCATCATGTATGTTCAGCGCGAGAATCCAAGGGCTGCGGACTCCACACTCCACTTGCCGACTTTCTTCCCGGGGGTGGAGCAGAGCAGCGATGGGCCGAGAGACGACAAACTTCCCCCGCATAGCCCAAGTCGACTGCTGGCACGCACCGTGACACGAGTCTCTCTTCGTGCCAGACCAGACGCTTTCCCAGTTGCTGGCGCTGCTCTGGGTCCCCGTTCCATCCTACCCTACTGGTCCGTTGGGCCGGTGAGCCAATGCTCCCCCAGAGAAATCGACGCATCTGCCGTTTCCTAGATCCGGTGGCTACGTTTAGTATGTGCATGCAAGCTATAGCCGAGCAATATAATATTACAATGGGGAGGGAGGAGCTGTGTGGCCTGTTTAAAATGGGCTTCTTCGCTACTTGCTTCACTCTGTTGGACATTTTTCTTTAACATTCTTTGGCCATTGTCCGTTGTCTCTCTCCCTCTTCCTCTCTCTCTCGTTTTCTTCTCGTACGCCATCCATGGCACACTCGGATAACAAGTACGACATCGTTATAGTCGGCGCAGGCCCCGTCGGCATACTTCTGTCGCTATGTCTCTCGCGCTGGGGATACAAGGTCAAGCATATCGACAACCGGCCTGTACCGACGGCCACTGGCCGTGCCGATGGCATTCAGCCTCGCTCGATTGAGATTCTGCGAAATCTCGGATTGAAGCGTGCTCTGATGGCTTATGAACCGGCAAAGGTTTATGCTGTGGCGTTCTGGGACCCGTTGCCCGGTGGCAAGGGCATCCACAGGACCGGAAGTTGGCCCAGCTGTCCTCGATTCATCGATACGAGGTATCCTTTTACGGCGCTGGTACATCAAGGGAAAATCGAACAACTGTTTCTGAACGAGATTGAAAAGGCTGGCACGACAGTTCAACGCCCCTGGACTATCGTGGATTTTGCAAATACCGGAAAGGACGAAGCATATCCTGTAGAAGTCAGTCTCAAGTGTCTTGACACAAACGTTATCGAGAATGTTCGCACCAAGTATTTATTCAGTGGAGAGGGTGCACGGAGTGTTGTCCGAGAGAAGCTGGGCGTTCAAATAACCTACAAAGACCAGATCTCATTCGTTTGGGGTGTTATGGATGGGGTTGTACAAACGAACTTTCCTGACATCAACGTAAGCGCGTTATAACTGCTGTGGTACTAGCACATGCTAACGCTACTTCAGACAAAATGCACCATTCATTCAGATAGCGGGTCGATCATGGTTATCCCCCGCGAGGATAGCATGGTCCGGCTCTATGTACAAATCGCTTCTTCGACGGATCCCGACTGGAATCCGAGGAAGACGGCTACGGCTGAAGAGGTCCAGGAGGCTGCTAAGAAAATCCTCCACCCGTATACTATCGACTGGGTCAGAGTCGAGTGGTACTCTGTGTATCCTATTGGACAGGGGATTTCCGAAAAGTATACACTTGATCACCGCATTTTTATGGGTGGAGATGCGTGCCATACTCACAGCGTAAGTCCTATTATTATTATTATGTTCTTCGAAAGAATTTCATACCTAGTTAGACTGACTTAATTTGTTTCCAGCCCAAGGCAGGCCAGGGCATGAATACGGCCTTTCACGATGCACTCAATTTTGCCTGGAAGCTTCATGCTGTAGAGTCTGGATTTGCAGACCGATCCCTTTTAGAGTCGTATGAGTCAGAACGCAAGAAAATCGCAGAGGATTTACTTGATTTTGACAACAAATATGCCGCTCTCTTCTCGCAGCGTCCGCCCAATGCAGAAGAAGTCGGAAATGCCAAGTCACTTAGTTCCGATGAAGGCGAGGAGAACGAGTTTGTTCAGACGTTCAAGTCGTCATGCGAGTTTACCAGCGGTTACGGAGTCGCATACGAGCCGAATGTCATTAACTGGAGTCCCAGCCATCCCGCTCAATCGCACTTGTTTGGCATCGATGGCGTGAAGCTCGTCCCTGGCAAGGCTTTCACGCCAACTACTGTCGCGCGTCTCTCGGATGCGAACATAGTCCACCTAGAGCAGGAAGTTCCAGCAAACGGATCTTTCCGGATCTTCGTATTTGCCGGTTCACCGTCAAGGAACAAAAAAGCAGTTGAAGATTTGGCAAACAACCTTGAGAAGGACAAATCTTTCTTGTCCGTGTATCGCAGGCCCGATATTGCAGAAGTCTCCTATTTTGAACGTCACAACCCACACTCCAAGCTCTTCACGCTTAGTTTTATCTTCGCCGCGGAGAAAACGGGCGTGGATGTCTCGTATCTCCCTCGGGTTGTCAAGGACTATCACCACCACATCTATGCGGACGACGTCCCCGATGTGCGCGTACCACATGCGAAGTTTTCCGCGCATGAGAAGCTTGGACTCGATCCTGAAAGGGGCGGTGTAGTTGTCGTTCGTCCGGATAGTCATGTCTCGTGCATAGTGCGTCTGGTCGAAGGAAGTGGTACAGTCGATGCATTGAATGCGTATTTCAGTGCGTTTTCGTCAAAGCCTCTTGGACAGGAGGGAGCAAGCCATCTTTGAATCATGTTTGGTCAGGCAGTAGTATAAGAAACCTGTTTTATAGCTTTGTATAGAGGAATAGTTGTTGATATAATCAATGCTGCTTGTCAAGTTGTGCCTATTTAGGTATTCTAGTAGAATGCCTTACAATCTAAGGCAGGAAGCCCCACAAGGAACATTATCAACCTTCACCCCCCGCATTGCGATCGAACATCTTGTTCATAAGTTATAACGAACAAATTCATCCCTTGAAAGAAAACAGCATGCTCTCTCTGGCTCTTACTGCCGAATTGGAAGGGTACATGTTCATGTCGCGTGTCAGTGCTGCGCATTTATCGACTAACCTGGCTCTCTTTAGTGTAACAGGGCTCCGGCCAAAGGACACTGAGGAGGACCCATACTACTACACCTTCAAGGTCCTCTGCAGCTCGTGCAGGGAGACGCATCCAAACTGGGTCAGCTTTACTCGTTATGTAAGTGATTTGCTTGTATATCCTAGCGGGTGGCGTGCCTTCAATATCTTCAAATCAGATGCTGACGACGGGCCACAGGAAAAACATGAAATCCCCGGCAGTCGTGGAGAAGCCAATTTCGTGTGGAAATGCAAGCTCTGCGGGGTATGTCTTGTCCTCATATCCATCTACTGTCTAATCTATCCGCCTGAATGAAAGACATACATATGAGAAGAGACTGACCGTATCAGAAAACACATTCTGCCTCCATAACTGCAGGGCCCAATGCATACGAAATACCAGAGAATGCCAAGTCCAAGATCCAGAAGATCATAGAAATGGACTGTCGCGGTCTCGAGTTTACCGACTTCAAGGCCGATGTAAGTCTCTCTCATCGAAATGGCACAAACGCAATCAAAAAGCATATACTAAACGCAACCTTCTAGGGTGATTGGGAAGCCAAAGGGGCAGAAACGACCACGGCGTTTTCGGGCATCGACTTGTCCGAAGGAGAGTGGTATGACTACGACGAGAAGGCAGGTGAGGAAGTGAGCATCAAGGATATCAAGTGGGAGATCAGAAATATCAAATAAAGGTTTTGCCCTCGCGTTCTCGCGACAGCTTTTCGATCTACTAATTACCAGTGCGGATGTCACGGATTTGCGATGTACTCTTAATTAAAAAGATATCTTATGAGGTCATATGTATAATCAAAATGAATTTTCTGTGAGTGTATCTGCAAATAAATCGCGATATGAAAAGGCGGACGAATGCAGGCGGTGAAGCAGGCCAGCAATCCCATTGGCCGAAAAGCTCTTTATGGAAACAATCTGCAGCTTCTTTCCTTGGTCGATTTCCACGGTCTTTCCACTGCAACGAAAAGCTACATTTCACATCTTCTCAACGAGAGAATTTTTTGAAGAAGCGAATTTCAACAGTTCCTCGGATACCGATTCATCGCGCCCCATCGACTGGTCATTTATCACGACGAGACCAGCAAGCACGATAACGAACGGACGCGGCGTCGCGTGAACACACCTTTATCAATCTAGCCCTGCTTGTCGAACGAGTCGAACGAGATCTGTGCAATCACAATGAGCGTATGCCATCATTTGTTGGAGAATTTTATCGTTTATATATAGTTGTACAGACAAGCTAACCCCTCACTCACAGTTTCAACCAGTCAACCCCCGCCCCTTCCTCCAGTCCAGGTAGGTAAACCAGTCGCAGACGACGAAGAAGATAAACCATACAATGAGTTAGTTCTTACATTTTGAATAGAGTCGGAACTGAGCTCATCATTCGCTTAAAATGGGGACAAACCGAGTACCGCGGCCAACTCGAGAGCATCGACTCGTATATGAACGTGCTGCTTCGGGATACGCAAGAATTCATTGATGGGAAGAACACGGGTAGTTTGGGGTTGGTGCTGATAAGGTATTTTCTTTCTCTCTCTCTGTCTTTTGTAGACTTTTTATCATTCCCAGAGAAGACATTTATTTGAACTCATTTGTACTGTTTACTAACTTGTCTATCTTAGATGTAACAATATTCTCTGGATGGCCAGCGCAGACGGCGTCGATATGATTGATCTAGGGTTAAAATAAAAGAAAGGGGAAAATAATACTTGATTATACCATGTTCTTCCCCTCGCTTCTTCTCTTACACGTTCAATTTTCGTCCTATCCTACGTATTAGCGGTTCCGCCGCCATCGAGCGACGAAAAGCAAAAACGAAATCATAATCGGATTTCGAGGCATACAAAAGGAGTGATACTGCGGAGAGACAACAGAGTTGGCTTTTTTTTGAAACCCCGCTCGCTATTCGGGGCCAATTACAAACCCGTTCGTTTCCTATTAAGCAGATCTGAAAAAGGCAGAGCATCATTTTAGAAATATGCCTTCAAAAAATTGTATAGAACGTGTTTTTCTCGAGCGGCTCTTATGAAACCAGCGATTTTGAAGGTAAACAGTGTGACAGCATGGATTTTGATGTCTGGGCAGCGGATTCTGGGCACGTACTACGTAGTTGTGCAGCTCCCTGCAGGGACGCTTTCTCCATGCACCTAGCTTCGTAAATAAATACATGGTCCTCACTGAAAGACAGGAAAGCAGGCTGAACGTGATCACTTAGCATCTCTCAAGGTGCTCAGTCGGCCTCGACCCATTGCACATGTTATATGAATAGTCCTTCATCCTTGAGATGAATTATCTCCCGACATTCTAAAATTTATATTGTTTCTAACGATAAGTTCAGACACTATGACAGCTAGTAGAACTTCATTAATACGTTTCATTTGCTAAATAATTAACTAAATTAGGTAACAACTGTCCTCAAGTCTTCGATTCCCCTAATTAAGCGATGGAGTCAAAAGTTCAGTCAAATACTCCTCCCCTTTCTCCTTGATACCCAATAGCTCGTTGTCATTCTTAACAAACTTGAACCCATACTCCTCATCCACGATACTCTTGAGCAGAATAGGAATCACGGTTGGCAAGTCGTGTTGTCCCTGGGCAAGCCGTTCAAGAGCTCCAGCAACCACCACGTTCAAGTCCACATCTAATGGAGCCCATGGATTGTTGGGAGCAATCTTCTTAGCCAAGGCTAGGATTTGGTTTTGTGTGAAAACATACTTTTGGAGAAGTAGACAGCTCGATTCTGAGTTTCTGCGGCATAGGTCAGGACACCGACTACGGTCTTTCCAACAGTTGGCATGCCTAGTACAGCTGAACTGAGAGTCTCCTCTGTTGAATATGGTGGGTTGATACTTGGAGAAATCCATGATGACCTTGCGCTGAATGGCAAAGTCGGTGAGACCCCAATTATAGACAAAGGTATACGTCAGGTCGGAGGTTTTGGATTTCTCAATGAGGTAATCCTCAACCGCCACTTTTGACTTGAAGATTGGTAGCTTGCGAGTTTTATGGTTGCTCATGTTGGAACTGAAATTGGATGGAAGGAAACGCTTGACGCCGGCAGCAATGGATGCATCAATCAGGAGCTGTTGGGCTATGACACCTTTGTCGCCGACAGTTGAGACGACGGCATCTTGGTCCGTGAGAGCAGTTTTCAAGGACTCGGCATCTTCAAAGTTGGCCTCGACTACCTTGACCTTCTCAGCAAAGGTGTATGTTGAGCCTGTGCTGCATTCATTAGAAAGTACTGAATCAAATGCTTAGATAAACGACATATTGCTAAGCTGGCCCTCCATACCGACAAAGAAAGTCCCATCATCGGACTGATGATAGAATAATGCTTATTAAGTTCATGGGCATCCCACAATAATGCCGACACTAGCCGACGAAAGTTCTGTTCTGCTCATTCTCTTTCATCGTTATTCACTTTACAAACTATGTGTAAGCCTTTTTTGTTGCAAGTAAGCTTCAGCTCTTGTTTTATTATCTTGTATAAGCTGTTAATAAGTGCGATTAAGATACTTACTTTGCTACCATGCTGATTTGTACGAAACAAATCATCGATGTATGGTTGCTTCTTAGTTTCAATGCAACAAAATCAAGTGGTGGGTCAATACATACTTTCCCTTGCTGCTCCTATTTGTATACATGTAAAGGGCGGGGAGCGGCCCGCCCGCTCCAACAGGCCCCACCAAGCCGCATTTTTAGGTGGTCCCTTGATCCGAACTATACATGTTAGTGTAAGGCCGGGGTATGACGATATATATATTACATTACATTCCAGTTCAGTGGTGCCTTTATAGTGAACATTAGGCGGAACTACTAGTGCACATAATCTATATTCTAAGCAGTCAATTTACATACATCAGTCTCTATGAACATAATAACGCTAAGCCCAACATTAGCATCCTACTTATAGGGAAAGTACGTAAAAGCTCTTTCTAATTGCGCCTAAAGGAGGTTGAACATTTCCAGGCGTGGGCAGCTCAAAATGATCTCCTGCCACAGAAATAGTCATGACCTCTCCGCTGGTGAGCCTTTCCACCCGTTAGGACCGAAGTTTTAAATTCCACCCTTAGCGGGGACAAGACAGGCAAACGTTCCTAGGTCTGGATCTTCCATAAAACCCGGATACGAGTGTATTCCATAGGCCACCCTTGTTGACGACTTCCTGAAAGACATCGTAGCTGAACTCGTCCTCGGCGAGTAGCATGCGCTGGTCTTGGATCTGCGATCGTGGACAGCACATTGTGAATAAATATGAGACCGTCGACGCGGTACGCCTGGTCGACCTCAAGGGCAACAAGACAGCCAGCCGAGTAGTGGCCAAGAAGGAAGGGACCCATGTCCTACGCCTTGATCAAGACATCTACAATTAGCTTGGCCACACCTTCGATGCCGTCTTCACTCGTCATGCGGGAAAGGCAGCTGAATTAGGCGAGTCGATGCCGTAGACAGTCTGCTTGGACTTGAATGCCCACAGGCGGACGAAACAGGCGACTGTGCCTGTGCCGTCGGCGGTTAGGTATAGCGCGCGGCGTCTTGCTGGTATTCGGACGGCCCTGCATAAGTGTGATTCTGATGTTGGGAGGCGGCGACGTGTTAATAGCTTCCAAGCTGGTGACTTTTGACTCTTTCTCGACGTTTACCAGGCTAGGGGGTGGGGTGTTGGAGACTGAATCTGGTACCGAAACGGGGACAAAGTCTCCGTCAGGAATGTGTTCCTGTTAAATAATGAAAGCCCGCTATATATTACTGTCTTGGAGGTCGATTCGAACCGTCCTTTGCACCTTTACGGTGTTGACTCGTTGTGGCACTCGAGCCCAGCTATTAGAGATCTTGGCCAGCGTGCCGACCGTCAAGATTGCGCACAGAGCAACTTGGTCGTAGGGTCAGAGTAAAAGAAAGAAAGCCTCATTATGATACTAGATGGTCTTGGAGGTAGATTAGGCAGTTTGTGTAGAAATGCTAAATAAGGACATTATTTGCTCGTGACTTGCTCCAACCCTACCTAGGTACTCTAATTAGCACTCTAGTGCATGCTAAATTGCATCACTGATGAGCCTATGTGATAAATATATTAGTATTGGTATTAATGTAATATAGTAGAGGATCGAATAAAATGGCCACAGTTCAGCCAATGATGTCATTCCGAGAGTGTGGATGTACTCTGATATCAGATTCCGTCTGAGATGTACCGAAATGTCGGCTAAACATCTCACTGCCAATGACGCGTCTGAAAGAAAGAAGAGGGAAACAAACAGATCAAAGAACAAAATCACAGAAGAACAGAAGATACATAGACTACCTACAATAGTGTAGCCAAGTCCCTACAAGTATTACCGCTGACACGCAACATGTTTCATGGCTGAGACGAAACTATAACCAAGTTGCCACAGACGCCGACCCCTCGAACGCCTGCGACGATCTCAGTGGGACAAAAGTTAGATCTGCATAAGCCATCGTGAACAATGTATGGTCAGACCAAGCCCCAAAAAGCGCCGTGTGTTCTGTATTTAGAAACCTAGTCTATGCACAATATCAAATGGGAAAAGTGGACGCGGAGGAGGGGCAAAACGAAACAACACGAGGACGTGAAGATCATTGGTATTTTTTTTCGCCCCGATACACGGTTTCACTATGGCTGTATGGTAAGGAAACCGTGCCAATACGGCTCAGGGAACGAGTCATCGGTCAGCAGCGTCCAAAAGTTGCCAGTTCTGTTGGGTTTGGACATTTATTAACAGACTGTCTTCCTCTCAGTTATCCTGGCATTATATTTCACTCTATTCTTCCTCAAAGTAATCTTGCATTCGTTACTCCGATATCAGATATCACATCCCTCGCTTGCTACCTATACCGTCGTTAATCCAACTCACCTGTTTGTTATACGTCGACACTTTAATTGAAACCAGGTATGTTTATCATCACTACCGCTTACATCGTCTATGTCTGACGATCCTAGTCTAAAATGGTCTCTTCCAAATTCATCGAAATCCTCGACGACAACAGCGCCGACACCACCGCGCAACAACACCAAATGTCCGACAGCGACGTCAAACTCGAAGACGTCCTAGCCGACCAAGAGCAGCAACACTCTCGCTCGCGCTCATCTACACAATCCTTCTCGTCGCGCAAGAGCCATGAAGAATGCGACCCGCGAACATCCACTAGTTGTGACGGCGTGGATTCCTCTTCGTCGTCGCCGTCGTCGCCGTCAACGTCATCATCGACCACGCCGTCGCCGAAGATCAAGCGGTTGAGGAAGTTTACGTTGACGGGTGGATTTTCTCGCTAGTCTTTCTACTTTTCCTCTCGGTCAAGATGGATTGCTGAGAAACGAGCCGAATGAATAGACGAACAGCGATGACTTATGAACTGTACAGATGTCTGAATGTGCTTGACAGCAGCGTTTCTTTCTTTATCAGGTCAGGCAGGCCATGACCTGATCGATACCCTTTCATTTGCCCTTCTTGCATGTTTTTTTTTTTATCGATTTCATCCATGCTGTACTCCGTATATGTATGTGTGCACACGAGAAATGAGAGAATGACTTCTGCGTAAAAGATTAGCATGTGATTCAGTATTGTGGGGGAGACACACTTGCAGCCTGAGGCCAACAAACGCGTCCACCGAGACGTCGCTCCCACCTCTATCAGTCTTCACCGACATCCCGGCGAAATCCCCAATTACAAAATTACAAAAGCCGTTGGAAAAGAAAAACTCGTTGGAAAAGAATAACAAAAATGTCCGCCTTCGCAACCTCCAACCCTTCCCACAGAACCAGCGAATTCGAATCCCAGCGCGCCGAGCTCCTCCGCGAAATCGCTCTTGTCCGTTTCTCTCCAAAACCTCTGAAAAGGATTAGAAAAAGAAAGGAAAAGAAAAGAACTAATCGTTGGAATAATCAGGGCATGGAGTCAGTTCTACAGTACATCAATCAACTGAATCGGAACCTGGAGAGCATTATCGCTGTATTTCTACCTTAATCCGAATAATCAGTCTGAAGTAACCCAGCTGATTCGTTGATGCAGGTCGGAAACGAGTTTGGATCCGTCGAGGCGCTGTGGAGTCAGTTTGAGAATGTGATGGGCACAGAGGAGCAGCAGCAGCAGCAGCAAGGTCATGGGGAGGATGTCAAAGAAGAAGAGGAAGAGGAGGACGACAATGGAGATGAGCATTAGATGATGATTTGTTGGTTATAGTGATAGAGTGATACCCATGTTTATTTTATTTTCATTGCATCTGCTTCATTTTGATTTTGATTTATTCAAGGCTAAAACAATAATCGGATTGACAAACAAACAGTCCCACGTTGACGCCAACTCCATGCATGCTCCGTATGCCTCATGGCCAATGATCAATGATTCACAAGAATGGGGGAAAAGGAAATACAAAAATAAGAAAGACATGATGATCCAATCGGATAAAGTCTAGTAACAAACTCATGTTCATCATCGGATTTGACATGAGAAAAGAAAAAAAAAGAAAAAAAGAAAAGAAAATCGAACGCATCCAGGCGATCGAAAGATAAAACGTTCTTATAGAATTTTGCAGGTACGTTTCTTAACCTTGCGTCCTCCTGGCCCACTCTTACCAGTAGGACCAGTGCTGGAACTGTAGAATCCCTGTTCTTCGACTCCAACCACGGTGTTGACAGCCAGCTGGAATACCTCGTCAACGCCGGTCATCTCCTTGCTGCTGCATTCAATGTAGGCAGCACCCATGCGATGGGCAACGGCCTGGCCTTGCTCGGGCGTGACTGGCGTGAGTCCCTGCGTTTTGAGGAGTTCGATGCATGTGCGCTTGTTGCGAAGGTCCGACTTGAGGCCAACGAGAATGAGCGGCGTTGTTGGGCAAAAGTGGAGGACTTCCGGGTACCACTATCCATCGGTTAAAATTGACGTCTTCTTCAGGAGTAGGATTAAACTCACCTTGTCCATTACGTTCTCTAGCGAGTTGGGACAGTCAATGGCAAAGCAGACAAACAAGAGATCTGTTTCTGGATATGACAACGGCCGCAGTCGATCGTACTCCTCCTGGCCGGCAGTGTCCCACAGCGCGAGTTCCACCGTCTTGCCCGACCGGCCATGTGTAGTCTGCGTGATGTAGTTTTCAAAGACGGTGGGAACATATTTCTGTTATATTCAATTGTCAGTTAGTCGGTCCTCCTCTACCCAAAACTAGAAGAGTGTGTACCTCTGGAAAGTATCCCTGCGAATAGCTGATCAACAAACAAGTCTTTCCACAGCCTCCGTCGCCCACCACGACGAACTTCTTGGAGTATGCAGGCGGCTGGGTGATATTGGTTGCTTGTGACATCTTCCCGGACGACATGCTGGTGTTGGTGCTGACGGTGCCGTTGCTCCCGTTGCTGACTCTGACGCTCTGGCTGCGGGCGCGCGCTCCCTTGGGCATGATAGCAGCCTGCGGAGCCTTCTCATTATTATGGTAGACCGAATGGCGTCTGCCTGGGGCATAATTATGGTTGTTGTTGTTGTTGTCGTACGCGACTGCTGCCATGGTGGATGAGCTGCAACAAAGAATATGCACGTGTCAATGGGTATTGTTTGTTTGTTTGCGAACAACAAGAAAGTATGTATTGTTAAGTATGCTGGGAGTCTGATGGTTTGTTTGGATGACTATGAAGGATCGATTGATTGTTGTGGGAGAAAGAAGAGAAGAGGATGAGGAGCGGAAGGGAGGAAAAAGAAGAAAGAAGAAGGCACCCTTTCTGCCTGTGTTCCTGTCTTCCTGTTCCTGCAAGCAAGATTCAACTCAATGTGGCATCCACTCAGAAGCCCAATAGCAAATAGTCTGTGCAAGGCGATGGCGATCGATGGAGTGATTGCTTGATGTGAAACAGCGGAGATTGTTTATCGGCCGCATTGCCACGGCAACGCGCGCTGGCGAGCTGACTGAAGCTGTCACTGCGCGGGTTGGGCGCATCGATTGGCTGTCCTGCCAGAGCTACACGAGTTCTCTATGACGCTGCAGGAAATGCTAACCGCCGCTCGATCTGGGCCAGGCCATGTTTTCGACTCCGTCTGGCGTATGCCCTATGGGAAGAGGGGCTGTGGCGACGTTTTCGTATGCTACGGGGACTCCGTGATGCTCGCGAGTGGCCTGTGAGTCTGTTCGTATAGCGCTTTTTTCCTTGACGAGTAGCTATGCCGTAGCGTGAACATCGTACGGTCGTAGCAATTGGCGATAGCAGCAGCTGTGTACGTTCAGAGAAACTTGAGGCTGTTGCCGTTGTTGTTGGATCTCAAGCGGCAAGCGCGATCCACCCCCGCCAGCCAATCGCTGTCCGCCCTGCGGCAACCACATATATCCGCTAGTTATCAACCACAAATCCCGGCCTCACGACAAGTCGCTCACTCCTCCTCGTCGCTCGCGCTCATGGTCGACGCGAATGGAGCACGCCGCACCCAGCTCTCGCTAACCGCCCACGCAACTGCTACCCACAATGGAGAAGAAGAAGCCGAATGGGCGGACAGACGCTGGCCTGCGGAGCTTGAATCATTGTATGCGTCTCCTCCTATTCTATCTGCATCCAACTGACGGGACCAGACCAGAACAGCCTGCCAAAATGGCGCTATTACCCCCGGGAGAAGGTCCTGCCGGTCGTGAGATTCGAGACGCCTTACCTCGCCTGGTTGCAGCACAAAATGCGCACCCCCATGCTTGATTCGTTCTTTGCGTTTACCGCCAATCTCGGCACCCATACTTTCTTCATGACTTTCCTGCCGGTTCTGTTTTGGAGTGGATATCCTAGTCTCGGTCGTGGGTAGGTTACTTTTTTTCCGGTGTAGCTTGTGCGTGAGCAAGGGCATTCATTGATAGATAATCCCATCAGAACGGTCAACGTCCTGGCCGCGGGCGTGTTCTGGAGCGGCTTTGTCAAAGACTTGCTCTGTCTTCCTCGTCCGCTCTCCCCCCCACTGCAGCGCATCACCATGTCCGGATCAGCTGCCTTGGAATATGGCTTCCCCTCGACCCATTCGACCAATGCTGTCTCTGTAGCCATCTATGCGCTATGGCTTCTGCGCTCTGACACTACGCTAAGTCCGGCTGTCAACATTGCGTGCCAAGTGGCTCTCTATATCTACGCGCTATCCATCATTGTGGGCCGACTATACTGTGGTATGCATGGATTTCTTGACGTGGTCATTGGAAGTGGCCTCGGCGCATTGATTGCATGGGTTCAGTGTGCATACGGTCCTGCGTTGGACAACTGGATTGTCAGCGCCCCCGGCAAGGAAGTGATTTTGATGGTTCTGATTGTGCTAGTGCTGATCCGCATACATCCCGAACCCGCGGATGATTGCCCCTGCTTTGACGACAGTGTTTCCTTTGCCGCGGTCTTTATCGGGGCGAATGTGGCGGCTTGGGATTTGTCCCGATCCAGCATTACATCGGCCGAACTTACGCCTGATACCATTCCCTACCGGCTAGAGTCCCTCGGTTGGTTCAAGACCGTGCTGCGTTTCATTATCGGCGTTCTCATCATCTTTGTGTGGAGAGAGGTGATGAAACCACTTTTGTTGCGCTCTCTGCCCCCTGTCTTCCGTGGCCTCGAGAAAGCTGGTTTACTACTTCCCCGGCGGTTTTTCACCCGCGCCTCGTACGTCTTTCTGCCCTTGATGCTATCCATTTGATCCAAAACGAAGTCCTGACCATGATTTAAGTGAGTACAAAACGGTACCCGGGCATCTCAAAGACGAAGAGGTTATCCCGAACTTCTCCGATATTCCTTCTATCCTTACGTCCATCCGACATCCCCGTCGAAGGGCTATCTCGGTCGGACCTCAGTCCGAGGCCGATGCATATGAAACACTGGCTTATAGGGAGAAGCGTCGACGCGAAAGCGTCACTGAGCTCTTTCACGGTGTTCCAGGTAAGTTTTGAATAAAATTGCCTGCTCTATAAATAAAGCTAACCCTCCAGGTGATGCCACCAAACGCTCCGTATCCAAGTTGGAAGAGTACGAGTCTCAGATGGGCACGGTCAGTCACCGACTAAGCCCCGATGCCCCAGTCTCTGCCCAAACAACCTCTGCAGCTGCAGGCACTCTTCCGGAGGCTGGCTGTCCCTCCACAGCAGACGAGGAAGATATGTTTTCCATGATCAAAAAACCGCGCGTTCGCTATGATGTCGAGGTGGTGACGAGATTAATTGTATATATGGGTAAGATTGATTTATTTCCCTGTCGTCTTAACGCTATTCTAATCTTAACTGAAATAGGCATTGGTCTGATCGTCGTTGATTATATGGCATACGTGTTCGATTTCCTAGGTCTGGCACCTTGAAGGGGGTATCGCCTTCTTCTTTGTTCATTGTACTTTGATATGACATTCTGCATGAGATTGCACCTTTCTACTGGTGTTCTTCTCTGCCTGTTTTTATACACATAATCCCTTTTTTTTTTTTTTCAAATTTTTTTCTTTGCAGTGCTAAATACAATAACATAAATAATTACATACACCGAGTGGGAAAAAAATGGGAGTTTTAACATTCTGGAAACAACATTAAGAAACATTAAGAAACATTAAGAAACATTAAGAAACATTAAGACGTAAGCATCCTACCTAGGTAGTTACCTGTTATATAAAAACTCGTATATGCCTGCTTATATCCTACTCGCTGTACTCGGGAAAATAATGCCATACCTGTCTGTTAACGAAGAAGATACTTGAACTCCGGCGCAGAAAGAAGTCCCATTTTCTGCTCGGTGAAACGCGGTAAGATAACAACACCCTGAGCATCCTCTTCTGGCGTGAGAATACTCCGCCACGTAAAGTAAAGCTTATACTGTTCCATCAACCCATACATCCCGTCTTGAGACACCAAAAACCCCATGTCGGTGAGTCTATTAACGTCCCAGATAGCAAAGCCATATCTGCGATACGGCGCAAAGGGGACGTTTTGCAAAGGGGATTTCTTGGCATCTGTAGTCACCGTCTTATAGAAGTCGTATCCTACTGGGATCTCTTCGATTTCGTAGTTGATATCGACGTACCTTTCGAGTCCGGGGGGAACCTTTTGTGATGGTGGAGGCGGGGGAGGGAAGCAGTGTGAGTGATAGGCCTTGTGCTCCATGCCCGGAAAGGGCTGCAGCAGGAAGTTTGCCAGTGAATTCTCCGTTAGTGTTTGTGAGCTCGTCATCAAATTCACCTGGTTTAGATATTCGATCACGGTGAGGTATTGCTCGCTCTCCCACACGGGGCTCCATATACAACGAGACGAGGAGTTGTGAAACAAGTACAACATGCTATACATGTCCGTCGTTAACAGACGGGTGCGATCCTCTTCCGGCCAATGGGTCAATTCACTCGCAACGAACCTCAGAGTGAAGATTGTCTGTAGCCGCCAGAGCAATCTGAGAACTCTCTGCTCTTCTACATACGTTGCCGGCCCGGTCTTCTTGGGTCGGTACGGCTGGCCTTGTGACTGTTGTTTAGAGTATAGCAAGCTTTGCGGTGTGAAAAGGGTCTCGAGGTGACTGCTGTTCAGGCACTGTGGCTTCATGGCCAGGGATCGCTCGACGTAGTAGTCTAAGCAGGCATGTGCGACGCTATGCGTGGTATGTGCCAGTCCCACGAAACTATGCATAAACTGCGGATCCTGAGTCTGCCAGGGTTGGTAGGGCTTTTGCCTGCTCATGTGCTTGATGACATCCTTGATGTCAGTGTACGAGCCTGGAGCCGTGCGGGCAGTGACTACTAAGCGCATGAGGGCCTGGATGCAGGCAGGCACATCTGACATGACCGCTTCGACAATTTCCTGTGCCGCCCCCATGAATATCGCGTGGAAACGTTGGGAAGCATTGATGAGGCTCCAGAGACATGAGAAGTTCGGGGAGTACTTCATGATGTCGATCAGGATCTCGGTGGGGAGACGCCACAGCAGGGACTCTTTGCTGTGGCGAGTTTTGCGTACAGTAGCCATGTTGACAAGCAGGCGTCCTGCAGCATTAAAGATAAAAAATTCACACAAAACCCGCTTGAAAAGCAGAATTAAGGATGATGTCCAGGAGGAGATCTGGGACAGAACGAGGCCAAGCCAAGCCTTGGTGCCTGACGGCGAGCGGGGGCATGGGGCGCCGCAATGATTAATCATGGGGCACGCATCACGTGCCCGTGGCTAGCGCGCGGGAGCTTCCTCGCGCGTCTGGCGCAAATTCAATTTGGAGCTTCCGCTTGTAAAGCTTCATCTTTGTTTGTCTCGCTGTTGCGCCCGCGCTTCCCAAACTATCGCCGCTCACTATGACAACGACACCCCCGCCAATTACTAGAGCCAGGAAGAAGTGACTCGCACTGTGACTGAGCCCGTAATGTATCGCCCTAATCCCAATTGAGCTTCCGCCAAAGAGAAAAACAACCCCTCCCTCAGCAGACTGCCTCTCACTCTCTCCTCGTTGCCCCGCCATTGATATCTTCCACAACACATCAACACGCTCTTCTCTTCTTTCTCTCTCTCTCTCGTCCACTCATCTCAACACCCCAGCTCGGTAGCAGCAATTCGTCTTTCGAAGAAGACATCGTTCCCACTTGCGACTCGTGTGAGCTAGCTGTTGAAGAATCGACAAATTGCTTTTTTTATTTTCTTCTGCCTTGTCTGGTTACCTCTCACTTTTTCTCCACAAAAAGCATCACTTGGAGCTCACCTGCACCTGTCTTCCCTCGAGGGACGCGTCCAAACCTCACCTTGCGAAACGTGCTTCCCAAGACCCGTCCTTCTGTCAAGTGACTGAAAACCGTGTCACCGCCTCATATCCTTCACCTCGCTTCGTTCACTCCCACGAGCCCACGAACCTGATATGGACGATATCTCCCCTCGGACTCCAAATTTGTGAACAACGGAGTCGGCTCTCCCAACAGAAGTTGATAGCAACACTTTTCATCCGCTACTCTTATTATATCGTGAAATCTTATTCAAAAGGATATTCACTTCTCTGAAGAAAATAAGGGAAAATGAATGGCGATACTTTCATGTCCAATGCAGACGACACTGCAGCCGATCACAGAATGCAAGGCATGGTCCCCACCTACGCCAAAGTTCTGTATTCACGCCGATCCTCGTCTCGATTATGTCGAATCGCTCCCATGACTCCAGACCCTAGATTGCATGCGTACCACATCCCACGGAAAGGAGACCCGCTCCTGATCCCAAAGAAGCCTATGCGTTCATATAACCCTTACGATGCAAAGGTACTTAGACGCATTTGCAGAAAGGCCGAGAGTAGGAAACGTGCTCTTGAAGAATTTGAGGGGCGTGAACCTAAACGTCGACGCATTACCGGCGTGACTGCACACCCTGAAGCCCCAGAAATTGTGCCAGAAACCAGCGCTCAAGTCATCACAGAAGCCGGCCATGGAGTCGTGCCACAAGTGACTGAAGAAGACCATCCGACAGCCCCTTTGGAGGCCCCACTTCCTCAACCTGAAAGTGAGCATGATGGGAATACCGATACACATGTCCACTCGGCCCCTGGCCTATTCAGAGCCGCCCATCTAGCTATGCAACAGTGTGTTAGGTCTGGTGTGCAGATGGCTACGACGCTTCGGCGTCACTTTGCAAGGAGTGATGAAGCCCGAGAGACCACACACGCGGACTACGACGATGAAGGTGATTTGGCTATTAGTGCTCAGTTGCAGGCTGAGCTGACTGAGAATATTACTCATTTGTCTTCGCTTTCCGCTATCATTCCCTCATTCGATGACCAAGCTGCTGCTCAGCTGCAAGCTGAACTTACTGCCCACGCTGCCTCATTCCCCGCCGTCGTTTTTCCACCACCCATAATCTCCACGAATGCTGCTAACTTGCCGCCTCAAGATCAAGCCATGGTTAACCAAGATGCCATGACTTCTGAAGGCGTCTTACGTCCAGCAGAGGATCTAGCACAGGAAGTACCGGAGGTTGCCATTCCAGAAGCGGAGGCATCCGCCGCTGCCAATGAGGAGTCTGACGCCCAAGAGATTCGCGCGGCCATGTCTAATTCCAGCGAAGGCTCAAGTATCAATGCGCTATTTTACACCCGGGAGTTTAGACGCTTTCGCCCTTGCCCGTTAATCACTGAGCCCCCTCCTCCACTGTCGCTAGGTCAACGTTCTAGGGTCATACGTGGGCGTACTCACAGCTACTTCATAGCTCCCGATGCAGATGTGGACGAGGCCGAGCTCGCTCGTCAACTAGAAGCGGAAGAACGAGGTGAAATCTACACGGCCGCGGAACCGGAAGCCCCAACCCCAGCTGGCATGGAAGATGTCCAGGATATCGCTCCGCAGCAAGAGGGCATCGATCAACAGCCTGTCGATGAAACAGTTGCTTCTCAAATACCGACTGAAGAAGCACCAGAGCCCGAGCCCCAGCTCGAGGCAGAGGAACTCGATGGTGAAAATGCTGAAGGAGAAGAAGAAGGTGGGGATGATGAATGGCGGTATCGGATAGGTGTTCCGCCCTTGATGCCTTGGATGCGGAGACGACGCATTCGACGTGTCGCTCTAGTTGCTCCAGCAATTCCTGAACGACCCGTTGCTCCGGCAGCTCCTGCACGTCCCATCGCCCAGGCTGTACCATCCGTGCCCGTATTCCCTGCTCCTATTGTTCTCGCGCCTGCTACTCATGCGGCTAGGTCTGCTCCGGTTACTCCGGCTCGGCCTCAACGCGAGCTTGAAACAGAAGTTGAAGAAACTGCAAATCAGTTGGCTGCTACTACAGTTGCCGAAGAGGGACATGTATCTCCTCCAGTAGACAGCGACCCCACTGGTCGTAGCATTAGCTGGCTAAGAGGCGAGACCCCTCTTGGAAGGCCTGTTTCTGCCGTTCGGCTATTTAATCCGTTTTCACCTCCGATCAGCTGGGGAAACCGTACTGCACCTCTGCGTCAGGCAGAGTGGGAAGCGATTCAAGAAGAGAAACGTCGAGAAGAAGAACGGGAGCGAGAGGAACAACGCGAACAGCTTTTACAACAGAAAAAGGAATCTTTAGGACGCGTGCGCGTGGCTGATGGAGAAGCTGCTGTTACGCCCTTGTCGGATAGTTGGGAGCAACAGTTAGATGCAGTCATGTCAGGCCCGGCACAACGCATTCTCGTCTCGACGTTGGAGGGTGCTGAATTAACGGCACAGAAACTAGAGACTTGCTACACTCCCATGGCTTGGCTCAACGATGAGGTTGTTAACGGCCATCTTGCCCTCATCGTTGACTACCTTCGTCGAGCAGCCGACAATCTTGGACGCAACGCTCAGCCGAAATACTACGCGTTCAACAGCTTTTTCTACAAGAAATTGCGTGAGGGGGGACATGAATCTGTAAAACGTTGGACGCGACGTGCGAAAATCCAAGGAAAAGCACTTCTTGACGTGGAAACACTCTTCATCCCTGTACACGAGCAGGCTCACTGGACATTACTCGTTTTGCGTCCAAGGACCAGGACAATCGAATACTTTGACTCCTTATACTCAGATCCAGACCCCTTCATCAACAATGCGAAAAAATGGCTGAAAGGCGAACTGGGAGAGTTATACGATGAAGAGGAGTGGTATGTTTTGAACTCGCCTTCTCCGCAACAGAATAACGGCAGTGACTGCGGAGTCTTTCTACTTACTACAGCCAAGGCGATAGCTCTTGGTTTGGAGCCCACGGTATACGGGCCATCCGACATCTCACTCATTCGGAGGAAGATTGTCGCAGAGCTTCTAAATGGGGGGCTCAAGGGGGATTTTGAACCAGTAGGCGACGCTGGTAAAAAGCGATTGTGAAAAAAGAAAAACTAGACTTTCGCTAAACAAGTTCAATATATCAATCGTACACTGGCTACCCAGAACGACAGAACGGAGATAGCCCGATACATGCAAAACCACGAGAAGAAGTGCTTTAAAAAGAACGACGGAAACAGTTGAATGGAAGGAGAACTATTCACATGATGATGATTTTTGATGATGTTGATGACATACAATAGACTACCGGTCTTTTTACTAATTCTTTTTTTGCATCCATTGGCGCTTTAATATGTTTTGATATGTTTGACTTTGTTTTCTTCTTCTTCTTCCTATTGTCATCTGAAACCCACCTCCTCATATGATTATGTACTTCAAATGGCTTTGTTTGTGTAGGTCCCAGGAGGCCTCCAAACTCCCATTTGCCGAGTTCAACTATTTGTATCTGGGGGTGGGCGTCGGATTGACATTTTACTTGATCTCTTTTCAGTTTCTTTTCATTATAATTTTTTTTTTAGCCCACTATGTACCTCCGAAAATGATACCCAAAGGTCAGTTGAAGGTTACTACCTCCTGACATAGCGGCATATTAGCGATGGCGTTTGTATGGGTGGTTTTCTCTTTGGCCCTTTTTTTGTTTCTTCTTTCTTTCGTTTTTTGGGGGGTGTGTGTTTGTGTATCATTATAGTAATGGTTGGGTTGGGGTTCTCTGGTTTGTGTCATGTACGATTATTCGTTTGGGATATGCGTTATACGTTACAATGGATGCTGTTTATGTCAATCTTGCCACTTCTAAATGTAAGTTGTAGAGGTAGGGAAGTCGAAATGGAGTTCTATGTATGAATTACGCAACAGTTTCTATCGAGACAGCAGGGTTATTAGATACAACGTATAAACTCGGTCTCTACACTGGTTTGTCATCCCTCCCAAGTCACTTCATGCAATAATAATACAAAGATGATGACTCTCCTTCTCACATCTCTGGTACACCTGGGTTCGCGACACCGTCGATACGGCAGACTACATTGCAAGGCCTGGGTGCCTCGCCGGTCGAGTTGTAGGCTATCTCGATCCATTCAATGCCTAGATGTACGCTGTCACCAACAGTCAAATTGCCAGACCACAAGCCACCGTCACTCCACAGGTTGATGATCATTCTGCTTGGATCAACTGGAACCCCATATGCGAGACTGGCTTGCAGCTGGTTTTCAACGTACCAGCGAGACATTCCCGGAAACCAGTCGAGTCGATAAGTAGACCATGTTGTCCACGGGACAGGCGCATCCACGGCTACTTGAGAGCCTGGTATGACTATGTTACGCACTGGGTCGTAGTCGGGTTGGTTTGCATAGTGCACGCGGTTCGGCGGATCTGAAGTTAAGATTTCAATGTCCGATTCACTAGTAGTAGAGAAGAATGTAAATATTCCGACGCATGCACCTACTGAAGGTGGCAATCGTGATGCAACGCGCTGGATGAGAGGGGTTTGCTCGATAGCAGTGCTCGCTATCGCCATAGTCTCTTCACTTCCCTTGCCGAAGATCTTGTTTTCTACCAGTGGCGGTGAGAGAATCGGTTCATCATGTCCAAGAATACGAAGTCGAATTCGGAAAGAGACATGCATAAATGTGGAGAAGCTCGTCTCGATTTCTGCAGTCGAGGAGTAGGTTTCGAATCTCTTAGTTCGCATAGCAAGGAAACTGGAGCCGCCGGCCAAAGACCTGGTCAGAAAGACATTCTGATTCGAGTTTGCTATGGGAACTGGGAAGAGGGCAGAGGCGCTGCGATGCCAATCTTGGATCAGCCAATCGTTCGCGAAAGGCGTGTCCTTGAGGAGCACAGGCACGGCATTGTGTTCATGGGCTAGGTTTGCGGCATCTGCGCTTTGTGTTGCGGGTTGAAACTGGAAGCCTTTAGCAGTGAGAGCATTGAGCGGTACCTGCCGAAAGTCCCAGAAGTGATGATGCTGAAAGTATCCAGGGTCCGGTCCTGAGACGCTGTAGCAGTCGCAAGCCGTTCCAGGGGGGATCTGACGTTTCTCTTCGACGGTGGTTGAATTCGCTGGGACGGGGGTTTGGCGGGGATCCAGCAATGCCAGAGCAACTGGCACAGCCGTGGTAACTGTCAGCACGTAGAGGAGGAGGTTGTTGTTGTTGTAGCGCATTGTGTTGTAAGTATGCAGAGCAGTTGCGTGTATACCGAGTTATCCAATATGTCGTAGCTTGATGGTGCAATGATTGGAAGATGCGAAGATGTGAAGACTTTGGAGTGGCCAACTCGAGGTCTTCCTTTCGATGGAGGATGCGCTCCTTCCTTCCTGCGCGGCCATCCACACCTGAGGAAGGAGCCATTGCTGCCTCCCAACTAAGCACAACAAAGTCCACAGCCTGCTTGCAAAGAAATCTGTACAATTAGTGAATGGTATACAAGCATATCGTATACTCTGCCTTGAATAATAACGAGTGCTTGGGTTTCCTGTTTAGGCAATATGAGGCTTTGAGGCACGCCTTCTATTTTTGGCGGGTCTGCCCGGGAAAACGCATAAATTACGCGATTTCGGTCATTTTGGTAACGGGCGTGACAGTCAGGAGGTCAGCGCCCGAACCCGCGTCACAGAACGTCTCAACTGGGCCAATGACAGAGCAGCTGGAGTGGGGGCTGGAAGCGCAGGCAGCTTTTCATTGGCTGCATGATGGTCACAGCCCGATCGCATCGAGCTAGCGATACGAGGTCTTACCTCTGCGTTTGCCTTGCAAGAAGTTGTTCAGCCTTGCCACTCTTTTCTCTGTCAACCAACTCTCATCAATCTCAACCTCCAACCTTCAAGTGACTACCTACAATCAACCACCTTCTGCCTACCAAGACGGGCAACCGGACTACGATGCACTAAGAAGTATCAACTGAAACTGCGTTTGTTATGAGTGCAACGCTGGGGAGAAGCCCCTCGCGGGACTCCCACATGTCCACAGGGATCTCCAGTCCTCTGTTATCAGTTCCTCACGATGTCACGCCGCCTGTCGTGCCAGACCCAGGCATAGCCTACCTCCATGACCGGCTGAACTATCTCGAGTCCCAAATCAACGAGCTTCGCTCAGTTATACTGACTAAAGATGGGTATGTTGATCGTCGTAACAGAGAAGATCAGCACATCCGGCGCGAGTTTGAAGCTCAAAAATCCACCATCGAGCGAATTGAGGCCGACTTGGCAGCGCTCAAGACAGAAGTCATCTTGATCAAGAGAACCCTTGCTACGCTCTGCCACGAAACAGCCCTTTTACGCAAGGACGTTACTTGCCTCCAGAAGGACGTTGGGTGTCTCCAAAAGGACGTTGCTTGTCTCCAGAAGGACGTCGTAAAGCTGCAAGTTGAAGTGCAGCTTTTAAAATCGGAGATTGGTGACTGTCGTCTTGAGATCAAACATCTAACTCAGCGTTTTGATACGATGGAGATACGTATGAAGCAAGCAGAGCAAGTGCGTTACAACTCTCTTGCAGTTATGCCCAATGCACCCAATGCACCCATCGGCCCTGTTCCCAAAGTTGGAGAGAACGGAACGCTGCGCTATCCTGATTTTTTCCCCAGCACCGTCCTTCGATTTTGGGTATTGAAGAGACGAAACCATGGTGAGCTTATTCTGAATATGTGTGATTGTTTATACATTAGCTAACTTTCAAAAGTCCACCGTCTTGTTAAACTTGCTGAGTTTTATGAGCTCGAAGGATATCAGACATGGGATCGAAATCATGCAGATGATCTACCTTTTGATGACGATGATTTCAGTGATTTCGGCGATGAACAGCCCAATGGCCTGACGCGTGCAGAGGCGGCATATCAATATCCCGAAGCGTGCCATCAGGCCCTTGCGGCAACCTTGGGCTTGAATTATCGTAAGATCCTGAAGGTGGCCCGTGAAGGTTCCTATCCGCGAGCCCCCAAGAGACTCTTAGATGATTTTGCGCCTAATCATGGCGGATTGGCTATCACAGATAAGCCGCTCAAGTCTGCCAAGTTGCACCAAATGTCAGACAGCTTCAGAGAAAGACTGCTTCGACCCCAGGAGGAGGGTTCCGTATCCGAGCCGACAACAGTTGACAATCGCGATTATATTTATTATCGTCAGCCAGGGCGCGGGGAGTCTGATATCTCGTCAAGGACGAAGGCCAAACTAAAGGCGCGTGACTTTGAAGGTCTCTCTGAACAAGACATACTTCGTGGCATTGAGTTGGGGTGGTGCAAGGTGCAGGATGAGCTACCCAGAGTCACCAAGACCCCAGAAGCTGAGACCAAGGCTGCAGCTGCGGCTCCGGCTCCGGCTGAGGATGCAGCTGAACCTGCGGATACGGTACCGATGGACGAAGATGCTGCCTCGAGACGCACCATCTCGACTGAGGCTATATCACCATCTGCTTCGCGTGTTCCCTCCCGTACTCCTTCGCCACCGTTTACCGCAAGCATGACAAGTGACATGTCATAGACATCGACACCATATTTGCATACCTGCATACACGACATCTTTCTTTTTTATTTTCTTATTATATTCACGGCGTTTACATGAGAGATACCCAACATGGCGATTTTCTGGCAAATGACTGCTTAGATTAGATGCACCTGGCATTTATTGTATTTAAGCCGTAATGAATGCATACTAGATTTGCAACTACTTCTACTAGCAGTCCTGGGCATGTATACTTGAATAGACTTTACGTAGTGCTGAACGCTGACAGATATACATACATACTATACTATACAGTGAAAAATAGTCACACCGACCTGGCTATAACGAGGGTGGTAGTCCCTCCTCCTCAACCTTTTCTTTTTCAACCTCAGCTTCTTCCTCTTCCTCGTCATCATCATCATCGTCACTAGTCTCATCACTCGACGATCCCTCACTACTCGTATAATCCTCCTCTTCATCTTCTTCCTCTCCCTCAACATCAACATCACCCGGATGCTCCCTTAAATACACCTCCTCCAGCACAAAGCGCGCATTTTCCGTATCCCCTTCCTTGAGCACATCCGGCAAGACATACAAAGTCGGAAACTCAACCACGCTCCGCCCGCGAAGCACCTCACGCAGCGTCGCCGTGGGACTCAACGGGCCAACCAGAACGGTGCGGCGGTGACTTGCAGCTGCCCGTTGCCGGTGGAGATAGAAATAGGCACTCCGATAGGACAAAACATCATCTACGACAGTAGCAGTAGCAGTAGCAGTAGCATCCTCTTTTGGTCTCGGAAATACGCGATCGTACGCTTCGCGCAACGGGGTGGTTTCCAAGCAGGGCCTGATGAGCGTCTGGCCGGGGTTGGAAGCGAGGATCCATTCCACGCTCCAGTTTAGACACTTGTGTCTGTTGCTGTTAGTTATTACTTTTCTTCCTCGAACAAAAAAGAAAAGAAAAGAAAAAAAGAAAAAAAAAGTAAAAGAAGGGGGGGGGACATACTTAGGATGAACCCTCGAGCGATTCGCCTTCTGCCTCGACAGGCCCCTCGGAGCCCTCGCGAGCTTCACACCAGCCGCCTCCGCGGCGCGCACAAACGCCAATTCGCCCCTAACCAGTGTCGCGGCACCAACACCCCCTCTCTTCCTTTTGTTTCTTGAAGAAGTAGAAGAAGAAGCTTTCTGGTTGTTCGCATCAAGCATATACTCATGCTCCAACTGTATGCCTCTCCTATCAGCTTCGCGCTCGGCACGCTCGAGACCGCGCTCGATGCCCGTGATGAAATTAAAGTCGCGATCGAACGAGGCCGGATCTTGCAGCTGGGAGCGCGTGTGATAAGCGGCTGGATCGCGCACGCCGGAGCATTGAGACCAAGTTTTGTGTTTGCGTGTGCAGGGCAGAGAGCATGTGCGCACCGAGCAGCGTGGACAACGGTATTTGGGGGGGGAGATGTGGCTGACTTGTTAGCTTTGAATAGGGGGAGGGGAAAGAGGAGATGAAGTTAGGATTGGGGAAGGAGTTACCAGATACTGCAGAGCTCAGAGAGGAGGGTTTCTTCGGGCATTGTGTTGTTCGTTGATGTTGATACATTTAATTATGGATCTGGAGAGAGCTTTTTTGGAGCTTTTTTATCGCTATCTATGCTTATCGATAAGGATAAGAGATAATGCATCATACTGCAGTAACCACGTAGTCTAGTGTACCCCCAAAAGGATCTAAATTCAGTCAAATTATAACTACTAAAACACACAGAGTACAAAAGCAAAAGAGTTAATCATTATAAAATAAATGTATGCCATGATGCTATGCTAACGCTAACGCTATAAAGAAGAAGACGTGGTATCGGGTATAGAAAAGACAACAACAAGATACGTACATGAGGGGTATATGCGATGGAAATGGTATCTAAAACGAAGATGGAAAAAAACAAGATTGGGTAGTCACGAATAAAATAATGCCGGAAAGTAAGACATGAAAATAACTCCGTCGCTTGAAAGACAATTAGGTAAATGAATCTCGAAATCTTGGACATGGAGGGGTAGATGGATGCTAGGGAAAAAAAAATGAGTCACCGCGAGGCTCAGAGAGATCCGGCGGTGAGAGAAAAGAGGTGGAGGAGTTTCTTGTTGCTGTTGTTGTCGTTGTCGTTGTTGTCGGTAGGACTGACTGAGTGAAGCGAAATATTAAATGTTGCCGCGGGTCGCGCTGTGTAACGCTTGTGACCGTCTTGTACGGTATTGTGTGTATTGTATTGTGGGGCGCGGCATCGGCCACTATTCCGGTATTTTGGTCGGATAGTTACGGTACGATAACCGTGGCTTTCCGTATCAGGAAATGCAGTACCTGTGTCGGCCGTGCTGTAAGAATGGCTGATGCTGGCGGTAGTATGATGACGATTATGATGGTGGCGGTTGTGGTATATGGCATGTAGAGGATAAGGAAAAGTAGCGCCAGCGCTGTGGTCGATGTGATATGCAACAATCACATGCGGCCAGACGCCTTGGTCGACGACGACGCCGACCGATGCTTCTTGCCCGTAACCGAAGGACGCTTCTTCTTGCGCTTGGAGTTCTCGCGCTCGGCCGCGGCCAGCTGCGCGACTTTAAAGGCCTGCTGGGCGCGCGCATGTGCGTGCACGTGTGCCATAAACCGGATTCTTCGCTCGTCCTCCTCGGCGGCTGCGCGCATCATCTGAATCTGCTCTTCGGTGGTAAGGTCGTCGGCACCAGACATGAGCGGATCTGAGGCAGCGGACTCCTCGTCCAGAAGGCTCTCTGGCGGGGGAGTGATGGGCAAATCTGTGGGGAAGAGGTCTTCGTCGGACAGGTAGGAGCTGGCGGCAGACTCCTCCGACTCCGGGCTGAGGAGAGAGGGCCGGTTGGGCCAGGAAGGAAAGGCACAGGCTGAGCTCATGCCCATGGCGCTGGAGAAGGATGACTTGCGAGGAGTGATATCCAAGAGCCCATCATTGGGCGTTGGTGGAGGCGGCGGTGGTGGTGGGAGCGAGGACGGGGAGGGTGAGGATGTGCTCCCGCTGTAACTGTAGCTGAACCGCATGGCGATGTGACTGTGTTTGTGACAAGATATGTGTCTGTCTGTCTAACTATGTATCGATGTGTTTCACCAGAGTCCGAGGGGAGTGGCAGTATAAGTAATATAAGTAATAAGTTTGTCCGGGGAATTTCCGCCGAGTTGGGTGTTCCGCTTTGGGTAATTTCTCAGGCCGCGTTCCGCGTTTGTTTGTCCCACGGAAAAAAAGGGCGTGGGGTGCCAAAGGATAATGAATAATCAGTGATAAAAATAAAAAGTGGAAAAGAGAAAAAGAACAGAAATAAAATTAGAGTGCCAGGCGGTCGCAGATATAAGAGCAACGGGACAAACAGCGGTGACAGCAAACGGCCCCTGGTGGGATGCAACGATAATCAATCAGTCGCCCCGTGGAGGCGTCCGATGTGACGGTCAGCCTATTTGCTGGTGGGGGGGGGCAATAACACAGCGTGCTAAGATAGATTAAATAATAAACAATAGCAGCGCTTGCCGAAGTCTAGTCGGGTCTTTTTGAGCTGTCTCAGCCCTGTTCGCCGCCCAACGAGTAGCTTTGCTTTGCTTACTTGCTTGCTTGCTTTGCTCTGATCGCAGGGCAGGGCAAGGCAGGCAACCGGATCGGTTATATAGAAAATTCAACAACAACTTCCCACTTCCCAGTTTCCGGGGGTGCACAGACAGCCAGCAAGGGTGCACTGGGCGTGTGTGTGTGTGGAATGAGGATGTATCAACAAGTGAATATCAAGAATCTGATCGAGAGAGTATGTGGCTTTATCGATCATCCGCCGCAAGGGGTGCGACGGTGCAAGATGGGAGCGGTGAGATATGCGTTGGTATGCTTACCCGGTCGATCTGTCTCGGTGTAGCTGGCGGTGACAAGACTCTTAAGTCTCCTTTTATATCTGTTGTCCGTGAATATATGTGTGTACAAACAAAGTCGGGTTGTGATGCTGGCTTGCAGGACGGGATAGATGGTCTTGGGCCGGCACAAAGAAGATCTGACTCGGACTTCTTTGAAGCGCTCTTTCAGAATCTCGACTATTGATTGTCAATGAATGAATGCGATAGATCAGAGAAAGAACATGTATAAAAAAAATTTGAAATCAACTGGACAGGAACACCCGGCCTAGACAAGCTCGATGCGCTGGACAGATCGATTTTGAACTCTCTCTCTCTCTTTTTTTTTTTTTCCCTCTTTCTTCCTCACGACATGTTCGGTTTAATATATTTTTATGATAGTTTTCCACTTGTGCCTGAATCCACGCCCAACGACAATAGCCCAGCCCCAGCAACCAGCCGAAATTCTGAAATTATGGATCCGGCAACCCGGTCGATCCAGGGGAAGCGGCAGCACCAGAGTGTCGGATGAAGCTATTCTTTGGGATTATACTACATACGGCGTAGTGACTACACTACGGGCATATTTTGTATCCATTTAATTTATCCTTTATCCTTACAAATTATAATATAAATTCTTACGAGTCTCGACCAACGCTGTTGATGACCTACCGCATTAGGAAAACATGGAAGGATAACCCTGCTGCCCCCCTATCTCGACAATGCCATGTAACTATACGGAATCCGATATCGATTGCTAGTGGGTTGCTTGGGGGCTGGACTGATCCTTTGTAGAAGCTTTTTCGTGCATACATACTACGTAGTATATATCCAGAGTCTAAATCAGAATCCAGACCTGGTACTCTGTAGATTACTAGAGACAGACTGCTGAATAGGCCTCGTAGTTTCAAGTGTCCCAGCCAGCTGGGAGAGCTCCATCGAGGAGGGAATGTTTAAAAATTCGAAAGGGAAAGGAGTAGTCAGGTTAGTGCCGGGGAAGGTCTTCCGCGTCCATTGCCCTGGGTCTCCTCCGTGCTTCTCCGAATGATCGATCAGTCAACATTCCTTGCTTGATTTTATCAGGTATGCACGAATACTATTACTTGGTTTGGACGAACCACACCGAGCGGAACGTTCCGAGTCTATCCTCACTGCTAGGGTTAAGCGCCTTACCTAGGTACTCGGTCTCTGCGTGTTATACCTAGATATATACATCCACACAGACGTCAGCCAGCATACACTCTCACTCGGTGGCTGCATACGGTGGCTTGTGGCTGTAGGAATAAAGGCATCAGAATCGCTCCGATCGAGTAGTAGGAAACTTGGAAGCAAGAAATGGGATTTATTCTTTCCCATTGACTTTTCCCACCCGTATTTTCCGGCCATAAATTAATTTTCTTCCCTTCATTTCCCTGACTTAGGTTTGCTACTAAATTAAATCGACCCGTCTGGCCTCTGACTGGTGGAAGAAAATTTTCAGAAATAAAGCTTTTAAAGCACAATAAAGGATTGCGCTAACCTATCCCAATAGGGGAACTCCTGGCGCGCCTAGTCGAGTAATCTATATTGCCTTCATATAAAACATTAAACAATTATCCATCGGTAGGAAAGTGCCGGCGGCGAACTAGCGACTCTTCTAGAAGAATGTTTATCTTCTGGTCGATGTAACTCTACAATAACCGTAGTCCAGACTCCAGAGTAGTATGTAGACAATAAGCTCGTTTGTCGCCGACGAACCTTGGAACAGCCCCATACGGCGAATGAACGGCTAATTTCTCACGTAAGTATGACTATGTACGGTCGCTTCGTCCCATCCATCATGGCCCCAGTCTGGAACGCTGTGAATTTGCAACAGGCGTATCTTATTTATTTATAACTACCGAATACAGAGCTGAGTTTGGCATGATATCGAATATGATATGTACTGTCATCTTCGATTCTTATTCCTTCATTGTCTTCCATGATCCTTGTCCGTGACCATAAAAGCCAACATATCCGTGCTGCGCGCTTCACCGTCATTCCAGGTGACTATACACTGCTTACTCTGGCGGTCAGCGTGTCTATATTCTAACTACACACTCGTATTCGTCTTCTGAACGACAACAAACTTGACATGAAAATATAGTATTTACTATTTGATGTATTTAAAATAATCACGACCAATCACGTCGCCTCCCTGGCTTCCCCGGCGCGGCCCGTCTCGTCCGTTGCCACGAACCAATCAGCGCTGTGGACGAGCGTCGATCAACACAAACTGCCCCGACGAGTCAGAATCAATAGATTCAATGTAATTGTAAGCCCTGGCCTTTTAGTTACTTTCTTTTACTTTTCACTATCGGTATACCATAGGCCATGGCTGGGATGGCGCTGACAGGCGCAGTCAATCAATCGATAATTAGCATAGACATATACAAGTCACTTGACGCGTATCCTCTAACAAGTCTCGCCAACCCGCTAGTTAGATCGACGTGATGACAGTATCAAACCAGCATAACTAACTTACGGAGTGCTGTGCTCAGCACGGAGTAAAGATTATTAATTAATCTTCACTGCTGTACAACCACCAGCTGCGTTACACGCAAGGCGTGTGAACTCCAGCTGGGTGGCGCGAGCCGTCACATCACATCTCCCGCGACAAGCACCGATCTGATTCGACGTCCTTTATTCTCCAATAGACTACGGAGCATTCAAAGTAGCACTATTCCGATTGTTCTTCCCTACCAAACCTGATAGATAGTAAGTACATTATTCGTGTTGTAATCTATGTGTCGATGTATGTAGACCGATATAACTGCCTAAATAGGCAAGTCAACTTGTACTGACGCCCGCGGAGTCGGGACAACCTTGAAAACTCGCGATAACTGACTAACTACTCTGTACATTTATAACTAATGATATGGCTCGTGACAAAGAAGGCGCATTCCGAGTTGGGCCACTACTCTCTCTCTCTCTCTCTCTCTTTTCCACAAACGCCCC